ATCTTAACTCAATTATTTGCTTTGGAGTACACTGTGTTATAGACAAAGTTTTCAAAGAGATGGTTAACGGGGAGACTCCTTTTTGATTTCGAACTTTTTAACATCGCTTAATAAAACTATCTGTAGGAGTGGCCCTGAGTTACGTTCTGGCCTAGTACGCTTTGTATTAAAAATCTATATAATATCTAAGTCACTGGTATAAAGTTGATGCATTTAGTCGTTCAACCATCTTCCTCGCAATGCACTCACCCGTCACCTGCCTGGATAAAGCTAACAATGTTCCATTCCGCCCACCCCACCTCTTCGTCCTCCGATATGCCCTCTTGACATAAGGTCAAGAGAAAAATTTACATAAGACAAACTTTTGAAATGTTACTAAATGAGAGCAGATAATTCTCCATGAAAATAATTTTCATGCTTTTATCGACTAAAAAACTGACAGCAACAGATCAATGCAAAATGATCCGCGCTTCAATGAATCACAAGTCTTTATGCAATATTCGCAGACTCTCATTTCTTATGAAGCCCTGTATGCCGGGGCGAAATATTAGTATATTCCTCAAATTTAATTTATTTTGAAAATTTTATTTCATGACATTGGATTCTCGTCGTCGTATTGCTTTGTTCCTGTATATCTTTCATAACAACACTCATTGCAAGATTCACAAAATCCGGCGGACAGCCTATCCTGCGGTTCTTCCTTCTCACACATCTCATTTCTTATCTTGTATTTTGCTTCTCTTGTGCAGGGTTTTTTCCTCCAGAGTTTATTCCTTTGCTCAGTAAGAACTGCTGGTCTTCAAAGAGAAATACACAAAACCTTTTCAAAGGGCAAATTATGGATAGTTTTATTATTGACCACACCAACAATTTTGAAATGAGGTGATTCGGCGATACTTTAGGTTCAAGCTTCTAGAAGATGTTTCTTTTTAGCTCTTTCATAGAGTTTGTTCTTTTACATAAATGTTCGATTATATAAAAGTTTGTTTTTGTATCATTTCTGCCTTACCTTGGGCTTACTCGTGTATTTCATCTAGATCTGACAACGCTATAATGACGATGTCCATACAAAATATTAATCTGATAAAACATTGTCCAAAGAACGTCTTCTTTATTTAGCATGATCATATGGAAGCACCCCATCTTGTATTTTTGTTTACAGGCCAGAGCACTGGCACACGCAACGTAAGAAAGCTCAACGTATATTCAGCTCTTTTGAGCCCTGACCATCACATCCCCCTGTAATAATGACTTCGTGCAATGAGCTTAATCTTAGCATTTCTCAAAATATGTAGTAAAGGTGTAATGCAACAGTGAGATCTTTATTGTTGATTTTGTTCTATTCTTGTTGTTGTTTAACTCCAAGACCTAGGACCTTTCTCACTTAAAGACTTTCTCTTGTTCATCTCCTCAACAATAATCACGTTTTCCTATGCTCGATAAACTGGCTCTCACCTAGATCATGATCATTTGCATTGTCACCAAGTTATTTGAAACTGTGGAAACCCTAAACTCCTACTTTTAGACACAGTCTGTCTCAGATGAAGATTTAATTTGCTTTATCGCTTGTATTGAAGCTGTTATGCACCAAGTCTTACAAAGTTTATAAAACTAAAGAATCATAGGATATTAATTTAGTTAATGCTAAGTCAATGGTTATAACTTGAAAAGTCATTGTGCGTTGCGACCGTTAGGCCGTAAGATCAATAACCAACTGAATGCGGCCTGGTAAGGGCCTAATTTCATAACAGAAGACAGGAAACTGACGTTTTTTGAACATCGTTAAGATCTAATTGATATCCGATCTCTAGATTTTATTGAGGAACGCTAGGTTAAGCAAAATGTTTTGTGAACTTGATTTCCAATTCTGTGATTTTAATTCTTGCAATTGAATAAATGTAAAGAAGATAATAAAAGAATATTGTGCTTTGAGATCTAACTGTATCTGTTATTCAAGGTCACATTCAGTCTCTTATTTCTCATCCTTTTGTGTTTCTGATTAATATTAATATACTATTTCGAATTCTTTTATAATCTCGTTACTTTCTGATATTGTGGATTACAAGTGAAGAGGACCTTGTGCTTTGTTGTGAGACGAGCCGAGATGTTTGAGTTGAAAACATTGTCAACTGTTTTTCACTTGAGGCTTGCTTGTGCAGAAAACGTCAGACACAGAAAATGTACTTAGCTTCATTTGTCCATGGTAATGAAAATAAGTGCATCAATTGACCTGTAGTAGGCATGTTGCTTCGTTTTGATTAAAAGATCTGTTAAATAGAAGTGCCAAGAAAATACGGAACCCAGAAAGCACGGTAATCATATTTCAGTGGATCTTGATGGGGACACTCGTAAACAAAAGAAATCAAGATGCCATGCCCAAACCCTTCTTTTTTCCCTTTATTTTCTGGTGAAGGTTTTGAGAAAGTTGTCAGGTGTGTTAAACGTTTCTCCTGTTATTTAAAACTTAAATACCTTCCGAAAAAGCTTAGTTGAGTTTTTTAAATTGGTCATCTTTCTTTAGGTGAATAAATTCCCTTCGTCTTACCTCTTTACTTTGATTGATTTACATTTTCTCCTTTGCATATTTACTTGTTTCTTGCTTCATTCCTTTCTAACTTTGTATCCTTCATTAGCTTATTGGCTCAGATCGATAAGCATTTATATACTTGTTAATTTTCTTGCCTTTTTCTACTTCTCCTCAGAGAGCTGTTGGCAAAAGTTTTCAGAACTTTAAAAAAGCTCTTTCCATACGAAAGTGGTCTTGATCAAAAGTGAGTTTGCTTGTAACCTGCAACTTGCTTGTAACTTGCAACTTTCTTGCAACAATGTAGAAAGCAGGGAATCTCAATCATACTATATTGTATTTATGTTCTATATACTCATTGCAAGATTTACAGAATCCGGCGGACAGCCTATCCTGCGGTTCTTCCTTCTCACACAATCCCAGTCATCATTGTCAAATGAGTACCGAACTTGTCATCATTATCATCAATAATATGTGCGTTGCGTTATCCTTGATCTCACGCCTCCGGTATACTACATGTAACACCTAAAAAACCTCATGTGCTTTCAGTCTTGCATCTTGCGCTCATTCGTGTTAAGAGGTTTTATTGTTCAACGATGGTTGTTTATCATTCGTTAATCTCAGTTCTACAAACACAGACGATACTTTTCTTCAACCACCATTTAATTGCAGACTCTAACATTCTTTCCTTAATAAAACATTTTCTCAAACTGGCCATAATGCAATAATCTGTGTCATTTTATTTAAAGCAACAACATAACGGTTCGCAACGGCTCTTTTGGCATTTTTTATTTTTTGATTAAAACTCGCCGGCTGCCATAGGAACTGCAATGCTTCTTTGATAAGCAGACAAGCACTAAACCATTTTGCGGTAACCTTCAGCCTTCCCAACAGACATTCTACCGACAGAAGGACAGAATGAATAACATCGTTATTACAATTTGATGAACTGCGTACGTTTTTGTTAGGTAACTGGTATATAAACCTACAAGAACCAAGGCCTTGTATGCCAATTTATGTTGATATTAGACAAAAGGCTCGTCGATAATAAGCAGCCTCATACATACCTCATCAATGTAGTTTGCCTCCTTTTAGGTGTCTCCTTAAAGCGTTCTCAAATGTGACGTTAAAAAGTCTAATCTTAAAATTTCTTGCTTTGACTTCATAACCCTATCAGAACAATTTGTAATACCTCTGAAAGGACAGAATGGGTTGAATATTTCAAAAACTGCGTAAGATATGGTTTGATAACGGATTACTCTTATTTCGGTTCTGTTCATAAAATTATGAACAAGGAACTTAGGAACTCTATTTGTCCAAGAAAGTTCATTCACGATCATAGGCCAATGGTTTTTCCCTGTCTGGTACCCTGTACAAAGTTCTATCACAGGTACACGATTTCATGGGAACCCGATGATGGAGGTCGTTGTCAAGGGAAGCTGTCAATAAAATCGGTTGTTTGTTTCTAAAGGTTTGAATCCATCTTGCACAATCAGCTGGCTAGGCCTATTGGCTGGCTATGCCTCTTAATACGATGTATGTGCACACGAAAGGCCAACTCCCCTTCGAGGTATCTTGGCAAAAGACATTGGTATTTAGCCTTACCCGTGATAATTTGCTGCTTTTATTTTCAGTTTTTCTTTATAGACATTTTTTTTATTTAAGAACCAGATAATTTTTGTTGAGCCTCGATGTTCCTAACTTTTTGATAACTTTAGGCTCAAATGTTCTTAAAATTGTTCTTATTTTGAGAGTGATTTTTTGCATATATTTGAAAAGTTACATACGTATATAGTTTCTAAGACGTTTTGCTTGGTAAAATTTAAAAATAAAGCAATGACTGCTAGTGTTGTTGGACAAACTCATCAAAGTTTTTTTGTCAAGAGAATGTCGGTCGGTACAGTAGTTGAGTGCTTGCGAATTTCAAAATGCGAATTGTTTTTTCTTAAATTTCTCATCTGAAGCTGAGCATGTTCTAGCCTTGTTCTTATTTTTTGGGCAAATCGAGCCTCAAGTGTCTTCTTAAAAAAAAGAGTTTATTTTTATATACATTCAGGAAAGGGATGTTAACTTTTCAATCTTTTACAATGCTTTGTCTAGCTGTTTGCACAAATCGCAACTTCAGTCTCAACATGAAACTTGACATTAATTTTCTGTGCTTTATTTTGTTAGTTTATTATTTGTGTTCTTTTTTTGATTGACAAACCGCTTGGCAATGCTTCTACATGATACCTTGCGGAAGTCAAGCTATTGTAATCTGCATTGATAAATCTGCCATTTGTATGGCTGATTTCTTACTGCAAGGACCCATGAAATATCGCACTTCTCTTATTTGCATTATACTTGGTTCATTCATTTTACAATAGAAGAAGATAGGATCACAACCAGCTCGCTTTCATTCAGAAAGCGAGCCTGTAAGCCATGGCTAGGTCATTTGGATTACTAAATTTGGCAAATACCACGTTATATTTTCTAGAACGATCTAGTCTGAAGTCTAGAAAGATCCTTGGTCATCCACCGAAAAAAACCTGCACTGAAGGTAACATTTCTCTTTGTAAAAATATCATCAGCTCTTAAATGTCACTAACTTCTTCTCGATGTCTCTCACTGCTTACTGGTAAGCAAAATTCGCGAAGATAGCAGTGAGATTAAACATACAATGCCTGCCAAAAATCTTGGAACACTGACATCAATTTCCAAGGTCAAAACCAATCATCCCCCTCTCCCCCACGGAACAATGTTGGTTTACTATCAAACGGGTTAGGATTTTAGGAAGCACTTTCTTTTGCGCTTCTTCTATGATATTGCTCTAAATCATCAAAATTGTTTTAGGGGGAAAAGGGCGAAAGTAGCAATTTTTTTTTCATGAAAGGAATGAAAGATATCAAATGCAGCATAAATTGGTGGGTGTTCCAAGTCTTTTGGCAGGCATTGAATGTACAAACACACTCTTATTTTAATGATCCAAGCAAAGCTTACGGTTGAATTTTATTGACTCCATTTTTCTTTTATTTTTGTTAATATAAGATAAAGCCAGTGGCGGCCCCAGCTACTGCAGAGTGGGAGGGTAATGGCCGTTGCCAGTGAGACCATGTCCCTTTTGCCTCGTTTCTGTGCTTTGTGCCAGGTTAATTTTTCTTAGGAAATATGATCTACCTTTACCTAGTGCTTTTTAATCCATTTATAGAAGAAATATGTGGACCATGTATTGAAAAAAGTGGAGGGTAACTACCCACCATCTCCCCTATACCCCTTGGCGCTGCTTTTGGAAAAACCATGATTTATAATTGACATATCGATTTATCCAATTTTAAACGCGTTAATTTTAAAATTATAGATCTCAATCTTGATGCATGTTAATGAATTGCAGGTCTCTCCTTGCCTTGTATGTATCGAAATTTTCTCTTTAATGATGTTTTTGTAATCAAGAACCTTTTTGTTAGTAAGCTTTTTTATAGCAAGCAGATCTGATAAGAGCTTTGATGCGCATCCAAACACTGTTTAATTTTCAACGCTCGTATTTTAGGCATGACAACCTCAACCAACCTTTACACATGTAAGTTGAAATTTTCTAACTTTAGAATTGTTCATGCGAAAAATTTGACTCCAATATTATAAATTGCCTCCTTCTCGTTAACGGGTGCTTGTACAATTTAGCAAAACAAAAGTACGATTTTGCCTGTTAGTTTGAAAATATGTTTTAGAATATAATTTTTAATGCTGGTGACCTTCTAAAAAGGAACTTGCAGAGAAATTTCTGATATGGCCGTAAAATCCCCTCGCCAGCTGGCCCAGCGAGAATTCCATAAGTGCTCCTTTGCTGAAAATTGTTTTAAAATTCATTCGATCTGGTTTCTGTTGTCTTTTGTGTACGTAAGTATATTTTCTATTTGCTTTGCTTCATTATGGTTATGCAGTCTCAATTTGAAGTTACTGCTATACTCTCTGTTTTTGCCCTCAGTTGCGTCACAGTTCGAAAAATGCCGTTTTACATTTAATCTCACCCAGTAAAAATTCTCTGTTTCTCTGTTTTGGGGTGATTCTTAATCGATTTCAAGCTTATTCGAGTCCTATGTAAAAAGGATTGCATGTTTTATTGCGATTTGTGAAATAGGAAAAGAGGATAATTGATGTTTTCTTGGTCAACTCTAAGGCATTTTGATTTTAGAAACTTTAACAATGCAAGTTTTCTGTTCATTGCTTCTGTTTAGAGCTTCGTTGTTCGATGTGATTTCTAGCTGCATAATTATGGATCAAAAACTTTATATGTCGAAGCAGCCTAACGGTTTAATTGAATGTTACAAAAATGCAGCCACTTATTTCAGCCCACGTAATTCAGCCCGCGTAATTCAGCGGCGTAATTCAGCCCGCGTAATTCAGCCGCGTAATTCAGCCTTCTTAATTCAGCCTTAGTATTTCAGCGCACGTAATTCATCAAAGCGATATCAGACTGATAGACCCTTGGCATTGAACATCAGCTTTTAGAATATGCAAATTTCGGTCAAGTTATTTGATTTCCTGATCCTAAGATTCATCGCCTTGGGTCTAAAAAACAGTTATCCGAAGAAATGAAATCTCCTCCTACATGTTCCGGAATATGTGATACTTAAAGAAATAGGATATAAATCGGCTAGATCCGAATAATCTATATCTTTTGTAGTGCTTCTTTGCGAAAACAATGGATATAATCAATTGACGCGCGAGCTGAGTCATTCTATCGATCATCAAATGTTGAAGCAAAGACAACAACTTTTTCTGAAGATTCCCCTCCCTAATTGCACTTACAAAATTTGGCACATGGCTGTTTCTGTATGCGCAAATACATTACAGATGAAAAAATTGAGAGTTTTACAGGAACAAAAAGTTTTGAAATACATTTTTATCAAAAGAAGGATAGTGTAGCAAATATAGACAGTTATTTTATTGGCAAGGAATAAGTCACACAAATCAAATATCTTAAAGAAAATCAATCAAGTACCTTAATGAAATTCTCATTTTGATAGACGCTTCCCAGTTCACTGACAGGCTCAATCGACAGTGATGCCTAGAACGCAACGTGGACCTCAACGCAAAACGTTTTGATCTTTGATCTATTACAGCGCAATTATATCTCTTAGAACTCTGAGAATTCTGGGTCCCAGGTGAAAGCAAACAATGACTGAACGAGTCTTTTGAAGGAGAGTTAGATTGTAAACTGAAGGTAGTAGCCTGTGCATTGTACTCCTATTGTACTCTCTCTGCACATTATTGCACGCCTACCGATTGTAACTTGGACGTAACACGAGTTGTATACGTTAACTTTGAAGTTTTAAACCGCGATGAGTGGGTGTAGTGTAACGATTTCAGCTCCATTGTCAATAGTGAATGATTGAAGACCACTTGTATGGGACATTGCACCATCCTCACTTTAATTATGCTAATGTTTTATTACCCTGGGTTCCAGAGCGCCAAGGGTCAAAACAAGTAAGGCGTCGAGGAAATGTTCCTTTTAAGTATCGTATTAGGGCGACGTGGTTTCTATCCAGGGCTGGGTGATGTAACCCCAAAGAAGTGAAAGCTTAGCGAAATTGGCTTCTATCTACCCTTTTTGCACAGAAAACGTTATTTGCATTTTTCATTATATTTATCAAGCTTTTCGTTTGCTTTTGATCATGTGTAGATAGACGTAGATATACGTAGATATACAATTAAAAGTGATAAAAGACTGCAATTAGACGAGAAAAACATTTCTTTTAGCCAGTGGTGGCGCCAGGGGAGGGCTAGGAGGCTACAGCCCCTCCGTCGGAAGCACCTAGCCTCCCCCCATCGGAGGAAATTTCCAAGTATCCAAGAAAAGAGGGGTTATTGAAAATAGCTATTTCTCTCTAACACATGGGCCTCCTTTTTCCTTATGCACAATTACATAAATCTGAAAGACAGAAGACCTTCTTTTCAATTTGATAGTCTAGCTGTGGATCTTCTCGTTAACAGAACAGGCCGAGATCCTCTCAAAAAAGTGTACAGGGGACCGTTAGTTACTAGAAAAATGATGTTCCTGTGAGCTGGCAGAGTTCAGAAAACACATCAACCTACCTCCGGATTAATTTTTGTCCTATTGGCATTCCTCAAAATTTACTTTTTGAGTTTTAAATGAAAGTTACATATAGAATTCTGGTAAAATCCTCTATTGCTTGCTCTTTACGCTTTGTCAGGAAAAAAGTAAAATTCAAGCACAGCGGTACATTTCTCTCACTTTATATATTATTGTCAAGGTACGCATTGGCCTTGCCCAAAACGACTGCATCGTGAGATAACCTTCCTGCGGGCTCATAGCCGTGGAACCGTTGTGTTTTCTGAATTCTGTTAGCTCGTACCAACTTTTCAAGGCATGAGTCCGAGACAAAATAAAGATTCCTCATTCAAAATGTTATCTAGCGAAAGTAAATTATAAAGAAACTGTTTACTAAGAAATCATTTTTTTCAGAGGACGAACTGCTACTTTCATAAAGAATTCACGTGAATACTAACCCCTGGGCTAAAATATTGTTGCTTGGCTGTGGATGGGATATCCGACATCTTGAGATACGAATTAGCTTGCATTAAAAACTCTGTAAATTGTTATCGGTAATGAGTGAATTGCAGTAATGGCCGTTATGCATAAAGACAACTCTTGAAAAAATGTGAAACTAAATAGACCGCCCTCTTTTCTATGACATCAAGAAAAAGCAAATTAATTTGCCACGCATACTTAGATTTACTGACTTCGACTTTTAGACCTCAAAATCAAAGTATTCTGTCGCCGGCTTTAGATACCAAATCGACCATTGCAAAAGTGACAGAAACTATTTTATTACAGAGGAACATAATGAAAGGCATGTTCTAAGAAATACCTGAAAAAGCTATGAACAACTCACCAAAAACAAAATTTGATGTTAAGTCTTCGATTGAAGTTTCAGGTTGGACCTCGTGCTTCTTGCTTCTACTATTCAGTGCAGCGCTTGCGTATAAACGCGCTTATATGCAACCATTTGTCAGTCTTTGCCGGTAGGTGGTCTGCTACGTCACAGCAAAATCAATCTCATTAATGGGAAATGATCTTTGAGAATTAGATAAGCTCATTTCCGCGTCCAGGCATTTAACATGGACAACATGAAAACTGTCGCGATGTTCGAATAGAATTTGATAAGGCTCTCATTTTGTCAATAGTTTTGATGTTGGTTCCTGATGTTGTCCATTATAGCAGCTTTTAGCGATAGAGATATGGTAGATGCTTCATAGAGATGGTGGGTGGACATCTCTTAGAGTTCAATAACAATATTTAGAATGGGATTCTCTCTTCATTGAAGTGATTTGATTTAAATTTTTAGAGAATGAATCTTTGAGATTGAATTCACGAAATGTGAAGTATTTTCGTTGCTATGGTTTTTACTTTACAATTTTTAATGGAAACGAGTATTGGTTTTTTAGGCAGCCGGGTAGTCAAAATATTTATATATTTTTGCAGGAAAGAACAATAATTTTCGTTTGTTTAAAGGGTGTAACCTTTATGTGAGATTTTCTTAAAAAGACAATCTTCTTTCAACTTGCTTAAGTTGAAGGGTCAAAATCTATGTGAGATTTTCTTAAAAAGACAGTCTCCTTTCAACTTGCTCAAATTAGAACTTGAAAATGTGTAAAAAGAAGTCATTTATAATATCTCACATCTTATCAACTGGAAAAGGTTTTTCTTTCATCAGTTTGAAGAAAACTGTCTTTATCACTAATTGAGTTAAAACAAAGATGCCAGTGACTTATCTTGTCTCATCTTTGATCATTTTCATCAATTCGTACAATCTTTGATCACCAATCACTTTCTCTTATCTTTTTATAACTTTGGTCATTCCTTTGATTACATTTGATCACATTAATCGTTGCGTGTGACCTTTGATCGCTTTGATCATATTGTCTCATCTTCGATTACTTTGATCATTTTCATCAATTCGTACAATCTTTGATCACCAATCACTTTCTCTTATCTTTTTACAACTTTGGTCATTCCTTTGATTACATTTGATCACATTAATTGTTGCGTGTAACCTTTGATCACTTTGATCATATTGTCTCATCTTCGATTACTTTGATCATTTTCATCAATTCGTACAATCTTTGATCACCAATCACTTTCTCTTATCTTTTTACAACTTTGGTCATTCCTTTGATTACATTTGATCACATTAATCGTTGCGTGTGACCTTTGATCGCTTTGATCATATTGTCTCATCTTCGATTACTTTGATCATTTTCATCAATTCGTACAATCTTTGATCACCAATCACTTTCTCTTATCTTTCTACAACTTTGGTCATTCCTTTGATTACATTTGATCACATTAATTGTTGCGTGTAACCTTTGATCACTTTGATCATATTGTCTCATCTTCGATTACTTTGATCTTTTTGTCTGATCTTTGATCATTTTCATCATTTCGTAGAATTTTTATATGCCTACATTTAATATAATAAGACGTGGCCAAGCCCATGGGTGATCAATCAGATAAACTTGATACGAAATTCTTTCATTATTTATGAGAATTATAAATTTGTGAACTATTAATTCAAAGAAGTTTAAAATACTAATGAGTTAGTTATTCATCTCTCACTTGAGTTAGTGGACAATTTAAATTCTTGTCTAGTAGAGTTTCGAAAAAAATTCACAACCGAAGCGTGTTCTTACTTGCATTCCATAATTTGAAAATTGTCATCTGTCAAGTTACGAAGTATTCCTGTCAGATAAACGTCAGATTAAAGACTACTCCCTAACAGACTACAAGACGTTTAATCAAAGGGAAATTTCAGAAAGAAAACACCCTTGATCTAACTTCAAGAAACATCAAAGTTGGTACTATTCTATTTTGACATAAGAAAATTTTGAAAATGTGTCAGAATAATGAATTTTCACTCAATGTGTGAAAAAATTTATCTTGAGGCATTTGTTCCATTAAAGTGATTGTATGAAATAGACACTGTGCTCTTGAATTAAAAACAGACTCAGAAAAAATATTAAAAAAACATATCTGTGTTACGATTTCTTTCTAAATAAATTCTGAATAAAGATTTTTAATCTCGCTATATAGTTTCCAGGAGATTTGAAAAAAAGTTACCTGAAAGTAACTGAGATTGCTTTTAATCATTATCATTCCAAAACAAGGCGGTCTATTAAATGCTCGAATTTCGTCAAAGTTAACAAATGCGGGTTTTACTGGGTTTTACCTGTCACTATTTTATCATAGTTTCTTTGTTAATGTTTTCTTTGCTTATGTAAATAAGTTTCCATTGCCGTCAATGATTAGGAGACTGTGACAGTTTCAGACCCCGATTCTTGAAAGTAATTGCTTCCTGTGTAATTAAACCATTACTCGCTACAATTTCCCTCGTTTGCTAAGAAAGCACTCAACAATATTCCTTTCAATGCCAATAAGTATATTTTGTAAAGAATCTTGCAACTATGTTGCATTGACTTATTACGGAAAATTATAAGAGTGAACGGATCCAAATTTTTTTACGTATACCAAATTCCTGGTAATTTAAAATATTTTTACTAGAATAAACAAGAATAAGACAAAAAATGTTGCTTGAGGGATGCCATTCATCATTCGCTTAACCTGCCCCTAAGCGAAACATCAATTTTTCATAAAAATGTTTTTATATCAAAGTTTTTGAAAAAATGTTTCTGAAATAAAACAGCTTTCCTTTTGTCAACATGGTCTCATTTTTCCGAAACAAAGCTCGCCATTCATAAATTTTATCGATTCATTGCCAAGCTTTGGCCACGTCTAGGAAGCTTCTGGCCACCCCTAAAGAGACAACGACACAATAAAAAGGTAGTGCGCAGCAATGCAGATATGCAGTATGTTGCATAATGTTGAACGCAGCAAGCTCGCAGCAAGGGTAATTTGGCAAGGAATAGCGAATATTCGAAACATTTTTAAATCTTCAGAGAAGATAGCAAAGAGATACAAAACATTACCTGAACAAAAAATAGATAACAGTTAAAAACAATCATTAAAGTAGAGGAAACAAATTTGACTTTTACAATCAATTTTTTTGTAATTTTATTGCCATCGGTTTATTTTTCTTCTCCAATTAAATATATATTATTTTGATGTCGATGTCATTAAGAAAAGATGATATTAAGACGTCTGATTATATTTAGATGAAATGAAAACGTTTCGCTTTTTGGAGGTAAAAGTTCAAATTTGCTTTGTATTTACAATGTTACCAATCTGTTTAAATCCTGAAATGCAGTTTACAAATGCAACTATGTACAGCAAGTTAGGACAACCCGTTCTAATCAGAGTTCAAGGTCAGGCAAACACCTTTCAAAACCCAATGAGAAACATGCTCGTGTGTCGCAAGATCTGCTTCGAAAACCAGACCGACACCCATTGCGTTCCGTCTTTCTGAAGTCACATATACTGGTGTCCTAAACGTGTTCTGTTGGATGGAAGAAAAGGATTTTGTTAAAAAACATTTATGAAATTTGAGCTACAGCTGTGACAGACCTATGTACTGTCGTTGATTAAAAGCGTTTCTTTGAGGATCCCTATGTCATCTTAGCAATATCCAATAGAATGCCAAAGAGTTATCAACAAGCGGCAGCGAATGGCATGATACAGTTCGGCAGAGGTTGTTATCAACGGGCGGAGGTCCATCTTGTTTTGGTGTGGCAAATACCTTTCTTTTAACAAATCTACACATTTAACATGAATTAGAGTCTTAATCCAAAGAATGAATAACTTAAGGAGATTTTCAATTTGATTCGAGATCGTGAGACAATTATTTATAGCTATTAGAGGTGCTTAGGGTAGCCACGAAGTTGAAAAAGATATCCATCGTAAAAGCTCTAAATAGAATAGAACTAGATACACGATTAAATGAACAAACATATGACCTCCAGTGTTGCGTCTAGCTTTCAGCTGAGTTCACCCGTGACAGCACCTTGACTACTAAAAAGCACCGAACCTATGTCACGAAAGCAGTAACCAAGCAAACAGACTGTTTCCATGGTGTTCTTCCCAGAGTTCATTGCGTCAATGCTAAAAATATCTTTTGGTTTTCCAAAGTCAATGATAATACCCTTTAAAAAACATTTCAATGTAAATCTTTTTTTTTCATATTGGTAACTAAACTATCACCCGCTAATTGAAAGTTATTGGTCTCACTAAAAAAGTTATTGCATACAGACAGTGTAATAACTTTTGCAAATGCCGCGTACAGTGGTTGATTAGGGAAATTACAGAAGATATGACTTAAAAAGGATAGAAATTAGCAGCTAGAATAATAGTATTGAAGTGGGATTACAGCTAATAATTGTCGCTGAAGGTTGTCATCAATATGAATTAGAGTTTCGTCCATCCAAGCCACCTTCAAGGACACCTGAATTTAAGTAGGCGTTTTTTGAATCAGATTTGTTTTGAGTTTTGTTTTAAAGTGGCGCAATGTGACGTGCGCGGGTGTTTACCAAACTCATTCACTTTAATGTTTTTGATATGCTTTTATAGATTAGAAAATAACTAAAAGAATTAATTCAAATTGAGTTATTCCTAATACAGAATGTTTGAACTGTCTTAAAAGCAGACTAGACTACTATGGGGTGAGAGATGCTCCAAATGGAGGCAAAAGATTGGTTAAATACATGTATAGGGTCTACTGAAAGGAGGCCAGAGCGTCACTGAAGAGAGGAAAATATCATGCGTTGAAGACCAAAGATGGAGAGCTTAAGGGTCACGGCTTCCGGGCGCTAAACAAGTTAATTCTGAATGTTTCCCGCCAGAAGGCTATTGCTTACTGTAATCATAAACAGGAAATAGAACTGGAGAACAAAACACCAAAATAAAACCTTCTGCTGGAAGGTTACTTTGAGAATAAGGATTACAAGCTTGATACCTAATTTTCATAGTTGCCTCTTTCATTAGATATCACTGGAGACCTACAAAACGAAGTTATCTTACCTGTAACTTGAGCTTATGAGCCTCAATTGGAATGACTTTTAAAATCGGAAGCTCTTCGACCAGCTGTTTTGGCCTCGGCACACCCAGGCACGAGGAATTAAGATCCCAAGACGCTCCTTCTAAGTAGAGCCCTCGAATAAAACATCCGGTGTGCGCATGCTCCGTAACTTCGTCGGTTGTTTGGTATTTCGTAACGCACGTGTATAATGTCGAGCGATCAAGCGGCCAGGCGTTTTTGCGGCAAGCGGCTTGGACCAGAGCGGTTAGATACGATTCGGGGATATGAAGCCCAGAGAGCCAGATGACTGGAGGCTCGCCGTCGTTAACCTGGACAAAATTGAATGAATGATTTTTAATAAGACTTCTCACAATGAAATTCAGAATTGAATATTAAAATAAAAAAATTGATTGCAATTTAGAACTATTTGGTTGGCTTAATACGCAAATCGATAAAATGCAGTTTTTAGGAAGGGAAAATGTGTATACAAGCGAACATACTTTACAATCCTCAAATTCTTTTGACAATTTAATCTACTAAAACATCTTTTATGAGTTAAATATTTCAAATTAAATACTTCAAATTGAATATCAATAGACACATATTAAGAGGTTGATGAGGAACGTATTCTAATGAAAAGGGCGTTTTGTGAAGTAAAATTCTGACATTTGAATCAATTTATCATCTTAAGTGACAACCGCCCTATTCCTGACAAGTATCTCCTCCCGTCGTATAACAATGGAGAAAAGCTTTAAACCGAGCAACGTGAAGTAATAAACTACTGAGTCCATTTTCATTCATGTTTTGAAAATAAAAGAAGTACTTTGGGTGTGTTGAGATGATTATTTTATTGAGAAATGACTTTTTCACTTAATCTGAAGTGTTCTATGACAGAGGGAAATGGGTCCATTAATAATTATGAATTCACGGAGCTTTTTTGCTCGCGCTCATCAATTTTAAAAAGCAAGTAAAAAATCCCAGTATTCCGGTGATGTAATTCCGTATAATTCCGACAAGGCTGACTTTCGGTATATCTGTTAGTAGGAGAGTCGAACTGGTCGTTCAGAAATATCAACAAAATCATCATATTGTGACTAGTTTTTTATATCTCTAAACGAATGACAACTTTGCTAAAGATGTTTGGCTTCGTTTTCAGTAACAAACAGAATGGTAAGTTGTCAAGATGTTGCAAGATATTCAAAGGATGTTGCAGGTGATTTTGGAGGAGATAACCTTAATTCTATTCATCATAAATGGTTAAATATTGTCACAGCTATTGGTTGACAATCGAAAACCACTGATGATGCCCTTCTCTAACTTAGAAATATCAAAACAAGACTAAGTTAGAAAAATGAAAATGGATGCTTAAGTTTTGCGTAGCCAACTCAACTTGGCGCATTTTTTATAAACATATACATTCTGAAACAAAACGTTTAAGGATAAGGTATTTGCTTTTGAAATTTTAGAATGAACAAACTTAACATGAAAAACGACTTGAAAGATTTTCTAGTGTGTCTCAATACCTTACCACCACCCTCAGACAAATCCGTTTCCTTATGAACATAGATGAAAATCTATTGACCTTGCCCGAAAATTTGAAAACACATTTTGAAAAAGAGCAAACTGAAAAGACAGGTAGGCAGTTTTCGCATTGCAAACGCATTATTTTGAAAACGAAAAAAGGTAGTATTGTCTTGGCAGGGTAATATGAATACCCATAAATACCCATTATAATATTCAATATTAACGGAGTATTTAGCTAAAGGTAGCATTTGGCAAAAAGAAGCAAAAAGAATGTGGAGTAGGGTGAACACTATCCTGCGTGCAGACCCTAACCCTCACGAAGGAGGTTAGAGTCTTCACGCAGGCTGGGTGAACACGGGCTATGTGAACACGAGTCTTTTCAATTTGACAACTCTCTCTTTATAGATTATCTTTTCGCAAAAAGTGCAAACATACCCATTTGGTGTACTGTTCATGGCGGTGTAAGAAATGCTCAATCCAGCTACCGAGGGTCTTCAGCGTTGCTGGTGCCAATTTGCGCCAACTTGGTGGCAACTGGCCATTGAATAGTGCTCTTGATACCTCGTCTAGCTCGTTGTCCATGCCAACTTCCCCAGCCAAGGCCTTTGAACGAAAAGATTGATTGGAGTGAATTGCATACTTAATTTAGCAATGTTCACATTCTGGCAAATATTCTGGCTCATAAATTAAATTTAGTTTTCTCCCTTTTATTCTCTAAATGATAGGTTTGCCCTTTTATTCTCTAAATTCATGGATTATATTCAAGAGAACCAATCGAAATCGCCCTAAACCATTTTCACGTCCATTACAGAAATATTCTGACTTTCTCAGCTGACGCAAAAAATCATTTCAATGAAGAAATAAATGCGAGCATAACCTTGTTTTTAGCTGAAAACACAGGGCCCTTAAAACAATACGACTTTGTAGATTTGTAGACAAAATAAAGATAGCAGGTTTTTAAAGAAAAACAAGCCCGGATCTAGAGACTAGTAGAAATTGGCGCTGAATGTAGAAGTTTTAAAAAACAGAACTCTGCAGGTTATTATAAAGTAATGTATGTACCCGCTGCAAATTCATCAAGGTTGTCGCCATTTTTGAAATGAGCACATTGAACCTGTCAAGCTCTTGCAGCAAGACGATGGTGGTTGGTGTCATCTCAGAGATTTGCTTCTTGATTTGTGGGACGTCATACTGCTGAGGCAGCTTGCTTTGAATGTCGGACGCGATTTTGCCGATGAACTCCTCCCTGCTTATCCCTCCACTGTCAATTCCAGTCTGCGGCTGTAGCTCCACCAAATGCGCCCAAATGTCTTTTGCAGCACTTGTGTAGTATCCGATCTCGGCGTTTGCATGTAGACCGAACACGTTGGGAGTATTTGACAATGGCAACGACTCAATTATGTCCATGTAAACATCACGATTACATTCGGGTCTTATGCCCTCTTTTTTAGAATTGTTGCCTTTGGATTTTTTGTCTTCGACTTTCTTTGGCTCTTCCGCTTCATTGCCCGGTTTGGGAATAGAATAATCAACAGATTCATCCACATAAAAATGGAACGGCTGGAACGTGTCAAAAATGAAGTCTCCCATATATTCATCCATATATGTGTTGACAACTCGTCTGTCAAAGTCGTCAATGACACGACCACCATACATGACCTGTCAATCAAAAAGTTATGTACAAAAATTGAAGCTGGAAACTTATTGCACTTTTATCGCACTGGTATCTTAAAACAACGCATTCTGGAAAATATGTTTACCTGTGACATGACAGATTGAAATTTCAATAATATTTTACCAAAGATCAATGGCATAGCTTACTGGAGGTACTTAGACAATACATATTTATACTATCTGGGAGAAATGATATTGCAAGTAACCTCGCTGTGTCTAAACAGCTAGATTCAAACATTATAACATTGAAAAGAAAACACGTAAAATACCTCTCCAATGAGATACTTGAGACTGCCCCACGGTACTTTGCTTTCAGCCAAGTCGTATGCTTTTGTGAGGTATGTGCCAAGCAGCTGCATCGAAACACGGAAGTCTGACTCGTTGAAGTCGTATGGGATGTTCCAGCCTATCTTTCCATACTTTCGCCTTTCTTGTACAACAGCATGGAAGAAGGCTAGCACGTACACAAGTGCAGGGTATGCCGTATGGGGACACTCTGCCAAAACAGCGTTTGTTATCCTGTGGTATGTACTCCTAAGGTTCAACTTCAGCCCATTCGGTGGCTCAGTAACAACCTTCATTAGGAAAAAGTAATTTGTGTTTACATTTACATATAGCCAACTGTACGAGTTGGAGCTAGGTACAGATAAATCATACCTGAGACCTTCTCTATATGAAGACATTTTCAAAAGATCGTGTCCATTTCAAGTGTATGTATTGAAAGTAAAAAATTTATCGATTTCATATAGATTGAAATCAAAAAAGTCTAGGTGCATAGTCGTCCTTTCGTTTTAGCTTTTTACTAAGCAAAACCTTAAAAGTGATATTCCTGTTGGTAAAACGTAGCTTGAGGAAAGAAATTTCGTTGCAAAAATCTGGTCTATTAATACGGACATGCATAATTATTCCTTTTGGGTTAAACCTGGGTGATTTTTACATGCCTAAAAAGTACAAAAAATTTGTTTTGTACAGTGAGAGCTTCAATCCACGACCACCCATAGGGAAATGGTCAACCTGAAGGAGACGTGCGCTTGAAATTGAGTTTGATAAAAGGCTCAGACTGGCTGCTTGAATTGTTAAGTAAGGGCTATCTTTATACTGCTTTTTGTTCAAGACTTGATTGGAGGATTAGCTATCCCTGCTCGTTAGATAAGAGGAAACTAGAACGCCCTATAGTTGGATAACGTGATTTGACTCCTACCTTGAGAGATCTCTGTAGAATTCCGATCGGGAATTGTGGAGTGGGGTCTGTTGTGAGCCAAAGCCGGAAATCAGGATGTGGCTTGTTGATCCTCTCCAAGGCCTTTTCCAGCTCCCTCAACCATTTTACTAAGAGATGGCAGTTCTGCAACATTAGCCAATGTCCTCTGCTTATTGCTGTTTCTAGCAGTTGCAGAGCAAGCTATCATAGAAATGACAGGGATATAAGTCAATTTTTACATAACTCTAGAAAGTATCATGCTACATGAAAAGATCAGATTAATGGAAAGAGCAAGATACGGAAAACTTTCCAAGCATAAGAAGATAAAATTATAGCTTTGACAAGCAGGAAATAAAATCTAATGGCATTGTTGCTGAAGTCCGTTTTTGCTTGAAAAATGCCATTTTACTTTAAAACCGACAACTTTGCTGCTGTTTTAAGGCCAGGTATTAAGAGTATGCCTTATCAGATTCTCTAACAATGTCCCTTGTTTAATTGGGCCGCATCTCCTTGCATCGTGCAATAATCCAAAATTCATTTCAAGTATCTACCTTTTCTTGACCCTGACCCATGGCTAAAAACTTTAGCTTGTTTCCACTAAAGCCAGATCTCTCTGCCAATTTCATGAGGTCACTTGCTGGATCCGAACCGGGGCTCAGAATGAATATGATTGGCGAAAAGGGCGTTGATTGCTCAAATATTGCTTCGAAGCTAATAACCGGTGGTGTCACAAACTTTTCGCCCATTCTGCCGATCACAAAGCTTGTTATTGCACGGTAAATGCGATCCACTCTGAAGCATCTCAAGAGAAGAAGCCTCTGGAAATCCGTCAAGCTTTCCTCGTAGTTTTCAGGGAACTGTGCTGACTCTGGTGCATCCAAATCGTTCCACTGCAACAGAGACAAAATATGATGTAATAATCTAAAATTTGCTTCCAGGCAATCATTAGCAATGCATTTTTAACTGAATAGTTTTCTAAACAGTATGTTTCCCTGTTGTTGTGATGCATATGAATTTGTGATTTTGAGACTATCAAAATGATTCTAGCAAAATGGCATGACCTAGATATCCAGGAATTGTATTTATATATAAATATATATGTATGTATTCAAAAGCTCTAGACTGTAATGTTTATTAAAAAAAATTTAAATAGATGATCAGTAAAAAACAACTTGATTAACGTTTCGCAATATGCTTCTTCAGAATCAATATATATATATATATATATATATATATATATTTTTCTCTCTTCATTCTCCATAATTCATTGAAACAAAGAAACGATCTCATTGATAGAATATATATATATATATATATATATATCCAAACTGACTGGAGAAACATTCAAACTTAAACGCCAAAAGTATTGACTGAAGTCAATAGATATGAGAACCCCACTTGCATTTTTCTCAGGAAAGAAACAACTCAGTTTCTGACACTATGTACGCGGCCAATTAGAAAATCTTGTTCGGTTTGTGGAAAGGACTCTGGAAAATCTTCTATTTCTTCTAGTATAGACATATGTTGCATTGTAATTACCCCCTTCCCGCTCTGCCTCGTTGCAGGTAGAAACATGGAAGACCCACCTCTTTCCAAACATTTCCGTTTCTCTCTATGCTGTCGGCAAGATTAGAGAATTTATCAGGGACGACGGTAGTAAGTTTTTGAATATCCTCCCATCCCTGATCGGTCAACCAAGCATGAGGCTTTTTTCTTGCTCCCTTCTCAAGCGCAATGTTTCCCTTGATGAAGAAATCCAGCTCATCATGACTCATCTTGTTATCCGCCTCCATTATTTTCACAGTCATTTGGAACGAGAATAACAACTTGTGTCGCTCGAACAAACCTAAGAAAGATTAATCAAATTAAAAGCTTTATCGTATCAACTAGTAGCATTGAGTCAGATCAACGCTTGAGAAAAGACAGATTAGGCTACGACCAAAATTAGTTTCTAAATCTACTCGATATGTGCTATTTTAATTGGCTGGTGTAATGCTGTTTAATTATATCGATAAATAGCAACTTTGCAAGATAGTGTTTAGCCAAAGCAGCTAACTGTATCGTAATCCACATCATTAAGTTATCTTTAGTCTGAAGTTTGCTGCTAAAATAACTGTCCTTCTTGTTGTTGGTAAAACGTTATAGGTGGTAAGGCTAATTTCTGAATCAACGTTTATAAGAAGATTAAATGATAACAGAGACACATCTGCTCGGCTAGATGTCTGCAGGTTTAGACAAATAGGCCATCAGAGGTCTTTCAATGACTTAGCGCGACTGTGGAATATCTTAAAGAAGCTTCATTTCTATAATTGTACTAAAGACGAGTCTTGCAAGTACGCCGTTTTCTTAGGCTCTTAATTAGAGGTTGTAGATGAAATACAGTCTTCTGTTTCAACCGAAGCTGCTATGGCATTCCAAATTCATATAATTAAAAGTATAAACGTTGTCAAAGCCCTCGCTAGAGTCTGTTAACGCGGCAGCAGAAAAACGAATCAGGTATCGTGTGAACAGGGCAATTGCTGCGGTCTCTAAACAACGATAGCCTAATGTAGAGTAAATAGCCAACACGGTACAGTAAATCAGCACACAAAAAACCTAAGATTTTACAGCCTACATGACATTTTTCTTTGAATCAGCACCTCACGTTTCACAGCCTGTCTTGGCATAACATATGAAATTGTATTAATTTTAAAGTACATTGCCCGTGAACCGATTTCAATCAAATTCATCATCAAAGTTCAGGTTTTAGATCAGAACCTTATGTAAGAGCCTTTGAGCTTGAAATTTTCAGATGCACCTTTAAAACGAAGGCAAAGGAACAGTCTAAAACTCGAAAAGGCAAGTCCTCTTTTAAGGAGATTTGCTGTACAAAAAGCATTTTGGGCTTAGAAACGTATGATGAGAAACAATACAGTTGTTTAGGAATGTACGGATAAGCAGAAAGGTGGCATACATAGTATTTTGATATCGGGCTATGTTCGAACCACCGTTAATAAATTCGCTTTCTTTTTCTAATACAATTTTACTTTAATTCAAAATTAGATCGTCACATTTTATTGTACAGCACGCGAGCTAATATATAGTATCTTGAGGTACCACCGGAGAGGTATCATGTTTTGCTAGATGTCATATTTTTAGGAGAGCATTCCCTGACCCTAGGCGACCTGTGATTCGTTGATGCAGTCAAAAAATTCATCGACGTATATGACACGGGGTTAATCGGATTATCTGAACCGGATTCTTCACCTTCGCCCATACTGTTATTGTTAGGTAATTTAGATACATGATCAAAGCCTTACCAGTGCAGGCGTAGTTATAGAGGTTGACTGTTAGCGTGTCCATTATGTTCTTCAGCCGTTTTGTCAATATGGAATCTGGCAAGCTCTTTCTAAGCGAGAGACCAAACACGTCCAAAAATGAATTAAGCGAATACTGGTACATGGAGTTGATATTTGACATTTCTGCAAGCACAAAAAAAAGCACAGCACCCAGTTTCGCTGCTGGTCGATATCCATCCCTAAGTTTGTCAATATCCTTCGCCGTTTTTGCTCCAAGCTTGAGTTTTTCGGCTACCTAGAATCAATTGCAAAATAAAGTTGTAAAAAAAATACAACAGTTTACGAAATCAATATTGGAAAATTAAAGTTGCAAACGTTTTAGAATAAGCAGACAGCCACTCCGAGTCCTGCCCTGGCTGTGTGACAAGCTCACCTTTCTCTAAGCATATTTTCCTAAATCCTGTTCTCCTATCAATTTTAAAATAGGAAAAGCTAAATAGTTACATCTTCATTTGATCCTCGGGATTAGCACTTAGTTTTTAAATTTTGAGCAGTGAAGGGCCTTTAACAAAGTTTTCTTGTTACTGACAAGAGGTTTACTCACTTCCGTAGCTTTTCCCTTTGTGTCTTCCAATGTTTGCACCAATTCTGCATTATCAAGCATGTTTCCAGTTGATGTTGCCAATTCTCTGAGAAGCGTGTCTTCTAGATCTTTCAGTAGGCGCTTATTATCACTAGAAAGAAACGTTTCTGTCATCATACACAAACGACATTAAAAAATTTTTAATCAGTTATTCGTAAAGGATGCTCCAAAATTTGTCTTAATCCAACAGCTAAATCTTAATGACCAACAAACCTCTAGTCTTTTACAGTTTGTTTTTAGGGCTTAGAGCAAATAAATGACACTTGTTAACTGTTAACATATCATTAAAATGAGAATAACAACTACGGCCGCAAAAGTGCAGAGGACAGAATTTAGAGGGAAAAGTAGGCCACCAGAGTTTAGAGAATACATACTAAAAAGTCTTAAGTTTAATGAGCTATAGTCAAAATGCTTGGTATATGTCTTGCCTTGTTTCTTGAATGAGCCTCTCTCTTTGTTCCTCTAACTCTTTCCGCTCAAAGCCAACAATCACACTTAACAACTGATCTTCAAGGCCCTTGAATATAAAAAATGACAAAAGCTTAATTTCTGCTGGTTAATATAGTCATGATTATGTGAGCACCAATGAAACCTTATACTGCCATGCGAAGCTAACGTAAATCAGCCTCGTTACTAAAGACTGGAAAGCAAAGAAAGCTCATGCCTTTCAGCTACATTAAGTAATTGAATAGCTTACTAACATAGCTTGTCTCTTAGCTCATGCAGATGCTACAAATCTAAAACAGAGAACAAAATAACTTTGCCAGCCGGGCCATTTTTTACGTATGAACTACGGATAACTATAACGCCAGTGACAAAAATTTTGTATAAGCATTTTGCAGAATTAAAAAGATAAGCATTTTGCATAGGTTAAAGTTTGGCTCAAAGATATGACCCCCTGTATGAAAATGCCCATTAGATTCAAAGTGTTTCATTCACCTTAAGAGTAACCGTGTAATTGACAACCATGCATTTTCCGAAATGGGCCGGTGTGTACTTTGGATTGGACAGCTTCGTATTCAGGTAGAGCCTAAAGGCAGGATCGTAGTCGATCTCTTTGTCACCAAGAATTACGCTTTGTCGTCCAGCTTCACCTATATAGTAAACATGTTCCTCTTAACAGTTATTTCAACAAAACTTAGCTTAGTTAATAAGGCCAACCAAGGAAATTGTGGAATTATAATGAGATGAAAGTAGAGATCCTTGTATTCATACGTAAGATTTCTGAAATCATAAGCAAGACAACTGTTGAAAGTACAGGAATGGAATGTAAAAATATTCAAAATTTTTATCAGCAAATCTATACTATTTTGCTACCCACGATGACCTTTCAGATTGCAGTAAAAATAATCATTTCTAGCTAACAATAGCTCTGTGTTGCAACTTAGAACCGTCCTGTTCTAAACACCAAAAGCGTGTACACCTCTGCCCATACCGCATCGATTACTTAACGATACACCGGTAAACTGTAATTTTGATTATTTAAACTTTATATGATTGATTTATACAGGAAGTGTGTCCTAGGGCCTTGGTTTTCGTTAACAATTTTAAGTATAATTTTTGACTAGAAATTCAACGCACCTTTGATGTTTTTCTCAAGGACATTGTCAATCACTGGGTCGATGTATTCATCAACGTCCTTGAAGAGCACTGGAAAACCGTATTTGATTGCAAGTTCAAGCTGCTTCAAGAACTCTGGATCGTTGAAAGTAAGTACCTATGAAAAAACAAAATTCAATATTGGTTTAACACAATTCGAAGAGTTTTGCATAACCCTTGATAGCTGTATAGATGTATCAACATTACTGGTACTTCTAATAGCTTTATTTTAGGCATGCTACTTCAAATGTACAAATTCTTTTAGTATAATGTACACGCTTCTTCTCTACGCAAAGAGCTACCTGTCCCTTTTTTGACTACACCCAAACTACCAGACCCTTTGTATTGAAGGTTCGCTGTTCCCTAAATTTTCTCCCATGGTGTGCAAACCAATAACTATTTGTATCAAAAATGCACAAGCATTGCCTACCATCTACATCCCACCGTCTCGCATCCTTAAAGGATACCCTTTGAATGGAGACTTCTGTTTGGGGTTTAATAAAACAGTTTGCCAAGAAAATCATAAACTACCTTGAGATTGTTCTTTTCTTCTTTCTTCTTAATCCAGTTCAATGCCTGCTGTTGGGGATCGATACAAAGAGGGTATCTGCTCGCCTGAGTTGTGAGAATGCCATTTTCGATGGACAACTCATCAGGAGGAAGACCCTCCGATGTCCACTTGCTTATCTCCACGTCGCTCGTTAGCAATGTATCCAACTTAAATGGCTGGCTGATTGGTATTTCCCTCGCCAATATATCTGCTTCCCATTCCTTGCGTAACAAGTCGTTTCTGAAATCCCAGCTGAAAGCGCCGAGGTAGCTAAGAAAGGCTGCTCCAAGTAAACAGTCACCAAGTAAACGCTTGCGTTGCTTTTTGAGCTCTTCAAGGTCTTCCGTCCACCTAAGCAATTATAATTTCTTTATTGGAAACAAGGCTCCATAGAAAATGAAAACTTGAAACTAACTGAACTCCCCCAAAATAGTGCCGTAAGTTGAACAGAATTGTTGGGGGAGGGGGTACGATTGACAAGGGATTTTCAAGATTTTTCGTAATATTTTGCGGGTGCACCCTATTCACTGCTATTCATTTTTCACAAAATTTCACAAAAGTTGCACTGCTACTAATCGAATTCGTCTAAAATGATACTAGATCATATGCTAACAAAATAAAAGGAACTGTAAACATACCTGATTTTCTCTGATCCGAGGCCTGATATAAGTTTGTCAGCTGCAATCAGCCTCCGTTCCATAATGTTGGCCTCTTCCTGCAGACTCTGCCTCTCTTTCATTGCTTCTTCATACTTATCCCCGAGGGACTTCAACAGAGCCTCGATAGCAGCAACTTCTTTTTCTATTCTTTCAAGGTCTCTTTTGCTCTGCATGAAATTTCTCTCAAGCCGTGCAACCTGTGAAGTCGATCAAAGAGGTCAAAAGATGCAATATGTCTTAGCAGACTTTGCAATTTATGTCTAATATAATCCAGGGTGAATATTTAAGAATATGATTTTCTTCCCTACTTCACCATTCAAAGTAAAAAGAAACAGATTTCAAATGAAGATCTTGGGCTTAGACTTCTTAGGTCCGTATGGTCTACAAAAGTCTGCAAGAGGCGCTGTATATTTTCCAGTTCTTTTTCTAATTGGCTACTACTTGCTTTTAACCCCTTGGCATAGTTCTTCTCGACATGTTGCTTACAGCATTGTCATAACAATACTCTTCCACGTCATCAAGTACACAGTTCTGAAATGTTTTGCTAGTACATTTTTCTTACTTGTTGTAATCTTGGTAATAGGTAACAATTCTCTTTTGCAAAGTAGTGGAAAGTGTAAAAGTGTTCAGTAATAAGACTAAGGATAAGAACTTAACCTTTTCTCTCTTCGGTTTGATGGTCTTTGCAACATCACAATATCCCATAATTGCCCATACGAATTTCAGTAAACCAGCGCCAGCTTTGCTTATTTCTTTCATTTGATCGATCGGAGTATCCATTTCTCTTAGCAATCCCTTCACATTTCTTACCTGAAAATCGATTCCAAAGATGCTTCAATTCAATTGATCTCCAAAGCAGATAGAAAAAAGTTTATACAAAGTTTGCTAATTTTTTGGGTGCATGGAAACTCAAGAACTGGAAACTCAATGTTGTAGAACATATCTGAAAATATGATGCGTCTCTTGGTAAGGGATTTAAAAAAAATCCCTGTCTATTCTGTCATTGGCTACAGAGGGGTACGACGAAACTCGCCGCTGTACGAAAATCAATTTTGCTTGGTACATCCGCTGATATACGGTCTGCTAAAATTCCATCTCTGTATGCCAATGAATCAAACGGCACCAACAAGTAGTTTTTGATTTTTTCATTATCTTCACGTTCTTCAGCAATGAGTAATGCATTATTCCTTGCTTAAACTTTATAACTCGGTAACATACCTGACCAGAGGAAATGCCATCGACATCGAGGTCTTGAAGAGATTTCAGAAAACCAGATTCGGACATCATTGCTTTGGCAGTCTTCCATGATACATCCTTGATGCCTCGCAGTATGACAATGCACTCCAGTGTTAGCTGCACTGGTTTGGGTGGCTTTGAAAACGTTCTGAAAGTAAATACCAAATACGATATATTGCTAGTTTAGCAACGAACACAAAAGATTAGTCTTGTGTTTATAACAAAGTCCATAGTGCAGATGAATATTATAAAGAATAATGAAATTGTAGGGTCCGGACTATTGAATTGGTTAACAGTACCCCTGGTTTTAATCATGAATCATTTGTGGATTAGATAGGATTTCATTTAGGCTGTATGCTAATGGAAAACAGATCTAAGTGATGCTTATGCTGATTGGAGCTTGCTTACTAAAGACAAGAGTATCTCTGCATTTGATTCTGTATTTATACTTTTAAGCGTGAAATATTGAGGTATTACAAGAGAAATGGAGGCAACAATAAAGAAAAGCAAGAGGGGGGCAACAATGAAGACAATAGTTTTCAATTTAAGAAAGATAAACTTTAATTTGCCTATAAGGTGTCGTGTTACTAGAGAAAACTGAACTCTAAGAAAATAGTTTTGCTTACGATCTACTCCCCTTTTTATTAACAAAAATTCCTTTTTATCTTTGGTTTACGAGACTCATTCTGAAGATCAGCTAAAAATTGAACTGAAGAGCGTGCTGAATATAACACTGCTTAATTTGAAACATTCATATAATGCTACAAAAAGAAACCTGATTTCAGTGACGTCTGATCGGTCAAGCTCCTGCAATGCAAGACGGGCCTCTTCAAGCGCGGGCAAGGCCTCCGCAAGGGCATCTTCGGCTTCGGCCTAAAAGACAAAGGCAAGTTTGAAAAGTCGATTGACGCAAGAGCCTTTGTGGGAGAGGCATATGTGATAGTAAACAATGTTGACATTGCTTCAACTGTAAAAAATAATGCTAGCCAGAAAAAGATTAGCGAAATTAATAAGGGATACGGACAAGAAAAACTGATAATTTTGTTTATCTGTAATCAATGCAATAAAATCTCCTTTCGCAACATATTAGGCCCTGTTATTTTGTTCAATTTAATATACTTTTTGCTGCTTTGCTTTCAAGTTGAGATTGAAAAGCATTGCCTTTACATATCGATTTTATCATGAAGTTTCACCATGTAAAGTTTAAATGAATTCTTGAAAACAAAATAGTTGATAATGTTTAATCGTGAACAGGCATGTGATAGTTAGAAACCTTTTCTTCTGATATTTTTATTTTCTCTTCAGCAATCTCTGATCGTTTGCCTACAGCCATTTCCTTCTTCTCGTTAGCCTGGTTCGTCTTCTGTGTGATCTCCTCCAAAAGTTTCTCACAGGCCTCAGTTTTCTCCGTCACAGCTACCTTTTGAATCTCCAATTTTTCGTTTAACTCCACCAACTGCTCACTTGCAGCTAACAGTTTTGACAGACCTCCATCTAAACGTCGACACTATAACAGAATTGACTATTTATAGACAGCTGTAGACTCCTAAACATTCAACGTACAGAAAATCTTCGGAAACTTTAATAAATTGGTTTGATCTTCTATTACTTCTTCTAGTTGCTTGAAATCTTTCCAAAACACCTTCAAAACTGATTATCTTCTAGAAAAAATCGTCACAAATTTCCATACCTCGTTGTCTATACTGATTCCTTTTCCAATTACGCTTCCATAGCTTGTAGCATTTTATAGGGAGACACAATAATATTGGCTCAACAAATTTTGTACGGGCAATAACAAGTGATAAAAGGTTTATATCATAAACGGCAAGATTGCTTTCTTAAATAGAACACTAACCTGTTCAAGCACGAACTGATCTTTTTCTTCCAGCAGTCGAACATACGTTTTGATGAAGTCCAAGTAATTCTTTGGAGTGACGTAATTGACTCTTCGAAGTTTTTGTAGAAACATTTTGCTGTAAACCCCAACCGATCCGTGAACTTTGACCACGTGTTCAATGACATTGTCCTTGTATTCATCGGGTATCTTGTTTTGCTTTTCAAGAGAACGAAAAAAACTTGGTAAAAAGACAAAAAACACAAAGTATAACATTCTACGTTTTCTCTTTTCCGAGCCTTTTTAATATTTATATAAAGAGGCAAAAGTCAATCTTTTCTCATCATAACAAATTCCATAATCTTTCACTGGAAATTAAGTTTTCTTTTCAGTTTCAAACAGTCTCATTAAAAACTACATTGCAACCAAAGGAAAAGACAATTGCGACAAAAAGCCGATGCAGCTATCAAGACACATCACATATCTAGCGGCTTTCGGAGCCTGATGCTAATACCTGATGGTCTTGCATTGACAATCGCAAAAAATAACTTTCTTCAAATTTTTTATGCTAGACAAACTTACTGCCAAGAGGTATGCGCTCATCTGCATCAGCTCATCTGGCAACTCTACTTAGGCACAAATTTTGATTCTATTTTAGAAGATACTTACTTCTTCAAGAAATCGCGAAGCTACAGCAAAGAGAGCTTGTTGCGGCCACGCCATAAACCAGTCGATGCTGGTGTTATTAACCAAGCCTGGGAAGTTCCTGCACCGCGTCTTCAGTGTATCGCCGACGGGCGACATGGCCAACACGATGTGTAGGTTGTTTGCACACTTAGTTACAAAAAACTGCCATACCGCCTCTCTGCTCGGTCCTACGCCATGTTTCTGCGCTTCGGGGCGTATCTAGCATTCACGAAGAGTAAAAAGATTAGTTTGCACAATAACTAGAAAGACTACCATTTTGAGAATAATCCTTATATTATGCAACACATAGGCGAGCCTTTTTGCCAATGTCATTTATATATTTGTTTACCGACTCCAGCTTTGCCTTTATCTTTCGTTAAGGTGCATACGTGACCACCCTGTCAAAACCCAGGGTACCAGAAATATACCAACCTAGCTGTTGCAGAGAGAGGGACACTATTGCCGTCGACGAGCCGCTTGCTGCGTACCTTTTTGCAAAATAAATGCATTTGTCCAAAAACCCACAGCCATCGTTTTCGTTGTTTCACTATCGACTTTTACTATCCAGCTTTTTACCTGATCTGGTGGATTTAAATGAGACCACGGGTCTGAAAAAAGATAATGGCCTACCTGATTGAGAATGGCTTCTTTTTCATCATCTGCAAACAATGCAGGGACCATTCCGGAAGTGAGCATGTTATTGATTAATTCCAGGAAACCTAAAAAGAGGAAATAGTCTCCATAAACTGATAAGATCTAATGCTAATCAAGTGATACACAAATACTTGCTAGATGCCCCTAACTTCCCAGATGTGTGTGTTTAAATAATGAACTAGAAATAAGGAAAAGCCGAAAAAATCTAAGTTTATTGAAATACTCTTTCTGACTTTTGAAAAAATATTCCACGGAGAGCTGAGACTATCATGGAATGCTGAGCAGCACAAAAAAGTTGGAGAAGATATCTGTACATGTTCTAGGTATCGCACATGAACGTGGCCGGAACTGGTAGTCGAAGATTTTCACAGTTGAACCTCTAATAGCGGTCACTATTCAGAGGTGGTCGCTATATAAAATTCGACTGTACAAAATTTTGAATTTCTGACAATACTCGAAACTCACTATCTCACCTTCTTGGGCAACATGACCATCAGTGAATAAAAATACCATTTTTTTGTCTTCCATTCCAAGTTTTTGGTACAAGCTTTTCAGATCTTCCCTAAAGTCGTTCTCAGCATATCCACGAGTCAGCGTTATTTCGAATACATCGCAGCCAGCAGCGAAGGCGGCCAGTCGAGTGAGACTTTGCTTTCCGCTGCCACCCACGCCGACAAGCAAAGCGTGCCCCTGATCCATGCGGATAACACGATGAATGCGCGTAAGGTGCTCTAATGCGTCGTCAAATAGAACGAGGCTCATTGCATTTCTATCAACGTTATACTCTTCAAGAATCTGAAATCAACGATATTCATGACAAAATCAGGACCCGGAAAAATGGCAATCATATGACTGAAAAGTGTCGAGGGAGAGTTAAGTACAGACCCCAAATCCCGCCTTATTATCTTTAAGGAAGATTCACCAAACAAGGGGTATTTTGCCGAGAATATTCTTCAATCCTTGTAAAAATCCCTGGGCAAAGAAGCAAAAACCTTTTAGGTATGACACCTATCCAAAATCGATCACTGCATTTTAGAAACTTATAAACTTTGATAAAATTTGGTTCCAAAGAACACCTACAAAAGAGCATTTGGTTCCAAAAAGACGTCAAAACGTTTAACACTAAAGAACCTAAAATGAAAATAATCCGAGAGTAGCAATTTCATTAAACGTTTGGGGATAGCAAACCTCTTCAAAGATGGCCTTAGAAGCTGTATAATCGACTACATCTTCGTAAAGTCTAGGCTCTTCTGTTAATGCATTGCGATAGTCTCCATACAATACTGGGTCTCGAAGCACCACTGAGGAATGATCCGCAAAATGTTCTTCAACCAGACGTTTTAAATGTCCCTACAAAATGGAAATGGCTTCAGTAATGTTTCCATCATAAATAAATCATTAAATGTCTTAGGATCTATGCTTTTTATTCATTACAAGAGTGAGTACTTTGGAGTCATATGAATTAATTAGTTTGAGTTAAATTTGAGGACCTTAACGCCTAGATTTCATTATAAGACTCGATCGTGACGCTGCTCCAGCAAGCGAGTGAAACTTAGAGTGACGTGTGTCTTAGCAGCGTCCAGACAAAGATATGCATTAGAGGATTTCAGACAGACTGAAGAAAAGAAGAAATTTTTCAGACACAGAAACTATTCTTCACAGTGATTGCTTCAAAACGCTTCTGTCTGAATTCAATTTTGTGTAAGTTCCTGATTTCTTTGCGACGGCGTTGCATCGCTACATATCCATCAAGCCCTTGTTACGATAATGCTACTAGGAGGTACCTGGACAAGGTCTTTGTCATTATCATTGATCAAGCGATCATAGAACACCCGCAGACATTCATTCCTCCAAACTCGAATCACTTGTTGTGGCTCACTGAACCGATCTGGCGTTGTCAGGCACAGTCCGTGGTAAACCCTAGACAAATCTCTAAGGTTGAATATGTAATGGAACTTCGATGGCGTTGGTGGCAGCTCGTGCACGATCTTTGAGTACAGCTCTAGAGTACAGTTGGTGATGGGACTTGTCAAATTTCGGATTTCCTTTTTGAACGGAGCTAAGTGACCATCCAGTATGGAGAAGTATATCTTTTTAAGTGACTCTTCTGACGGAAATGTCATGTTAAACACACTGAACAACGTGAGAAATCGAGGATCCACTTCATTCCTTCCTCCTCCGGCCTAAAATTGTCAGCATAATTTTTAAGCATAATTGAAATCATAGTATCCTTGTTTTACCTGAAGTAGTCCTTCAGGCAAGTAGCATGGTTGCAATGTATCAAAATAATTTACGTAATATAAACAAAATAATATTTTGAGTTGACATGATATTCTAGCTTTCAGATGTATTCAGATTGGGCTTCCACAAATATTTGTTATCTGTACAATGACAATGAGACGGTACGTATTTAGCCAAATTTACATTTACAAAAATCTACTTCTAGAAATTTTCAGCTCTGACAATATAACATAAAAGCTGTGAAAATATATCTAAACGCGCAAAATCAGCTAGGTATGTTGATAGTTGGGTGAGATGTGGCCCAAATTACAGAGGTTTTATAGGAAAAAGTCTGTGCTTATATGGCCATATCTCATTGAGTTTTTAAACTTAGTCAACATTTAGAGATATTTATAAATTTGGAACTCTATTGAGAATAAAGTAAACATAAAAAAAATTTACAAATCTGACCTTTCCCATTGCTGCAAGGAAACCAATGTCCCTGAAATGCTTGAATGTGAGTTCTTTTCCTCTGTCATACATTCCCCCCTTTTCAAGGAGCAGCTTCAATAAGGCAATTGGCTGCTGTGTACCATAGGTATCCACCTTGCAGAGAAACAATACAATGCAGTTCAATGCTAATTTTGATACTGAAAGCCAATCGTCATTCTTATTTAAATGAAGGATCGATCGTTTTAAGGACTGTTTTGGATCCATAGATAAACAATTTGTGTCACAATTTAAAGCATCTCGTGCATGTTTACGAATACGATCGTCGACACGTTTGTGCGAAGGCAATGTCCTAGAATTCTTCCAATGTCCTAGAATTAAAGCCATCGCCTATTTTATCATGTAACATACTTGACCGAGTTGATACTGAAATAACTAAAAATGAAGAAAGTTTTGCAAATTTATTGAAACCTTGATTTAAACAACGATTTACCGAATCCCCATAATACTGCCACTGATTGCATAATTTTTCAAAGGAATCTTTTTATACGGAATATACATGAAGAAGGACAAAACATCAAAGGAACTTATACTACCAAAGACAAAATCCCTAAGGAACTTGTCAATTTTGATTATTTGTGTCATTGCAAACAATAGAGAATTAGGAAGCTGGTTCCGTTAAGGCCGATTTCAATTTGACAATTTGAGACCCTATCAACTTTCTGGCGCTCACAGCGGACACAAAATCGAGACAACTTAATTTTAACTACGCATGCTCAGAATTGGGCGCTACACCCGCGCGCACAAAAAATGTCAAATGGAAATCGGCCTTTAATTTGCAATCAAACTCGCATGCATGTGCAAGTGTTTCATCGGGAAGTTTTCGTTTATTCACTAGGAAAGTTGGTACCTGCGGCATATTCATGTCATCAATAAACACCAAAAGTTTTTTTCCCATAGGAGGACCATACGTATCTTTGGTTCTTTTCTCAACGTTTGCCTCTAAATTCCGTTGAACATCCATCGATGTTGTTCGCGAAGAAAAATTTATGTTTAGTTGCAGCTGTAAAAAAAATACACATTAGAAATGATTTCTGCAAAAAACAACAATTGAAGAATGGTTTGCCTTATTGAAACAATTTTACTTACATTGAAATAAACTTTACTAGCATCAAATTGCCTGTAAATTCTACTCTTAGTTGGATCCTTAACACAGTTGACAAACAAGCAATACATACTTCTTACATATAACACAATCATTGTCGATAAAATGGGGACAGCTTATAGAACATACGTATGTATCCGTATCGAGTTTTCGCAAAAAGCTCTGCACTGTGGCTGTTTTCGATGTCCCTGTCTCACCAACCAAGACTACTGGCCTCTGTATGCCAACCATCAGCTCTATCAACCACTTACTTCTGCAAGTATCTACTGTCGGCACGAGAATTTCGTTGAATTTTATAACTGGGTCGTGTACATAGTTCGGCACGACGCTCACCCAAGGCACCCATTTGGACTTCTCCACGTCGAAGTAATACTCGTACAATGTCGGCTGGGCTGTCGGGATCTCACCCGGTCCGACTGTCACTCCTTCAGATGCATTAGTGGAAAGGGCGGAAAGACGCTTAACATAGTTATCGAACTTTAAACGGCCGTCTTCTAGGAGACAAGAGCCGACTGACCATATCAGAGATGTTATGAATATCCCTTCGATTATATCTTGTCCAGCAAATGTGTTTGTTTCCGGTGCTGGCAGGAGAGCATTGAGCATCATGGCTAGCTGGGTGACCTGTTGGGTACAAGCAAAATAGCTCACAATCCAAAAGGTTATCTTTTACTAGGTGGGTATGTACAAAAGCCAACAATTAATTTGACTACAAGGTGATCTTTATGGACAGTAGTTCAGTAATAACGCGTAATAACATTCCTAATCTTTTAAATTCAACGAACTACTTTCTTTTGCATAGTTCATACCTTATTCGGGACTGGAGCTCAAAGCTCAAGGTCACAAAAAACGACAAACATTAAAAAAATAACAAATAGAAGACAAAAATAGAAAATAACGACAACCAAGGTTTTCTTGATAAAAGGCGATGCCTGGAATCAATTCATTTGGTTTCTCGACAGGAAAGACGGAGAATGCGCAATGCCAAGGGTGACATGACATTTAGCGTGAACCGTTTCATAAGTCTTTCACAACAGCGTAGAAATAAAGAATTTATAAGATCCTTGACGCAAACAAACTAGTGTCAACTTACCATATTCAGGTTTGTCTGTGGAACAATCGTTTTGAGCCTCTTTCCTTGCTTGCCATCGACAATGCCTTCTAGAACAAGATCGATGCACTGGGGCACATACTTCTCAAACAAATTCATCAACTCCTTTTGCTCGTTTTTATTGACTCTCGCGCTACACCACTTGTCCCAAAATGGTCTGTAGCCAAGGTTCTTTGGATCCACATACACCATTCCACACCTGGAGACAGTTGCAGGCGAGGCATATTTCAAATCAGCAACCTGAAATGAACATATTGATTGATATAAAGCAATTCTTATACGCACATTTTGCCTAATTGATACGTACGTCTACAGATGCCGTGCAAAAAGGTTTAAAGAAATTGTCAGTACCAGCCTGTGTTTAGGTATAGGACAGAGAGAGCATTGGTAAGCGCGCTAAAAGCATCTTAATGGGGTCTACATTCCATTAAATCAGGAATGCCAGAAATTTATTGCATTTTGGATCTATTCTTTCATTATACTTAAAAATGTTCCTTTGGAAGACTCCCTTTCAGCTAGTGAAATTGTAATCTTATCTTTAGAAGGGATTTTAGCAATAAGATTAAGAAGGCCAAAAAGTACTTAGTAAATCTCTAAGAGTAACATGGGTTTGTCTCTCCTTTCACCAATCCTTCAATCATTTTTGCTGATTTTAGCTAGTTCTTCTTAAGATCAAAGACCAATGATAATGTTCTGATACCTCGAACAGCAAAGCACAATGCTTCTGAAGTCTGATTCTTTCACCATTTGCCAGCGTAAGCAGCTTATTGTCATCCATAACAGAATTCATGTTTTCAACCCAGAGTGCGTCCACATCTCCGTCAAAAAGTATGTACTTTCTTTCACTTTTGTCTGTTGGTTTATTTACTTCCCTGAAAATATTCGACAGCAATCCATCCGTCCAGTCACGTGTTATTGGGTCAAGGGTACCATAAAGCTCAATGACGGAGCAGGCCTTTGCATTCATCGTGTATAACTTGGTTGGAAGACCGAGCCTGGAAACAAAGGAGCCATTTGGACATGGTTTATACCTCACAATCAGAGAATTGGTGTCAATTTGTTTATATGACAATATGGACATTCTTTTGATCAACCACTATGGCTAAAGAGTCAAAACATATTTTACCTTTTTAAGAATTTATTTGAATCGCTCACATATAAAAAACACTTAATATATTTTACCGTCTTATTGCTTGTGCTTAGAAATACCTCTAGATATCTCAATAAAGTTTGGGTCAAAATTCGTTACCAGCGTCAGAAAATGCAGTGACGAGCTCAGTTTTTACTTCCAAGCAGCCGGCGGTGGAAGCAAGAATTAAGTGTTAATAACTAACCTAGTCTGTGCTTGACATAGCGTATTTATAACAACTGACTTCCCACCGCCAGTCGGCCCAACAATCATTGTCGTGTGCCTCGTCAGCATCGTCTCATACATCTGCACCACTTTATCAACCTGAAAAATAACAGAAGGTAGTTTGACAAACTTTAATTGTCGTGGTATTGGAAAAAATATTTCACTCACACTTTCTAGATTACTTCTCTTTTAAAAAAAGTACAATATAAGGCCATCTGGCATAAGTCTGCCCGGCAAGACTCTTCTTTTAAATGGACATTAAGCAATATAAATATTATAATTTGTGAAAAAGTGAGTAAATAAAGTATTGTGCAGATACAGCGTAAAAAACCGATAGAAAACCCTCTGTTTGAAAATAACATGCACTTTGGCTGTAGGCCTGATGGGGATCTAGCCTCCAAGCTTCCAATCCTATAAGCGAATCCTGTAATGAGTGAGACGCTTGAATGTGTTTATATATGTTTCATACAGTTCTTGATATATTCTGAACCAGCCTACCTGTTCAGGGAGCAAAACATAGCGGTTGTCTTGAAGAACAGATTCCACAGCATCATTAAAGTTTGGATACCGCACACGCGGGCAGTCGAGTCCTGGGAACAAGTCGGCAATCAATCCGAGAAACAGCGGTACGTCTTCAAACACGAACTTGGGCAGATTCATATCACGAAGTGCGCGCATGAGCACCACGTCCTAAACAAGAATAGAAGCTATTTAGTAAAAAGAATTGAACCCTTCATTGAACGCATCGAAGTTTAGAAAAAGTGTAGATATGCTGCTAGGGGTGTCTCTCTTTTCTAGAAAAGTTGTCGGTCTTGCATGCAGAGAAGATTGCTGCAAATAGAAAACACGCTTACAGGACTTTCAAATCTTGTGCATAATGCTGTATGGTGGGCGCTCTCTGAAACCAGGACGATCTAAGGACCTTCCTTGATATCAATTTAATGTTCCGTACAGCAAGAATTTTGGTGATTAGAATGAAGATCAAGATGATAAGAGTTCTTTCCGGTTCCTTCCGGTTCTATTATATTTTGTACCTTGCCAGTATCTTCTAAATTATACATGAGTTTCAGTTTCAAATCATGGATTTGGGCCTGTGAATTTTGTTGGCCTAAAAGTGCATTCTCAAAAATTGTATCAATAGAATGATGCAAATAACCTCAGGCAAATCAGGAGATCCTCGTTTCAATTCGCCAGCCATGACTAAAACTGCCTTCAAGGCTCGTAGGCCAAAATCGTAGTGAGATTGCTTTGACAATTGTCCTGCAGCAAGTTTGTAGAGAACGGTCATCTTTTTGGCAAGCACCTATGAAGAATGTTTGAAACAATAAGACATGAAACAATGAAACAATAAATCAGGCTGGTGGCTTTAAGCTTTTGTCAGATATTTTCTCTCTGGGATGCATGAAATCAAAATGAATTGGAATTCCGAAGAGACTGTTTTCAGCGTTTATCTGGGATTATTGCTTAGAAATCATCCATAATGAAATTTGAACCCAATCTACAAAAAAAATTATCTCCTTCTATTCCAAGTTAACTCGTTGATGAGTTAAAGAGCGTTTCATCCCAAAATAAACACACCTATGATATGAAAAGGTTGTAATAGTGAAGTGAGAGAGCATAACCTTTTAAAGGCCGCTTCTTAGTGACATTTTTCAACCCTGTTGGATTTACAAGCTTCTAAAACTGAAAGTTTTACAGCTGATGCACAAAAAATTCAAGATCGAATTGAGGACAGGAATTCACTCACCTTCGCCAGCAAAAAGCCCTCTGAAAAAAGCATGATTTCGCAAATCTGCTGAAGATCTGGCACAATGCAAACAACTGGTCTAAAAAGCGCCTTCACACTCTCTGGTAGCTCGGTTCGACCTGCATAGCCAGGGTTCATTGTGATGAAGATGCCCATTCGATGATCAAGATTGATCTCAGTCCCTTCAAACTGTCAAAGCAGAATAAACCATGTAATCAATTAAAGGCAAGAAATCTCACAGGACAGGATGCTTGCAAGACTCTGGTCGCTCTACAAAGCATCCAAACACAACCATCGCTATTGACATAGCTCAAACATAAGAAGAGTGAATATCTTCTAACTAGAACATACCTGTAGTCGTTTCAGCTTAGAAGCAAGAGCATTCTGCAGCGTTTTTATCTGTGTCGAAATCACAGACAAGACTGATACGTCAATACGATTGAATTCATCAAAGCAACCCCAAGCTCCACACTGTGCCAGGCCGGAGAAAATCTTTCCAATAGACTGCAACAAAAACGTTCAGAAGTGACTCTGATTCTTCGGAAATCTGAATTTAAAAGTCATGTCAAGGTTTCTCTGAACTATCAATGGCTAACATCCATGCTTTGCGTAATACAATGTTAAGTCTTGCTACACTTTTTCAAAGGAGTCAAATGTGGCAATACTTCCTTTTCTCGCCAGGGTACAAATACCAGTTAGATTAGCATGTACTTCAATAACCTGAGTCATTAGATAAAAGTCTATTCGATATTTTCATTTATTTAGTTGATATTATATTCGATATTAAGAAAAGAACCAGTGAAAGAAGGGTGGTCTTCAAAATGAAACTATAGCGGCCAAATAAACAATTTTAAATGAATAAAAACAGAAGACTACAGAAGATTGCAAAAGAAATTAAGAACAAATCCACAATAAGCATGTAAAGAAGTTTCATTTGTGTTATACTTTGTTACGCTGACTCGATGTGTTGTTTAAATTGATTTACAGAAGCTTACTTTAAAATCCATGCCCTCTCCGCAGTTTGTAACAACACAAAGTAGCCCAAGAGCTTTTGCCAAATCTTTCGTTGTTTCAGTTTTACCAGTACCAGCAGGTCCAGCTGGTGCACCACCAAGGTACATTGACAATGCCTAAAGTCGATCGAAAAAGTCTAATTACACAATATTGTCTTAACGGAGCAGGTATTTCCTTCTTTGGAAATGCGCCAGTAACATAACGTGATAGGCTGTACATAAAAGGGCTGTAGGACACAAGCAAAGAAAGTATGCCCCTAACTTCATTTAAGCTTGCTGGAACGCACAAAATACCACTAAGAGAGTGTTTCAGCTTAAGGAGGAAATGCAATTAAGGCCTTTCCTCTTCTTAGAACATGAAAGCAATAGCTAGCACCCTTAGGACCCTATCACCTAGTACGTTGTATGATTACAGCGTGGTATGAATACTGTCAATGAGAGCAAATTTCCTTTCCATTGAAGAGAAAACTCGAAGCCATCAATCCCTAACCTTTTTCCCCTAGAAAAATCTATTATTATTATTATTATTATTATTATTATTTTTATTATTATTATTATAAATTATTATTATTCTTATTATTCTTGCTAGTATCGTTTTTTAATTTGGCAAAAAAGATAGCTAAAAATGATATTAACACAACCACTTAGATAAAAAATTATAAAAAATTTTCTAAAAGCTAACATATTTATAAATTCCCTACATGATTTATAGAAATTTTGCATAACCCGCAGTCGCAAGTATTTCCATTCAGTAGTTAGCTGTTAGCTTGATAAAGCAAATGTGGAACGTAGTTAAAGCCCATACCTGAGAGATTGTAAGATAAATCCTATCTGTCAACGGCGTAATTACAAGCCTTCCATTCAGCCCCATATATTCATATCCGTAACCAAATTCCCCGGTGCATTGCATCACCATCAATTCATCTGGTTGCTGCTTCCAGTAAAATCTCAGCTGACTTTCCCATTCAAATTCTCTTGAATCCATGATGCTAATTTGATAAAAAAAACAATTCTTGTCAAGAACTTTCATTAAGACATCAGGCAAAAGAATTTTTATTTGGGCACAAACTCTAATCTCGTCATATAAGCAACGATACGAATGATATCATTTCTATTAATTTTCCACTCCATTTTTTCTTAAAGGGACATCCAAAAGAGGCAGTAAACAGCTATTCTACGTCATTGTTAGTGGTGGCGCTATTCTGCGAGAGGGCTTGGCTTTTTGACAAGGGGGACTAACTCCTCATAGCAATGAGTTTGAAGTTTGACCTTCTGAGGAGGAGGCTGGACATATCAGTCTTATTTCTATATTCATTTGCTGCTGTTGCGGCCATTATAAACATGGGTTGATTTAGCAGTCAGTACAACATCAATCCTATATAGGAGAAAGACGTACCTGTCTCTGACAAATCGATCAATTATGTCTCTTGCGTGAACTTCGATAATCAATACTGTGTTGTACTTCTTGCGATCGTTGTTTGATAAGCTTGACCGGATCTGGAAAGCAAGCGACAGAGACACTTGAATACATAAGTAAGCTATCAATATACTTTCAAGGTGTCCACTCAATGTTTTCGCCTGTACTCGAACACCATAGATTGTACCCTGTCAAAGATGCTTTAATGAAAATTTCCAGGCCAGGTATCAAATTTGTTTCTTTCGTTGCGAAAAAATTATCTACACTAACCTTAACGACAAGGTCATCTATCTGCTTGTGCATTTTCTTGGCATAATTTTTCATTCCCATTTTGTCCCCTTTGCGAACTTTTTCGAACACGTCTTCGACTTCCCAAGTCCACCATACTTGACTCCCGGCTAGGACAACCATGCCCTGGTACTTAAGCATCCAATCAGGCCTAGAGCAAAAAGTATTTTGTTTACAGACACAATAGTTTGGAAGGAATAGCAATAAGGGATAAAAAAGCTAGAGAAGGACGTGGAAAAGAAGGAGTATAGCACGTGGAAAAGGTTTTTAAGTGGAAGACTTCAAAGAAGAATAGGAAGAGGAGGTAAAACGAAATGACCAGAAAAATATCTGCTTGCGGATTTTAAAGGAGAAACTGATGAGAAGGTAGTGGAAACAGACAATTAAAAAAGGTTCTTGAAGAAAGAAGGAACATAGTTTGTTGAGGTGCATAAAGTGCAAGAAGAATAAGAAATAACAGGGGAGAAAATGGAAGCGAAATGCAAGTTTACGCGAAAAAAGGGAGGAAGAAAAATGTGCAAGTATCGAAGAAAGAGGGTCGACGAAGAATTGGAAAGAAAATGAATAAGATACAAGAGGGAACGGTAAAGAAGTAGTAAAGATAATGAAAACCAGATTATAAAGCTGAAGAGGTACGTGAACAAAGAGTAAAAGAAAAAATTGCATCCGAAAATCGAGAAAGACGAAAAGTGAAATTTATGGCGCAAATGAGGTAGAATAGCATAAGGAAGTTGAAGAAGGTAGCCAGAAAACAGAAAGGGGAGGAAAGAGAAGGAAAATTGGAGAAAAAGGTGACAGTAGATGAAGATAGTTAGCGACGGAGTTTGTAAACAGAACAAACGATACCTAGAAATCCCGTCGCAGTACTTGAAAATTGCTTCTTTAGTTATGAGTCGGTTTGTCCTTCTCATTTCTTCAAGAACTTTTGTCATCCAATCTTCTACTCTGCCTTCAGCTGATATGCCTTGCTTGAATTCCATCACTTCACCCTCACTTGATATCATTGCTGTCGCAACCTTTTCGTTTCCATTGCCATCTTCGAAGCGAAGTTTTGCGATGTTATCGAACATCTGAAGGAGTATAGTAACTTCATAATGAAAGCAGATCAGAACATCATTAGGCTTGTTTAAAAGACTTGCACTTATGCATCAGAACATGTGAAAAAAGTTTCTCGACGGATTGAATATTTTCATATCTGCTTGGTTAGAGGGACAATTCACTATTGGACTACATAAAATATAAGTGGAGAGTAAATTTTGTTACGTCGTCTTTTAAAATATGGCAGCTTTCTACAATAGGTTGCTTAAAGGCAGTCTGTCCCCTCCGTGATTGGCTAATTCTAACTTGAAAGCCTCATCCTAAGAGGGTCTTCCTCTCTTTTTAGCACCCAACATTAGTTATTGTGGGTGAACACGACAAAAAAGTGCCTGATCTTTATATCATCCAAACTGACTTAGACGTTTGACAACAAAGCAAAATTTACAGCAACTCGCTCAGGGAAAGTTCTTCATTCTGATTGGTTATTTGTGCATCAAACCAATGATGCATGGATATCGTGGCCATGAAAAGAGGTTCTAAGAACAATGGGGCAAAGACTGCCTTTAAAATGATGTTGTATATCTTACCTTGATCATGTGCTCTTGAACACAAGTTGGTTCGTGGCTGCCTAAGATAGACAGTAGCTCATCATCTGATATGAAAAAGAACCTCGGGAAGGCATTCCTTTTGCTATCCAAATAATCATTAAGGCTCTTTTGACATTTTTCTAGTCCAGTCGCCAATGACTGCATGGTCTCTAGTCGATTCGCTGCGTGACATGCTTCCAAGACTTTGGAGTTTTTAGCAGTTTCATTCATAATCTGCAAGAGAGAAGAGGTAGCTAGAAAAATTTTGTTCAATAGAGTTTTCTCAAAGCCTAATTAAAGTCATATAAATTTTCCATTTATTGGATATAAACTTGCCTTCTTGAAGACTTTGTCAATATCATCAAATTTCTTAGCTTCTTCTGGTAGCTGTGCTCTGATGTCTCCTCCAATGAAAATGCTCTCAAGGTACATCCATTTCCGCTGCACCACCAACCATACCTACAATCATTGACAATGATAGTTATAAGATGAAATTATTATTATGAACCAAAAAAATTTCAAATTCTCTGTAGGTCAGGTTGCCTGAAAATTTGCTTCGTAAATTTAAGAAAACTTGAAATCGAAATAAATCGATCTACATTATTCGCTGATGCTATCTTTTTCTGATTCCGGAATGTGACCACATGCAACTAAACACAATTTCAAGAGTTGCATAAACCAAACTGCAAAGAAACATTAAGTCAAGAAATAACACCCAAAAACGTGCAGCCTACCTCAACAACTTCACTGATATGCGATAGATTCTTTTCCCATTTGTTGACACTTTCAAGGAAAGGCCCAACAAACCTTGAAGCTGTCATGCTCTGCAGGTTCATGGAGTTATCATCAAGTATTTGCAATATATCGTCGACGGAACCAAGAATGAAGCCTGCATTAAACAAATAAACGTCATTCTTGCTGCAACAAAACATTTCAACAGCTTAGGCTAACATTCATATATTTTGTGGGGTGGACGTGCTTTCTCTAATTAAGTCCCCGAAACATCGACGAATTCTCCAAATTTACAACATAATTACGTCAATAAAAAGTTAGTGCTTATTTCTCTAATGTTGTTTTCAAAATCATAACAGGGTTTTGGTACGTCCTTCAGTGTTTCAATATTTCTGACGGTGCACAGAGGCGAATGAGTCAAAAGGGGGAGGTTACCGAAGGCGCGTTTGTCCATCTGTTAGATAGCTAAAAAAACTTACTCTTCGAATAAAGATGCATCATTTTCAATTTTTTATGAAGCCCCTTACATTGTTCAGTGTCTTTTTTCTTCAATGCTGTTTCATTAAAATATTTTCTTGTGTGATATAACCCATGACGATTGACGTGATCAGCATATACCTTGCTTTGCAGTAAGCGTGGTCAATCATTTTCTCCATTCGATCAGAATTTTTCAAATGTTTGCGCACCTCCACAAGCAAATCCTTTATAGTGACCAAGTTTTGCTATACCAAACCTATTCTTAGTTGTCAAAAAGTACTTCCAGAAGTTTAATATTTTTTCATAATTCAAAATACCTTAAAATCCTTAACATTCAAAAGAGAAATTAATCAGAATGCCAACAATCCTAGCAGGGTTTCCTTGCTAATGTTCATAACTGTGATTTCACAGCTCATTTCTTCATGATCAGAAAATTATCTTCAAATAAAACAACCAGTACCTCTCTCTTGGGTGCCTTTCATGTATTTGGGTACAGAGAACTTCATGTTGTTCCAGGTCTCTGCCACTTCGTTTATCCCTTTCTCGATGCTGAGTTCCTTTGAGGCACTTGCGGTAATGTCTGCGATGATATCGTGGAAACGGTGCAACTCCATTGCGAACATGTTTTCCAAGGTGAATGAATCTGGGTTGAGGTCAAAGTCCATCTTTGTCAACTCCATAAGTTTTCGCCAATGCCTAGAAGTTTTGGAAAAATTATCTTGTAAACCACTGACTCAATAAAAATTTCGCAAAGAAAGCGATTTTTCGACACCAATTAGACTAAATTTCTTATAGAAAAAAACTTCTATTAATTCTAACCTATGAAAATCAGAATTGCCTTCGATCACCTGTTAAAAAAGGGCTTCATCCAGGGCATTTTTAGTCAATATATATTTGGACTCCAACCATTACATTTGAGTGACATCCAATATTGAAATAAATACAAAACTGATTCCGCATTTAGTCATCAAGATGCGAAAACGAAATTATGCAAGAATATTAGCAGTATAAACAACAGTCACCTTTCTCTCAGAGCTTCACTTTTCAAATCGGAGAACAACGGGATCGAGTTCTTGAATTCCTTCATCCTCTCCTCTAGAATGTGACAAATTGGGAATGCCTTGATCTCACGAGGTAACCTCCTGAGTTGCTTGATAAAGCCATCGATACCGTCAGAAAGCAATGTGACGTCAAGGTTGGCCCACAGGGTGTTTGCCCATTCATCACGAGCAGCCTTTAAGGAAAACGGGATAGATCAATTATCTCTACTCAACTTAAGCCTCCCAAACTACCTTTTTCTTGATTTGCTAACAAACGTGGAAACTTATCAGGAGTATTGCAGTTGTCCTACAACGAATTTCTTGACTTATAAGATAACATGGAAGATTTCTATTGGAAATTAGAAAGCATTAAATTCGGTAACACCCTTTAGGATACAAAAACTAACCAAAATCACAATTTAAAGCTCATCTTTCATCTTGATCAAAGACAATGTGATGTAAATGGGTAGGCTTACCTTCTGTTTTTCGTAGATTGAGTAAATCATTTCCATTCCTTTTATTTCTCGCTCCATTTGCTGCATGTCCTGATACATGGTTATATTCAAATCAAACAGCCGCTCTGCATTCGTTAGCTCCTGTCTTTCTTTTTCAAACTTCAAGTACTCTTCCTTGTATCTCTTTAACATCTCGACACCTAAGCAAATAGAATGAATTAATCGAGGCCACGTGCAGGATTCTGTATTCTTAATAGACTGAAAAGCAAAGAACTTCTATAAAATGCACGGTCCGAAGTCATTGCAAAGTATCAATAATTCAATAAAAATGGATACGCTTCGTTTGTAGACTTTTCTCAAATTCGGAACCTTCTTCGGTCGCAGCTAAAACTATTATAGAATCGGATGTCACGAATTAAATCTTTGATCATATGATTTTCCATTCTCACGTATGCTTATCTCACAAAAACTTGCAGTTTGCGTGCAAGCAAGAGCTTCCAAGTGCCAAATAAAATGCAATTTTGTATTGAATGTAGATTTACCTGCATCCAAGTCGTTGCCAACAGCCCCAGGTCCCTCGTTGACGAAACTTTCTCTGAATTTACTCACTTCAGCCGTGAATTCATTCACTTGTTCCAATGTTAGCTGGGGCAGAAAAAAAGCAGATCTCATTTTTCTACTACACTCTATCCTGAGTCAAGTATAACTGGCAATCAGTAAACAAAATTCAGACTATCCAAAATATTGGCACTCGCTTCTTACTTCCAGCTAAAAAAATATGTATAACTGGAAAGAAACGAAAGCAACTGCATCTTTCTGTCAAAAATGATACATATTTCCGCTTTAAGCATATTTCCTTTTAAGCTGATCCTATATTATCTTGATTATAACTATTATCGCCTACGATAAGTGAGAAATATGAAATTGAGAGCCATATGAATAACATGAAAATAAGAGCTCTATGAATTAACAAACCTCTGTAAATTTCGCTTTCACAGAAACCAGACTGAGGTCAACCTCTTTTCCTTGATGGAAGAGTGACTCCCATATGTTTGAAATATTATTTGATAAATCGAGCTCACTCTCTGGAACCTATAACAAAAGAATAAAAGCTCGTCTACCTAACATTGCTAATTCTTTCTCTAAAGAGAAAGGTTTCTTAAGGCGTGACACAATTTTTTAGCAAGTGATTGGTAAGGTAATAAAAAAGTATAAATTATATACTTGATAAATAAAGATTGAACTGTTTGTGACTAATTTGTCAGTTGAAATAAAAGATATCGATTTCGAATTTTTGAATTTACATAGAATTGTATTGTAATAAAATCTAATTACAGAATATATAATGTGGTAAATACCATAATACTTTTCATTATTTTCTTGTTAAACACATATATCTCCCTAACCGTGAAACTAAAGGACACTGAGGCATTTTTAAATGGTAATACAATCTGCCGTACTGCATACCTCAATGTTATACATCTGCAGTGTACGATATCTTTCCAGAATGTCAAAAATTCGAAATTCCACGTTCAGTTGTATGTCTTTGATCTTTGCAATGACACCAAGAACGAATTTCAGGTCTTCCAGTGTATCAGGTGGACGGGTTAGATCATTAGAGAGAGTCTGCAAGGCAAATGCAATACTAAGCAATATGCAATACTAAGAATATGCTTAAAATCGATCTGCTCACCATTGTTGGAACTATCTTGTAGTGTTTATATACTCAAAAGCCAACAAAAATATAAATCCTTTTATATATCATACATCATCTGCAGTATAAAAAAGGATTATCAAGATACGTATATCGGTAATAGACATTACATTTGTCACGAATGAAAGAACTGTCTAACAGAGATTCATCTACATGTAACAAGCTTTCGTTTGCAGCCTTTACCAAACCTTTCCAAGCCCTTTATCATGACTTGCTTTTTAACTATCCACAGCCAGGCTCGTATAAAATTCTCAAGTGTGACGTCACAAAAAAATATGCTTTAACCCTTCCGCCAAATGCTACTGGAGATGATTCTGGCCCATATTCATGAGATTGGCTCTAGAACGAAACCTCCGATGCAGGCAACTTAATATATACTCATCATCAAACCTCTAAAATAATGCATACAGTTTTTAAACAAACCTCAAGCTCAGCCTTCAGTGTGTTAAGGTTTTCCCTTGCGCTTTCATTCAGCATTTTCCCAAATGCCTCCATCCATTCTCTTGCTGAATTCCGAATGCTGATCGAAAGTGGTTCAAGATTTAGATGTACAAAGTCAATATCTCTTGTCATCCCTTGAGATCCAATCTGTGAAGCAAAGATTTTAAAAGAGCTACAAAATGTGGACAGGAATAAGTTTCTCTAAGAAAAGCTAGAAGAGTTTGACAGGATGACAATCTAGGCCTTAAAGGAGGTTTTTGTTCGACTGTGATGTTTCTAGGATTTGCCGAAGTAACATTATACAAATGTTAAGATGAGTTGCTGAAAGGTTCTTCCTTTCAATGCCAATAGTGATATGGGTGGTCCAAAATCATGGCTAAAGAATAAAACTGAACATTCCCGCCTCTTTTCAAAAAATTTCGTAGAAATAATAATGATAAGTTGATGATAATAAAAATTTAACTCCAGTGTCTAGCATTACTACTTAATGAGGAAACTACTTGGATAATTTACAAAATGATAATGAAGCCTCTTGAAAAAATTCAAAATTCAATTAAACGAAATTATTTATCTGGAAGTGCCTGCTTGAAAAAAGCTACGTTTTCCAGTAAATGTAAATTCTCTGGTAATAGGGGTAATAACAAATTTTGGAAATAAAACATGTAGTTTCGTGACGACAGATGTTCCATGCGGAGCTAGCTGCAATGGGCAACAGACAACAAAAGTTACTCACCTCAGTAACTAGATTTCTGTAAAACTGAAGTTTGTCATCAAACTGTACACAGGTCGGCTTTTTAGATGCAAATCTCTCCATCAGAGATGCCTGCAGTTTTTAAATATAAAAACATCAATCCAAGTTCTATACGCAACTCTGATATTGCAGGGCATTTTACGGAATATTTACCTTGACTGAGCCATGGAAATCAGCAGTTAAGCGTTCTACGGATGTCATGGACCCAGTCTTGCATATTCTATTTACATACTTCAAAGAAATTTTCAAGAAGGTTATGATTTTTTACAAAGTAGCGTGTTTATCCTTTTTACGTCAATAAGCAACGCTCCTCAAGCATCTATAAGTTGACATATTTTTCAAATTACTTTCTAGGGTTAGAGCCGGTTTTAGTGTTTTGTGGCTATAGAAAGTTTTAAGTTAACTAGCATAGATCCTTGCTAACTTTCTATAACAATACTGGGAAAACCCCAAAATTTGATTTATGTGTGACGAGATGGCTGTTGTTATTGCCTAGCGCAACCACTGCTCTTGAATAGTGTGAATCTGGGGGAAGGGAGGAGGGGGGGGGGGGATTCAACTGTTTAAAGCTATGCAAAATAGCTTGAACCCAAATAGCTACTTGTGTAACATAAAAGCTAGTCTCTTCAATCTCACTCTCAAGCTTCACATGTGATTTCAACTGTCAATCATGATTTCTGTCTATTGATAAAATGGTTAACCTTGCAATACATTTGTTAGATTTAAAAGCAGGATCAGCAAGTGTATGCTCACCCAAACAACTGTGCTAAACTATATGAACGGTAAACATAGAAGCAAACAAAAAGCACGATACCTTATCTCTGCTCCAGAGAAGTCGATATCTCTTCCACCTACTCAGATACTTCAGAACGCCTCCAAGTGATGTTTGCACCATTTTTGATATTGAGAGAAAGAGGTCGAGCACGCTTGGTGTTACCGAAAAGTCAGTGAAGAACGTGAAGATAACAGGCTCATCCTCTCCCTCAGCCTTCTGTGGTGGCGTCTCTATGCACGTGCCATGCATCCAACGAACAAATAGTTTAGTGCTGCAAAAAGTAACAAAGTGCAACACACCGTTGGTCTTTCACAAAAATGTAATAGAATATATCAGATCAACATTTACCTACGCGAAGAGCCATAATGAAATATACTTTTGTTATGAAAAATCAATTGGACACCCCGAAGCTGGATTTTTCTAGTTTAAAACATAGCAGATATAAGTAAACTGATAACTGGAACCAATGAAGAAAAGAAAACACATTGGTGTAGGTGACAACATAAAATCACGATGAGAACTGGATCATTCACTAAAAAATTGGTACAGCGGATGTACCTTTCTACTGTTTCCCTGGCTGCTTGCATCATCATGTTACGGAGTTCCCCGGCAGGCGGGGAAAGGCCAATTTCAGGAGCAGAAAGCACAGTCTCCATTTGAAACAGAGGTTGCTTCGATTGTAGCTGGTTGATAAACAGTTGTAGGTTTCTTGTGATTAACTGAATGGAAAACAAATAAAAATAAACTGTTTAATACATTTTTGCATTAAAAGGGGAAACACCTTTGAAATTATTTGGAACAGCACAAAGTCAATAACAGAATAGACTTTTTCGCCGTCTATTATAACCGCAATTTAGATTTGTCCTGGCAAAATTACGAATATTTTAGGGATTTAACAAAAATAGACTTTGGGAAAGTCTAATAGCAGAATTTCTAAGCAGAAAGGAACCGGCCAATATAAAAATGATATTCTACAGGTGTTTAATTCACAATTGGTAAACATAACTTTTTTGCACTAAATAAGGATCATTTCATAATGCTTAGGAACCATATAAGGATGACTTGTGCGACAAACTACAGTTCTCGATGCTCTTTTATAAAATCTCTTAGCCTTTGAATCAACGAAGCTATGTACAAATTTCGATTCGGAAAGATATGGTAAATATGATTTGGAAACATGATCTTGAAATTAAGACGAAGAAGAAGCTTGACATTAAAGGGCGAAAAAATAAAGAAAAACAAAAAGACCGAAAATATAATAAAAAAGTGCACAAACAAGTAGAAGCATCTGAATATGAAATAAAGAAGTGCGGAAGAGTAACATAGCAAGACCAAACACTAAAAGACCAGAGTAGAAAAGGGAGATGTTGAAGAATAGCCAATAGCGCAAATTTAAAAGAACAATTAGAAAAACGAAGAACAAGGAACAATATAAGAAAAAGAAAGCAATGAAACGAAAAAAGGATCAAGCGTAAAATCAAGAAATTGAAGGCGATGAAAAAAGGAGACAGCGATTAGAAACAGGTAATTAAAAAGATCCTTTGGGAGAACAAATGAAAAGCACAGGAAGAAGCAAGAACAAAGCAAAAATTGCAGTTAAAGAAGAAAGTTGAAGACAAATTGCAAAGAAGAGGATGCAGTGTTTGCATATGAAGGAAGAAGTTCTAAGTTGAAGTTGTTACGTTGATGAGTACCTTTAACAGTGCGTCATATATTCGCGATTCCCAATAGGCATAATAAGAATGCATCTTTGGTGATTTGCCTGTGTTCGTGTGGGCGACCAGGCCTTCCATCTTTGTTAGCAGGGGTCCAATGGCACGATATTTCCGAGCAAGAACCTCCATCTCTCTGGTTCTGTGGGTTCTTAAGAACTCAAAGTAATCCTTGAACAAAAACAGGCAGGAAAATTATGTTTATGTATAGAGTATGCAAACAAAGAAAAGAGCTTTTAACTTCGAAAAACTGATGTCTGGATCGAATATTCCTCATAAAGGAGCAAAAGAATCTACAGTGTCTTCGAAAATTAGTTGGAACACCGAACCATTGACGTTGCATTTTAATATCTCTCATTCCTGTTTCTAAATATCACTTCTTTCGCCCCCCCCCCCCCCTCCACATGGATAAAATTGAAAGTTTAGATAAATTCATACACGAAGGGGGGGGGGGCTTCATTTGCTCTTGAAAATTGCCGTCAGTTTTCCAAGATATCTAGCCGAAATTATGATTAGTGAGTAGAAATGCACCTAAAAAGAAATTTAATGAGGATTCTAAAGAGAGTAGGAATCCTTTCTTCACCTTTGCGTCAAGATAAGCAACTCCGTTGGTCTTTGAAGGTCTTTTGAACAGCACTGTTTTCTCCATAGCAGAAAGTCGGCTGTTAATGTCTTTAGCATTCTTCTGAACTTGGTTCATCAAAGACTCAAACTTGCTTATCGCCTAAGAACGAGATCGTAAAATTAGCTAGTATACTATCAAATTTATGTACGATATATTGTGCTTTGAATATGGAGGGTTTGTGCTAGATTCTTGTTTAACAATTCACTTTGTTTAAATCGCCTAGCTGTTTGTGGAAGAATACCCAATATTTTATTGCTGATGCTATGATTGCGTTCCTTATAGGTCCATAAGGCAAATCAACTTTCATCAACGTTCCCTTACCTTATATCAATGTTTCGAAGCTTCTAACGAGAAAAGCATAGCCACTTAGTGGGGAAAGTACAAAACTAAACAACAATGTACAGACAAGTAGATAGGCTAAAAATTTAAAACTTTATGGACATGTACGTAGATTATAAACTAACCTTATTTTGTTGAGAAACTAACCCTATTAAGATTTCTTATAATTTCTGTACGCAACGACATGCGTAAATTTGATTAGCTGACTTATAAATACACATAATTGAGATGTTTGATATCCCTTGGTCCAGAAAGATGCGAAAAGATGCCGAAAGCAATCAGCCTAAACATTGAAATACAAAAGGAAGAAGGCCAATACTTACTTGTTCACATTTAGTGACAAAATCAGAGATACCAAGCGAATTCCAGTTCAACCTTTTGGCTCCAGGCTTCAGCACTCGTTGGAGATCTTTAATGTGGTCGTCTAGAAGTTGCACCTAGCATTTCGACAAACTTTGTTAGGTGCTTTCTTAACACAAAGCAAAAGGACACTAATCAATTAAAAACGCAGTTGAGAAAGAGAAGTGTGATGTCGTGCTTTCAATTGTTATTTCTCATGTTGTAATAATTTTAGAAATTGTTGGATAAAAGTCAGTGTTTCCAAACATCATTATCTCTCTGTGTCAGGTATTATTTCGCGCCAATGCTTTTCTTCCATGAAAGTCCATCAAAAAAGAAGGCAAACTATAAAAGTCAATATTAATCTTAATAGAGGAAGAGAGGAAAAAAAGGCTTTTATAGAGGGGCCTGACCATTATAAAAATTTTGGTAGACAGGCCTCAAGGTTTTCTGGTTTTTGAGATGGGAAATTGAAGTTTTCATACAAGATAAAATTTTGAGTTTCGGCATGATATGAATTCGAGAGTGAAATGAAAACAGTCAGTTGTGTATAAAGAAGGTGTATAAAGATGAATTGCATTGCAGTATAACTTGCCTCAGCGTTATTCATGATGCATAAGCAAACGTCATATCTGTTGAGCATGCGCTTAAGGCCATCGACATATTGATTGTATTTGTCCTCCTACAATGCATTTAAAAAACATTGAGCCACGTGTCTACATAGAAGGTAGAATGCTGTTCCATAAATCCGCTATTGCAGTATCGTATAGAGATGAAGAGCATGTTACACACACACACACATAAATTAAAGTTCAAAACCAGCACAAAGGCTCCATTCACAACATTTTATTTAGACATACAAAAATCATTTTAAATCTACAAATTCCATAAAATTAAAGTCTTTAAACTAATATTTTATACTGCTTGCAAGCTAACCTTTCATGCAAAGATCAATGTAAGAAATATTCGCCATAAGAATGCCAAAGCTTGAGGTTTGTTTAATCTAAAGTAAAAATGATTTCTTCAAGATCTTACCTGCAGTGCAACATTTCTGGCTAGTTCTGGTATTGAATAACCAAGTTGTTCCAAATACTTTGATTCTGTGATTATTTCGGATAGCTCAGGAGCAAATTCGACAGCGTAACGAGTGTAGTTTTGGACTACGGCGAAATTCGACATGACTTAATTAATGCAAGAAATGATAATGAAACGAAAATCCAAAGAAGATTGAATCATAGATTCGGACAAAGGATAATGGAATAGAAAATTAAAAAAATTCAGGAAGTGCAATGTAGATTAGATGCCACATTTAAAAGTTCAGTGTTTTTAAAGGGATGCAAATAAAAGAGTAAGTGGAAATGGAATAAAAATGGAATATAAAGAGAAGAAGTTCAACCACAGAAAAGAGGAATGAAATGTTCCCTAGTTTAAGCTATACACCATACGTTGGGTGCGTACGACAAGACAATTTGCGCGCGGCAAGGATGTCAAGCAACCAGACAATTTTTTGACACATTTTATGGTGAAGCAAGCATTGCAAAACTTTTAAAAACTAAAGAAAAAGCGCAGCTACCTTGTCCCAGTGCCGTTAGAGATGCAGTTCCTTCCGCCTCCTCGAAAGCTGGCCTTTCCTCCTCACCCATGACATGTGCTCTGGCGCTAGCTGCTGTGGTACTAACTCTAACAAGAAGGTTCCTCTTCAAGTACGACATAAGTGTCGATTCGAGGTTTTCTCGCCATGAGGCATACTTCTTCTCCTCGTATTCTTTCATAACACGAGCAACCGATACGTACTTCTTTATCACCTATGGAATAATAATTTAACTTTCTGTGGTAAATAATAATGCCCTCTACTAGACAATGTATAGATTTAAGAGAGATTTTACTTGGGGAAAAACCATAAAAAGTCAAGATACGATAAAAATTGTCACTAATTTCCTTAAGGTTACGGTAAACGTTTTGAACACGAAAATTGGTTTTTTCTTCCTAAAGGCCAAACGGCTCAAGGAATCTAGATAAACTATGTATCATTCGATGCACAAGGTTATGGCGTATCTAGCCAGATAAACATTATTGGCAAATAATGTTAAATGTTATTTTCCATGCGAATTTACTGGTCAAAAAGTGTACCACCTTCAAAAGCTATTATGTACCCTTGCGTTTGAGGTAACAAAATCTGACTTAGACCAGCAGGAAGTGCAGGTCCTAAGCTACCAAAGTGTGTCTCAGATTTTTTAAATTCCTCCTCTTCTTGAAACTATACCCTGTCAAAAATTGGCAAATAATTGTTCCACCCTCCCGCAGCTGTATTTGGGTATAAAAGACGGACCAGAGAAAATAAAAAAATTTTGAGACACACTTTGTTTGCCCAACGTCTGCCCTGGCCGTGTGCAAATTTTCGAGCCATTCGATTGGTTCCCTGGGTACATAATAGCTTTTTCGTACCTGCATGTAGAGGAATTTCGAGTCCGGAGAAAACGGGATTTTACTGATCGCACTTGCAAGATACACTCGTAAACCACAGTGTAATCCGGGTCAAGTCACTTGAAGATTTAAGATCAATAAGCCTGTTTAAATAAACACGGCCGTACATTGGGTATATGGATGTGCCATGCGATATTGTAAATGAGACATGCGACTACAACCGCAAAGCAACGATAATCGGCTTAAAAGGTCAAGAGATTTTCAGGCCTCAACTAAAAGTTTTGATAAAGAAATTATGGAAACCTTCGTTTACATGGGATTTTTTCCACTTTCAAAATTTCTGTTTGTTTCAAATTTGGTGTCATTGTGTGCCTTGAAAGTTCGGGTACTGGAATGTGAAAAAATCGAAAAAATGATGTTTTCATCCAGCAAACGTTTACCGTAACCTTAAATTCTAATAATACAAAAAATTGAGACCACAAAGTTGTCTTTAGTAAAGGATTAACCTAAAAAATATACAGGGACGAAGTTCAGTTGTTTTTAAGAGAAGGCTCAGATACATGACTTCACGAAAAGAAAATAGCGACGACAGCATACCATTGGGGGGGGGGGGGTATAAACCAAACAATTAAGGAAAATGAATTATTGTAACTAATATCGCTAACATAACTGAAAAAAAATACTTTTGTGCTGAACCTCCTTCACATCAAGCATCGATTTAAGACGAAAATGATTAGATGATTAGATGGAATGATTTTTTGACAGAAACATGATTAGATGGAATGGACCTCAACTCTGCCATTGACTTATCATTCAAGCATCCTCTCCTAATAAAATATGTTGATGTGTTCGTAAACACCTGCCTACCTGCTTGCCAGTTTCAGTACTCAGCATTTCCTCCATTGTTTGGAACTTTAACACTGTTCTCTTAATACGATGAAACAGGGAACGCTCCCACATAATTGCGCCTGCTACAGGTGGTTGGTTTTTTGATACAGGGGGCGACGCTTCGTATTCCTTGAACATGTCGAAAGCTTGGTCAACCTGAAGTTGATAATGTTGATCATTAAATAGAGCAAAATCTCGACATCCTTCAAGAGAACTTCCAGTGAAGTAGCAATCAGATTAGTTAAATAAATGGCCAAGAGAACTTTGGCTTTCAAGGTGGCATAGCATTCACCAACTGCATGAAAAATCTCTTACAAAATTTAACAAATTACTTCATTTGGTCTTGATATAAATTGTTCACTTGCTCTTTTAATCAGTTTTTCACCGTGTAATTAATTGGTATGGCTATAAACAGTTTTATTCATATAAACTTTTAGTCTTTATTCAGCATTCTATGGCTTGTTTACTTGGCAAAGACACAGGGAATATCACTCCTACTGAGCAAACAATATTAAGGAATCAAAACTTATCTCGTCCCTTGTTTCATGACAACGAAATCAGTATACAAAAAGATTCCTCGTCAAATGAGATAATTTAGAAAATGGTACCTCTTTTCCAAACTGCAATAGTATGTCATTAAATTTTCTCATCATTTGAGAATTTATGGCCTCTCTCGAGCGAATATGCCTGAAATTCAGCAGCATGTCGAAAGCTCCTTCTGCTGATCGCAGAGTTTTAAAAGAATCGTCGATGAAGTGTTTTGCTTCGTTTTCAATGGCGACAACTTGCTTTCTGAACCAGCTTATCACGTTATTCCAACTGTTCGAATGTCGTGTGCTGAATGGATCAAAAGCAACCTGGAGAAAACAAAGTAAGCTTCTTGAACAGTTGCTAGAAAAACTAAATGAAAAAGGGTTTCAAATTGTTCAGTAACGGTTTCAACCAGGAACATCATCTATTTCATTTCTCCGTATCTTTCAATCACATTTGATCATTCTATTCCTTCATTTGTGGAAATCACAAATTGTGTTATCTAAAGCAAGCAGGGTTTTTAAACTGCTCTGTCTACACTGCATAGAAGGCACTTTCATAATTCATAAGCTTTTATGAATAAGGAAACTTGAAATAGAAAATTTGAACTTACAGATTCGATAGGAACAATTAAAGCATCAACTCTCTTAAGCACATCTTCAATTCTCTTTGGGTCGCCAGTCACTGCTTTAAGTTCAGGTCCAAATATGTTGTAAAATTCCTCCATCACCTGGAAAAATTGTTACCTTTACTATCTACAAATTTAGAAACACAAAATTCCAAAATACAATTCGAAAATAAAATAAACTTGGAGTATTGAAGGGAGATTCATTGCAAGCTAGTGGCCATTTTTGTGATTATTCAAATTATTTAGAAAAGTTTATGATGAAAAGATGATTCTGAACATCGTACAAAACTGCATCTAAAACCGTTAATCCACTCCCTACCGTCCAATATCATTTTGGCAAGAAAAAATAATTTGAAATATAACATGTTAGTAAATCGATGAAAGTACCTGTGCCACTTCGTAAAGGTCTTCGCAGATTTTGGCCATGTAGTCGGTCCTCTCAAACAGTCTCTTTCGATCAAATTCCCATCTAGCATCTCTTCCAGATGCTTCGATCTTCGCACGCACTTCAAAATATGAGTCTTTCCATATGTTGAGCGACTGTTTGGCTTCTGATGTCTTCTTCTTTATGACCATCGGAGGCTCTCTGAAAAGTGGAAAACATTCATTCACTTTGGGGTACTTCAGGAAGATGACGGTACTTCAGGAAGATGACTTACCACCCGCAATACTGAGAAAAATCAAGGAGGTCAGTGTGCAGGGATTTCTATGGTGTGAACAATCTCTTTGGCGAGGTGACCTGGTCTTACGTTCAAAACAATTTATTTCAGAACGCTACAATGGTTTGAACTGAAGCGCGGTTTTAAAGCACCAGATGGGCCTATGAAAAAGCTGGCACTAGCCTGATTGCAGTGAATCTCTTACATTGTTCATTTGTCAAACTTCCGATTTCACTTAAAAGTTTATGCCTGTCCTCCTTACCTGAGAATCTTCCTCACGTTGATCACTCTGGCGACTCTTTCAGCCACTTCCCAGGCAATGCGCTCCATCAATGGCACCATTCTTTCGTCTTTGTTGTAATGACGAGAAATGATCCAGACCATGTGTAAGGCAGTCATCAGCGAAGGGATAGTATCGACAACGATTTGGAAGCTGTTACCTTGCGATAGATTCTTAAAATGCCTTTCCAAAGTTGATAGGAAACGTACGTTATCTTTGGCCTCTACATAGTACTTGGTCAATTCAGTTCTAAAACAAAAAAATACTGTTTGAATGCAACATAAAAAATTAGATTTATGACTTGGTTAGATTCAGTGAACGATTCGTATTCGAATTGTCTTAGACATATTACAAGCACCATGCCACCACCAGCCCTAAGTGTTCAAGAGCTTTTAGTGTTTTTGTTTTCGAACTTAAGGATGGCTCATCCACTTTTTCGGCAAATCGGTACTGGAAAAATCCAACCCCACCCCCTCTTGAACACAAAGCGACAACCCTTGTAATGATAAGACTGTGATAATTAATCATAAGACTGTAGTGATAATCAATGGCTGCTTCTACTTACTTGTGATAGTCATAGCCAGCTAAGCTTTCAGATTGTGCCTCTGTAAGAATGTCAATGACTTTTTTAACAACCGGGAGATTCAATTGCTCGTACAGTGCACTCAATGTTGCATTTCTCTCCCTCCAAAAGTCAACCTCTCCCAATGGGCCACTACCTTGGGGTGTCCTTCGCAGCACCTGTTCTACTGCAGAGGCAACTGTCATCTCCCAGTTGTGAAGGGTTTCTTCAAGCTTCATGACAAAACTTCTATCTTTTGCATAGGACTTTACTGTTCCTGCCAAATTCATCAGGCTTGGAGAGATATCAAGCTTAATATCACCTTCAATTTGTTTTATTGTTCGGTTTATTGTGAGACCAAACTTCTGCAGGCTTATTAAAAAGTCATCTCTCACAAACAGTTTATTCCTTTGTTCCAGGGCCTTTTGCTGGGCAATAATCTCTGTCTCTGACATGCCTTCGTAAGTTTCACTTTTATGGCTGTTATAGCTTAAAAGCAAATTGTATATGTGGCAAAGGACCTCTTCCAGTGTGAACAAAGGTGGTGCATTGAGAGTGCCAAATTCAAATACAGATGCCAAAATTTGCTCAGCCTCCTCAAGACTTGAAGGCATTGGTGCAGCCTGGTTGGTATTATGCATAAAGAAGAATACTTCCTCATCAACAAAATCTGGTAATGTGCCAATATGCATTTGGAGGTATTTCCTTGTCACCTTCTGGGTTATTATTTTCTGAAAAGAATAAATAAATCCATCATTACAATCATTAATCATTGTTATTATCTATTTTATCACTGCTATTTATATCATTGCTATTTTTTTCAAATAATTACCAGAAAATTATGGATGTGATATTTCAACATAAAAACAAACCATACAGGATGTGATATTTTGGCAAAATATATAGCCCTGTGGACAGTGGCTACATGAGCCATTGACAGCAAGGTATAGGGAAAAATTCAAATATGCTTAAAGTCAAGAAAAAGAATACTTTGGTGAATGGCTTCAAGTAACAATAAAAGTATCAATAAAAGACACACACACCTCAGGCAAATTAAAAGACACATACATGTTAAGTCAAAGTTCTTCTAACAGGGCCTTGATGAATTATAGCATAATTATATACTGTAGTTGTTTTTGGCAGTTTCTTTAATGAAATTTAATGTAAATGAGCGACAAAACTAATTTTTAAAACTTATCAGTCTATATGTACATCCAGAAATTTCATATATAATCACATCCAGTTATTAACTGAAATATATCTAAACAAAATGTAAAACAGACAATTAAGTCATTAAAATGATTTGTAACATATCTCTTTTACAATTTGGTAAGAGTGAACCTTCCATTGCAAACAGTCAAAAATCATTTTTTTGCAAAAAAAGCTTACTGTTCTTTGTATCATCTTTTTTTCATCAATTTGTTCATCTCCAATCTCCATGACTTCACTGACTATGCTGTCTTGATTTTCTATGTCCTTTGGTGCATCATCTTTCCCATCTTTGCTTGGTGTTCCGTTTTCATCATTTGCTACACTTCCAAGTGCAGATTGGGTCTTTGAGGTTACATCTTCCTCAACAGTTGAGCTTTCATCTACAGGTAGTTCTGGCTCTGAATCCAAAATTGATAATGATTACAAAGGTATAACTATTGGGGATGTGTGAGGTCTGAAAGATCCCAATCATAGAAAATCCCTAAAATCCAATTTGGTTGTTGTCATTTGTTAGGCAAGATAAGCCTGTTTTTGTATCATTTAATTGCTTGAACAGAAGACTTTTATACAACAAAAGCTAGACAACTGAATTGATTTTTATGGAAACTTTGAAAGAACTTTAACAAAAGATATCCACTACCTGTGATACTTAAATTTTTGCCACTGAGGCTGCCAAATAAAAAAAATATATGATGTTAGCAAAATGTTCTTGAGATACAATAAATCCTTGACTGATTGCTTAATCACTCATGATCATTCTTGATAATACCAGCTGTGACTAAAGGGGGGGGAGTTATTTGCTGAGGAAAAGATGTTTGCAGCAGCTATAATTCCTGAAAGCTTGCTTCAAAAAAAGCAGAGGTGTTGTGCACTGGATGTATCATCATTCCATATCAAATTTGTTTATATGGACCTTAAAATTTTTCCAGAGGTAGCCCCCAGACCACCTTTTGTTCATAAAATTCAATTGGTCCTTTTTTACATGTATAATTCTGGCTTTATTCATATTACATTATTATTATTCTAAATATATTACCATTGAGTAGCTAGACTCAATGTTGTTAAGCAAAATCCCCTGACACCCATCCTAGAAAAAACATGCATTTAAAATCGATCCGGAAACTTTATATAAGTAAAATTTAACCACAGTTCAAATATAAAGACCCAGTAAACTATTGGTTTTAAATTTTCGCTTTTTTCGTTATCATTAACATTAAAAAAATTTATGTCGGTCTCATAATGCCTGAATGTTACTTGACCAGAGTGTTACATCTAACCAAAATTTCCCAATGAAAATTTATCCGTTAAATACCTGACAAAATTACTATGAATTGTGCACAAAATAACTATTTTGGTTTACCTATTTCAACTTCAATTTCCTCCTCTTCTTCCTTTTCCTCGCAATAGAATAAAACAGCACTTCCTCCCTTGGAAACATTGTTCAAGAAGTCTTGTAATATGGTTTCATTTTTGCCGTCCTCCCTGACAATAAACTCTTCAAAAATTGAAGATTCTGTCAAAGATGGCAAACCCTCCTCCAGCCTTACTTTCATCCATTCAATTCTAGTGTCATCCATTGCTTTCTTTCGTTACGTGTTGTACACACAGATTTGTTATGGCATACCAATCACAAACTGCCAGGCCTGGCCTAGGCCTGTATCGGTTCAATTTTCAATGCCAATAGCTGGTTTTCAGTGTAAAAAAAATCCTTTCAGATCTTCTTTATATTACATCATCTTCCAAAATATGTATACCTCTTATAACAAAAATCCCAAGAAATTGTCAGAATCTTGTTTCAGAATGATCAAACGGTTGGGTTTGCAGCTCCAGCTACAGTAGTGTAACGGTAGTTGCCATGGAGAATTGATGCGAGCTTGAGCAAACGCATGCGTGAACTTGAAAGAAAGATTCTTGGCAGGATAGAGACTTTGATTTTGAAAAGGTTGGGGCACATGTAGGCAGAAAGGGGCAATTTACCCCTATTTCAAAAAATAGATGTGCCACGGGGAGATATAAGGACAAGTTCCACAAATTCTCAGAGGATCGATTTCGTAATGCATCTAAATCCGACGAGAAAATGTTGGGAAAGGGGTAATATTTAGGCAGTTACAAAAGTAGGGGTAAATTTGATTATATTAATTTGACTCCAGTGACGGAAATTCAGGCTTTCATTTGGGGGGGGCCCAGGCCTACAATTTTCCGACAAGTTAACATCTTTATTCTTTGATCATGTCTAATTTCAAAGAAACTGCACATTTTTGACGGGACCCTTAGATATCCTTGCTGACCACGCCATAATTAAGTAGCAAGAAGAACAATCCATTTGTGATTTTTAAGTGGCTTTTGAGGCACTTAAAATGTTGCACTTCGAAAGTTCTTGTGACGTCACATGACTCCACGGCAACTAAAAACAGGTTCCACCAATGACGAATGTATCTTCGTCGCAGCTGCAGACTTTGCCAAAATCTAAAAGTTGAGACTTGCTTTGTGGAAAAGAGTGGTTTGAAACGTTAACAGAAACCGAGTTGACATTATACACCTGAATGGTTTTTTCAAGGAGCGGTCCTGCGTATAAATCTTTACATTGTTAGGGGAAGGGGCATATATCTTCAGCCATCGACGTTTGTTTGGTCAACACAACACAACGCGAGTCTCCTTCCAGATGATTGAGTAGTCATGTTGGCTGAAACTCAGATGCAGCTTCAAAATGCCCAGCATTCGGTACTTTTCTTGCAAAATGAGCATGCCAAGGTGATTGCAGGACTACACGACGAAATAAGGAACCTCCAAACAAAATGTTCAGGTTTGTAATGTTTTGGCCTTAGGCCGTAGTGTGTCTAATATTTAATGCTAAAGCTGTTCATCCTTTAACATGTAAAGTCGTGATAATGTATGCTTGATTTTAATAAAGAACTTGCTATTGATTCTCTGCTAAGATTTAAGCCGTGAGTTTTTCAAGTTATGGATACTTATAACGTCATACTATTTTTAATCAGGGCCTACCATAATTCGATATTAAATGAGCCCGAAAAGTGATATTATATAATGAATACCAATAAATAACTATAGAATTTTGATTTCCATTTGCTTTTTATAGTTACAATACATCGTCAGGAAATCCTTTTATTTTCCAAGATTTATGAATTTCTAAAAAGCGAGCAACCTCAGACTAAGAAAAGCTTGCGCAATATGCTTCAGTTTATCATTTGCATTCGTGCATTACAATCAAAAGGCTAGGCCCAAGTTAAAACTCTTGCATATGCTTTGAGCTACACTTTAGATGGACATCAATATGTTGCAACCTGTATCTATTGTGCCTGCACATGTAACCCACTGTGTCAATCATGATGACACTTGGGCAATGTTGCCCCCAGCTCAAAAGCCTTTGCTTGCAGGTTGTAGCTGATTGAACTGTGGTTTGCAGCCATGTGAGCCAAATTCATACATGTTTTCCAACCTGTATACACCATCACTTTGTTTCTGGTTAATGTCATCAATACATTTTTGCATTAAAATTTAATGTTTGTGCCATTTTAGATCTGTAAGCAGACAAGTTTTGGCTCATGGGCCCAAAATTTGATGCCCCCAGTATCATCTTAAAGAACAGTCTTCTTTTTTCATATAAATATCCAGGAGCCATAAAAAAGCATTCTACTATTATCAGAGTTTGTCTTTAAAGGATTCAGCATACACAGGAATTATCTTTCTATCTTAAAACACAATCAGTTTCTTTCTATTCTTATCAACATTTTTAAGGGATAGCAACCACAATCTAAACAGTAGATCAACAAGGTAAACAGTCAAACATTAGCAAAAAATAACTTAGAAGCTTTGTTTAGTGTAAATAGAAAGGGAGAAACTTCAACATGGATAACATTCAATAAAACCCACTCTGGTAATTTGTTACTTTATGGTTAGTGCACCAATTAAAATAATATTTTATTTACAACAATTTTCAAAAAGTAGCATAAATTGTGAAAACTGTTGTAAATTTGCAATAGCTTGATTCAGCAGCAGCAAATGGTTGTGTGCCAAGTTTCATTTGTTGCTAAAATGTGGACTGTTTAAGTAAATTTCTGGATACAGTGTTAATAGATGTCACATTTAGTCAAAGCAAACAGTGAAATAGTTTGCAATTCAAGTTGAAAATTAATTTATTAATGCCCTTTAAACTGGGTTATCACATTATCAGATTCTGTATTAGAAAAAAGTGGTTGCCAATTGGCAGACAACATTTAATTCACATCTCTGCAAGGTATAGGAAGAATTCCTCAAATTCATCTGTAAAACTGAGTAGAACACAACTCCATTGAATAAGTACTAAAATATTGCAATAAACATTAAGACTACATGCCCCATACAGTCCTGGTAATATGAAATTTGGCGGCGTGCTGGTAATCGCACGCCTTGAAAAATTTTGGCGTGCGATGGCGTATGATGACGTGGGATCAATAAAATGGAGACCTTACGATTTTTATGAAGACCTGACGTCATTTTTGTATTAGAATGTGTGTATCACTGCTTGAAAAAGCGTATGAAGTTTTTGAAAAACCAAAAAGGTTTTATGGAATTTTAGAAGAAGTTTCTTGAAAACAAAATAATTTAACAAAAAGGATACAAGTTTTTTTAGGCTCTGTTGCCATTACTCCCTTTCCATATGCTCAAAAACGGTCCCATTTGATACCAAACCGAAGTTATTCAAAAACGCTGTTTGAAGTGGAGTCATCTCAAAAATGGAATCATTTGAATACGCATTGTTTTATTGGGAACAGCGAAGACAGAGGCATTCAAAAACGGAATCATTCAAGCTCAGTTTCAAAAAGAGCTAGAGCTAAGGATATGATAACGGACAAATATGGAGTAATGGAAACACCCATGTTATTTTTTTGACCAAAACAGAGTGGCATGGGGCAATGTGTTCAAGAAAATAAGAAAAGAACGAAGAGAGATTGGAGACATCCAAACGGAGTAACGGAATAACGGAGTAATGGAAACCGGGCCTAATGGAAACGAAGTAAAGAGTTAAAATGCCTCCGGAAATGCCATCAATATAACCCACACAAAAGAAATTGAAAGAAACAAAAGAGAAAAATATAGTAATTCAAAACGTGGAACTGCGCGTTCGATAGAAAGCACGCCTCAGGAGTTCTAGGCGTGTGTGGAGGCGTGCGCGTGCGATCGCACACCTAATATTACCAGGACTGCCCATATGAATATATTAAGCAATATTTATTAAAAAAATTTAGTTGCATCATTGTCAATATTGTTGTTATAATATTTTAGTTACAACATTGTAAAGGTTTTCCTCATTTAAAACTCTAGTTCAAATCCAGGTCATTAGCAGCTACGGCACTTTAGTGTTATATTGTCAAAATATACAACATTGTAATTAGATTAAATGTAGAACTAAGCATTCCTAATAGTATATAAAAATAATTATAATGAGTATCCTGTATATAATAGTTTTTTAGAATTTGCCTTGTGACCTTTCCCTTCTTCCTTTGAATAATTTTCCCCTTATAAATGCCCTCCAAATATTGTATAAATGACTGATAACATTTACTTGTGGCCAGAGCTAAAGGAGGCAGGGGGCTGGTTGATCTATACTTAGACCTGGTTAAAGCATTAACTGGAAAGGTTTTGGTTTTTTGCTGGGTTTTTTCATGTTTGGTTTCAAATAATACTTCAAGTGAGATAAGGAATTATGCCATTTTATTTTCAATACAGTTGTATGTTAAGTTGAGCCTTAAAGATAACAAACTGGTCTCTTGAAGTATGCTTATAAAAATTGTCTAAGCCATGTTGATATTCATTTGCACAAGCAATATTTTTTGCTTGATGGCCCTATATTTGTATATTTAGTATAATATCACCAATAGTCTATAAAGTATATTTGGTGCTAAACTTTGGAATGGCATACCCATTTTTATTAAAATGTTAGTTTCGTTCAATATTTTCAAGTCAAAACTGAAAGAATTCCTTGTAAATGGTTATTATGGTCCTTTAATTCCACATAAAAAATTGTGGGAACATTCTTTAATTATCTCTCTCTTTCGAAACATCCTTTGGTCTTGTGTTTATTTTTAAATAAATTTGTCCATCTTTTACTAGTTTTTAGACAGCGGGAGGGGGCTCTCTCTTGCTTAGTTTAATTATTAGAGAGCTCCTCCTAAGTTTTTTACAATGCTTTTTGCTATTTTCTTGCTATTTTTTTGCAGAGCTGACATTCCAATTGGCCATGTCTGGAGGTATTGCTGAAGGAAACAATGAAGTTAGATCAGACAATAAAGGTATTCTATTTTGAAATTTTTACTTCTGAAATAAAATCACACTTTCAGGTTTTTCATTAGTTTTTTAAGTATAAGGCTGACATTTAGAAGTAGGTAAGTTAAAGGCAGTCTGTCCCGTATTGTGCTCAACTTTATTTTCAAGGGAGTGAAATGAACCTGTGGCTAGAAAAATTTTGTTTTCCTGTTTGGTGTGTGCGACAGATATGTCAACAGTGAAAAGAAATGCTTCCATTGTCATCATTCAATTCCATTAATTAAATTTCCTTGCCATTTCCAATAGCTTTTTGCTTGCAGTTTCAAATTAGCCAATCATTGATGTGACAGACTGCCTTTAACCAAAGTTTAGTCTTACTAAAAAGTGAAGGTTTGATGAAAAGCATGAAAGGATCATTTTTATGTTTATCCTATTACTTTAATTGAACCATAATTAAAAATTGGAAATATTTGATCGAGTTGCAAGCCAAGCATTCCTCCCTAAAGACATGCCTGAAATTGTCATTGAGACAGAAATGATTTTAGTGCCAAATACAATTTTTGGAAAACTGTTTTTCTTTTTTGATCCCAGAGTTGCTTGATTTCTCTGAAGGCTTTGAATTTCAAGTATGCTTTTCAACCAACTTCAAGTTACTGCTATTTTGCAATATGTCTTTTATGCCAACAGCATTCCATAGAGTTATCCTGTCACTGCTTTTTACAAAGTATATAATCTTGTTTGTTTGATTCCAAACAAATTACACAAATGGTTCAAAGCCATTCAATCATTTCATTGAAATACCTCTTGTTTTGTCAAGTGATTTTCATTTTTTTTACTGCAGAGTCAATAAAACCATCACAAGATATTATGCAAAAAGAGATCGCATCTTTGAAGGAAGAAAACTCACAGTTAAAAGGACTCGTAGAAACACGTGACAAGCGAATTTCTTTGCTGGAAGGCCAACTTAAGAGCAAAGAACAGAAATACCACAATGACCTAAAACTCGTGCAACGAAACATTGCTGAGCTGAAAAGTGAAATCGATGCGAAATCAAATACTATAGCTTATCTTACAACTCAGCTGCACCAGCTTAAAATGAGGGGTGCAAAACCAGATTCAAATGTTGGCCAAATTGTCCCAGCTCCTCCTCGCGAGGGCACTCCAAGGACTAGGGCGCTGCGTAGAACCGCGACGTCACCAACAACGCGAAGCTTTTCTCCATCAGAAGATGCCTATTTTACCTCGCATCAAGTTGATATCTCTGAGCTACCAGTACAGTCTGCCATAGCGATAAAAGGGAAAAACCTCCCGAGCAGGCCGGCACAGTCTCTTTCAAATCCAGCAAGACCAGCGTTAGGCCATTCTGCAGCAAGGAGAGAGCGTGAACTTCATCTTTATTCGCGCCCAAAACCAAGCGACTACAAGGATTTTATCAATGCTCCGCTGAAAGGTAACGACGTAAACTTTCTTCCAAAGCCTCCCGCGGCACCGCTTCCACCGATATCTGCTTCGAAAAACGGCAGACAGCAGAACGTATCTAATATGAGGCAATCCAAAGAGAAAGGTCTTACGGATTCCAGACATAAAAAGATTTCAGCGCGGGGCGGGGAAATCACTGAGGTTGTTGTCGATCCACTAAGCTCGCCTGAACGGACTTGGAGGAAAGTTCAAGACTCCAAGTATAGAGAATGATAAAAATTATCTGCGCTTTAATATTTGTTATATATGTAGCATATTTGTACAGAAGCGTTGCTTTTAGTGTTAAAAATTCGATTTCACGTGCCTTTCTTTAGCTCTGTCCTGTTACTCTAGTCTACAAAAGGTAGTAATTAATATTGTAATCGCATTTAAAGAGGTAAGCTCAAAGGCATCAATTGCTTTAAAAGATTGCATTTGATAGCCCCAGTTAGAGAAGATCATGATATAACTACTTTCCCAAGTTTTCAGCGCTGTCGCTATCCCCCTAGTAGTATGATTTATAACACTGAAAGTTATGCAATATTTAACAAGCATTGTGATGGGGAAGGGGCAACAACTTTAAAGTTGTTAAGATTTCGTGTATGTGTTCCAGAAATTTTGACAAGAATTATAGCTGCCACCTTTTGGACATAATCTTAATGGCAATTGTTTAGCATTGTTTCTTTCTATTCTTCCCGGTCTTTATTGGTTATTATTTGCTCCACCCTCGGATCGCAAAGTACGAAGTAAGTATCAAGATGTGGCGTAACATACAAAATGGCGCTGCTACGAATGGAAGAAATATAATCGGAAAGAAATAGAAGTGGAACAATCTTCAACCAAAGAACTTCAAGTTGCTCAACATGAAAGGCAAACCATTCTAGGTTAGAAACTCATACTGTTATACCTGCTAATGCTATTGATAACACAAGTAGAAACCAAGACCGCAGTTGCTAAAGAAACTCCGAGGCTACTGCTGCGGTTACGAAAGATGAAGATGGAGGGTGCAGAAGGGGTTGTGACTAGCTGACAACCAAAAATGTTTTGCCAACTGAATAATCATGAGCAAGACACAATAGTTATGATTTATCATATTCGTAATTTGACTGAGGCTTATGCGAATCACTTTGACAGGGGGATGTGGGTGCAGTTTCTATTCAACAAAATACGTTCATTGAGCGAAAGTTATATTGCATAAGCTAAAATGTATAACAATGACACCAGAAAATCGATTAAAACTATCAAATTGCTTTCAGCCTGTAGGTATTCAGTTATGAGAAAGCTTCCATTATTAAAAATTGTTTCAAAAAGTTCATTTTCCAGCAAACTGGAGGGAACAAAATTCAATTTTTTCCTTCAGCAGCAACGATGGTGCCGTCTCAGACTGGTTTTATCTTGGGCATGCAGGGCCGCCGGAGCAAGGGGGCCACGGGGGCACAGGCCCCCCTGTTTTCAAAGGTATAAACAAGTGCCCCTTTTTTAAAATATATTGCGTGTATTTTTTCACTGCCAGATATTCTGCCTTAAGAAGCTAAGTAAAATAACTTGAATCTGGGCGTTGTTGGAGGACCATTCACTGAAAAATTCCTTAAAATTTTACTTGGTCTTGATGCAAAAAGTGCATGCTCCTGTGATGAACAATATTAATTGCGAAGGAGACTGCCAGTTTCGCAAAAAAGTTTCTTTAGTATATCTTCAGCAAAAAATGCATCAAGGTCCGTATCAAGTCCTCGGCAGGAACAGTCAAATGGTCCAAAATAAAATTTGTGTGTTCCTGAAACTAGAAACTGGACCCCTATCTCTGATTCTGGGTTGCGCAAAATGTACCCTATTCTTTGACTTTGCCAAGATTATGTAACTCTTTTCACTGTGAATATTCAAGCTTGAGCAGGAATTTTTTATACCAGTTCATGTTAGAACCATTCTTTTTCTTAAACTTATATCTAGGTATATCAAAAGCAGAGTTCACTAAGTTTGATTTTAACAACTATCCCTTATAGTTCTTGATATATATATTAACAAAATCAGACAGCTGTAAAACTATAACTGCAACATATTGATTACTTCACAACATTGTGTTAAATGTTTTTATGAAGACATGAAAAAGCTGTGTCCCTGCAATGAGTACATGCTAGCAGTAAAGGGTCTTAAAACAAAGACTTAAATTTCTTATCTAGGATTAGAACAACATATAAGACTAGATGCTAAATTTGTTATACTTCAATATAATTCCTGCCCTTTTGTATTTTCTCTGACTGATTAAAGAAGCAATCCTATTTTCAAGATTCTTTGTCCCAGAATTCTAGTTTTCAGACCACCCTTTATCAGAATTTTTCGAAACTCACTTGTAATACGTTTGACCAACTGACTGAGCCCGTCGGGATCAAGTCTAAGGAGAGCTAAAAACTTGTTTCGTTCATAAGACTGATGAGATAAACCTTATCAATGTTGCAAATTAATTTTGCTATGGCAGTGAAGAATGTGCTCGCACCTTCAGCCGATTGCGTGAAGATGACTCAAACATAAAATTTTGTAGCTTTCAAAAAAAATTCCACGGAAGCGAACAAATTTATGTGTTCAAGTAGTGATGAAAAGGAGTGAATGCCAAGGGAGGCTTGATTGTTTAGATATAAAAGTAAGAAAGTTAAAATCATTGTTCGAATTGGCTTTTGATAATTATAGAGACTGAAACTTCGCTTTGAAAGGGAGAGGGACTTGAATTGGCTTTGAAGTATATAGAGACTAAGAATTTGAAAATTCCATTCAGTTTATATTTTTGGTTGGATTCGTTGGAATGTTGCAATAAATCTGAACTTTTGTTGAGTATGCTGCGCCTGCCACATATATGAAAGAAGGGCGTGTGCCTGCTTCTTACCCGGGGCCAAATCCACTTACAATGCAAATTATAAAGAAAATAAGTACAGCGTATTGTAATAGAGGTATAAATCATACATGGAAGAAATATTTTCACTCTCAAAAGACCAGGGGCGTCGAGAGATGGGCCGGGGCTGGGAGTGTCATGGGGCCCCACCGTCGAAGGCTGCAAAAACCTTTTTTGGGTTACGCCCTTAGCAATGCAGTTTGATGGACTGTAAAAGGCATGAATTTTAAAATCAACGCCCCTGAAACACTTGAATTTGTATTTTAAGGTCTTTAACAGAACATGTAATTAGTGACTTTATAAAACAAATCATTAAAAAAATCAGTTTGAAAATCAGAGTTAATTTAAAGTTTAAAAAACTGCTTTTCTTGCTTTCCTTATGGCGAAATCCTTAATCTTTTCTTGCTTTCCTTATGGCGAAATCCTTAATTATTTCCCACAATCTTTTCCAGCTGTCGTTCGCTCCCCAACCATCAGGAGAAGACAATTTTGATTTTGAACCATTATTAATAGTGTGCCCAAACAACCTGCATGGCAAACAATAGAGTGCAGCCTTTGTAGGACTGAAAACAAGCCAGCTTCTTACTACCTCCCCATTTTGCTGCTTCACATTTAGGACCGTTGTTGGAAATTTGTGGCCGTCGCAATCTTTGGGAAACTCTGGAGGATGAGGCAAATGACCAGTTTCAACAACCTTTTCTAACTCCTTTATCGTTGGAAATCCGGTCAATGTGCCGAAATCAAAACTAGATGATCCACTATGAATACTATCTTGATCTAATGACGAATCAGTAGTGCTTTCTCTACTTTCTGTGGTGTCATGGTCTACCGAAGCAGCCAAGCCGTTTGTGTCTTCTTCTTCTTTAGCAGTGCTTTAAACAGAGCTTTCGCCAGGTTTATTGAAAGTTGAATCACCTTCCTTGTCTCTTTTGTAAGCACCTACCTCAAACAATGTGCGAGAGGCTTTCTTTGCTTCTTTTTCTCGCATCTTTTTTCCTGCCTTTTCTGAGCACCAGACTTGTGCCTGTAAGATGATATCGCAGGGGTTGGTTGGATCGTGATCCCGCTTAGTGATTTTGATAAAGACTTTTATAGCGTTTGGATTTGTCTTGGTTCTTCGCATGTGCTTCTTCTCTGGTGTACGCCGTGAATGGAAGATTTACTTTTGAGTTTATAGGAAGTCCACAAAGGAATAACTAAAACATTTGACCTAAAAATAGATATATGTAAGTGCAATCGAATTTTTCGGCTTCCGGAGAAGTATATTATGATCGTATCGTCAATGTTTTAATTATAAACCTAACAAGAAAAGGCCCTCATCATAGACCAGCTTGTTGATCCCATGTTGAAAGATTAAATTTCGAATATCAATCGGGTCATGGGTCCGCCCTGCTAATGCTGCTAATTGAAAACTCATAGCCAAAAATACATACCTTATTTTCTACGGGCCCCTCAAGGCCCCGGGCCCCCTGGTAACTACCCTGATTATCCCCCCCCCCCCTCTCGACGGTCCTGCAAAAGACTTTGGTTGCCATGAGATGGGAAGCTATACAATTAAAAAGTTTTCTATGATTTGTGTTAAACTGGATTTTGAAAAAATGACAAGAGTCTTTATGCTATTTATGTTAGTATTCCTTTTATTTAATTTATTTTGATTTACATTGGATTCTCGTCTCTGTTTTGCTTTGTTCCTGAATTTTATCTTCTTTTTATGTTATGTTGAAATAAAATTTAAAAAATTGGAATCCTACCTCGTATTGAAACTGAAAGATCAAAAGGAGGCCAAACCTCCGAAGCAGTCCTCTACAACTTGGTACCAAATCAAGGTGAGCGTTTAGAACTATCTCTATTCTGCATCGACAAAATCTGAGCTCAAGTAAAGCTTTGATGAAATTATTTATCACTTTTTCATATCTACAGGCAAAATTCTCCCATCTTAAGCATTCATTTTTGTCATAAACAGTATTGAACTCATAATATCTTGACCGCATATATTGTAACTGTCTAGGCCGTAATGAAGTAAAGAAAGTCTTCTGCAGGGAGTATGACTTCTCAAACGATATCCAATAGCATGAAATAACAAAAATTGAATCCGCATGTGAATTTTCTAACTTTCCACTCATAACTGTGTTAATGGACACATAAATAGACACAAGTAGTCAACGATGCCAGTGCCAGGCTTACATATTGTGATTATAATATTTCATGTTTATCAAATTATTTTTAATCAATAAGCTTGCAATGCACGACATATCTGGAAAATGAACCATATCAATTTCGGAAACGTGAAAAGAATATTTACCATAAGCCTACTCACATTTTTCTCTCTCTGATAACTTCTAACCCATAAATGCACCAGGACTAGGTTAGTAAACTTTTTCTAGCTCTCAGTTGCTCAAAATTTCAAGGACCTCAGATTGCCAAGCGATTCTCACTCCAGAGGTTAATACTGCTTATATTAGGAGAGTTCATACCAAAATTAGAAAACCTTGATATCCTCTTCAGTTAAAGTGTGACTTCATTATTCGTTTCTAGATGGCCAAGCCACATTCTTCAAGAAACAGGAGCCTGTCTGGCATGATCAGCAGATTCAGCCGAAGTGCTGTCTATAGAAAAAAGGCCCTTTACAATAGAAAAAAGCCAACAGTTGAGAAGAAGGCGACTAAGGTTGAAACTCATAAGACAAAGTCAGTTGGTGGTGAAAAGAATGGTGAAAAAAGAACTGTTCCAATCAACAGAAAGGTATGAAAATCATTTTTATCTAGTGCCATTATCAAAATGCCATAAGCGTATAAACTTTTACCAAATGATTTTATGCGGCAAAGATTTTATTAACTTAATGAGGTTTCTTGTAGTTAGTTTATTATTTTGTAACTTGATGCCAACTTAACTTAGATGACAGGCATTCTTTCTAGGGGCTTGGTAGTATGTATTGAACAAGACAGCTCTAAGTTGCAACACTGAGTTTCATACTTTATGTTATCATCAGGCAGCTATTAATTTATAAAAACTATTTATATATATATACTGTTAGAAAATCAGCTTAATCTAGAATGAAAATACATAACTTAAAGATAAATAAGGATAAATGCTGCCTAGCTGGCACACCCCTCATTACAAAAACTGCTACATTGTTAAATAATGATACTAATTTTGAATATTATCCTGAATAAAGCATTCAACTTAAAAAAATTGATACTGATGTGTGTTATTTATTTTTATACCTTGCCTTTGGGGCACTGAATAAGCTTTAGGCTACTCAGTGGCACACCGATCTGAGTTTTTACAGTATATATTTATGTATAATTTTATTACAAGGTATAATTATATGCAATCGCTTCTCCAACAGGCAAGATTCTACCCTACAGAAGACACACCAAGAAAGCTGAAATCCAGGAAGTCACCCAAGCCAGCCAAGTTAAGAAGTTCGATTACCCCAGGAACAATTGTTATTCTTCTTGCTGGAAGACACAGGGGAAAGGTATGACATACAATTACCCAGTTGATTTGCTAAATGGTTTTCTAAGCTCAAAAAGATGTGGGTCTACAAGCAGGGACAGACAAGCCTATTGTTTTGAAAAGATGATGTCACATTTTCCCATTGTTTTAGAACACAAAAACATTGTCCTCAAAAATTTTGGAGGGCAACTGCAGGTGTTTCCCCCCAAGTGTCTGACACTGTCAACAAGATCATTAGCTTGATAACAAGAAGAATCTATTCAAAATCCCTAAGCCACTTTCAGAATATCATTTGAGGCTGCAAAGCCACAAACCCAAAAATATATATAATTGTTTGTGTTTAATCAAAATTTTGGTTGATTCTTAGCTTTTAAAAATGACTGACTTTCACCATTTTTCATTAGTTATCATTTCCATTTCCAAAGAAATTAAGGGCTTTTGGATTACCAAGTCTTATTGTATACCATGTTTTAAGACATGTTGGATTTAATGTTTAGAATATAAAAGGGAAAATGTTGGATCTCCCTTGTTCTTTTTATTGAATTGTATCATTTAAAGGCTCATCAATTCAATTTTCTAAATCGATGATTTCTGAATGAGTGCTTCTGGAAAAATAAAATAGGCTTTTGGATTGCTAGCAAAATATTTCCAATTTCAGTATTGTGTATAAATGGTAAATGTTTGCCCAATTAACCAAGGCCTTATCTTCATTATATAACTTTTTTTAATTTATATATATATGCTAGTGTTTGTTCAACAGACATGTGATATCTGCTTTTATTACAAATTATCATGTATTGTTAAACAATCTCCTATATTTTCCTAGAGAGTTGTCTTTTTGAAACAACTGGCATCTGGGCTTCTCCTTGTTACAGGTAACCAGTTTTCTATATAAAGTTCATTTGCAATTTTCTCAATAAGTTTCATCATACAGGATTGCTACAGCCTTAAAGTCATAACCTTGATCTTTTGTTTCCTTTTTGTTGTTTATTTTCACTTGCAGTGCTTTTCTGTATGGCAATTCTCTATTCGTCAAGGAACTCTCTCCCCACCCTTAAAAGACATTTACGAAATGTCTGAAAGGCTTGACTGAAATAAAAACCTTAGAATTAAAATAGCCAATTGTAAAAAAGACATCCATAGCACCAACAAAACACTTGGTATTTCAAGCCTTTGTTATTGATCAAGCTTTCCTGCAAAATTTGTCATGCCTAAGATAATTTGCACAATCACTAGGTGCATGTCCCCAAAATGGCATGCCCATGGATGCATGCATGTCCCCAAAATTCAGTAAATCCACCCTTCATTAAACCCATTTTCTAAGCAAACAGGTAAACTGAAATATGTAAGTGACTTCAATCAACCTACAGGTCCATATCAAGTCAATGGAGTACCACTCCGAAGGGTTCCACAGACGTATGTTATTGCAACAGAGACAAAAATTGATATTGGAAGCCTAAAAGTTGACAAAGACTTGAATGATGAATTCTTTAAAAGACAAAAGACCCAGAAGAAGAGGACTGATAACATGTTTGAGCAAAGTGTTGAGGTAAACAATGTTTTCCTTTTCCTACATCTTTTCCTTTTGTTGTTTAGTTTGTTTTAAAACCAAAGTAAACTTTAAGTTATTATACTGCTATAATCTTAGCCTCTGTTCTGAATCATCTGGTTTAGCCAGTAGTTCCAGTTACATGTGTAAGTTCCAAAAATTGTATCCTTTTTCCAAAATTAGTTGTTCTGTGTTTTTGTGCCAAGGTGGTTGTATATATGTTTTTTCTCTCCGCTGATGGAATACTGTTTGGAAATAGTCATAATATTGCAACTGGACAATATTAGGATATTGTAAATCAAATGAATCCATTCCTTTGTTGTTTTAGTTTGAAAGGTTTTTAACAAGAGGATTTACCTTTCTTACATGTTATAGACAAATGGTATTTTGAATACCCGGTCCTTGCTACCATTGGTACCATAATTGAAAGAGAACTTGAGCCTATTGCATGCAGATGGTTGATGGTATATATTTTTTTTTCTTCAGGACTACAAAGTCAGTGATGCCAGGAAAGAGAAGCAAAAAGCTGCTGATGAAGCCATTGCTGCTGAAATATCCAAAGTACCCTTACTCAAGAAATACATGCGATCATTATTCTCACTTCGTAAAGGGCAATACCCACATGCAATGAAGTTTTAAGGAGATCTCAAATGTAAAAAGGAATATTAAAAAGTTGTTTTTTTGTTGTTCTCCTTTTTGTTCCTATTTTTTATGCTTATGTTTCAATTTAGAGGCCTCTACTTAATCTGAACTGAGTCTGGAAGATGAGAACCAACCTGCAAATCGATGACAGAAAGTATGCAAACACAGAATATTTTTCGTATAAGGGTCTAGGCTAAAGAACCTGTAATAGCTTTTACAGGGAAAAACAGGCAAAACCTATTTGGAAATACATCAATTTCTATTTAAAAAATCTTGTAAATAAAAATTTGAATAAGAATTGTTTGTGGTTTTCTGTCAGTAGATGAGCTTGTAAGCTTAGAACATGAAATGTTCCTCTGCCAACTTTGAAAGTTCCTTTCTTCCAGGTTGGAAGATGCAATGTGGAACCTTGCTTGTTGAAATTAATAGCATTAAAGTTTTAAGATAGTTAAGGGGTTTGGAAAGTCAAGATGTCAAATATACTGACCTAGATATGAGTAGAGTTACAATTACATGGTGTCCCCTTAGGTTATGTGGTCGTAGGTAAAAATCTTTGCTCGTCAATGATGGTACGCATACTTAAGATTGTTTTTGTCACATTTAATTTTCCGCTTACTGGGGTTCTGCATCCTGAGAAGCCGGTAGATCTCTAGGGCAGGTGGAAAGCCCCAAGAAAAGCAGGCAAACATTAACAAAACAAAAAGCTTTCAATTTTGTGAGGGCAAGGGCAACATTCCTGTGTATATCCCCTTCCCCATCATTTACCCCGTGTTTTTAATAAGGCTTAGTCGAGTTTATCGCCAAAGTCGTGTGCAAGTTAAAAAATTCTTTATGGACATCTCGACGGGGAATTTGCTTTGCAGGAAAACTATCCTTGTCCTCGTTCTAGAAACGAGGTATCACATTGCACTGTTTGACAGGAATAGCTTCGTTTGTTTTGCTGCACGAAAGGTACAACAAAATGGCTAATACAGAAATTCTAAAAAACGTTAAGAAAGACTTTTTTATGACCGAGCCTATAAGCTCATTTGAAGATCTTGTATCTGGTGTGGACAACTGCATGAAAAATCGTATGGAGCTTGCAGTGATGTTCTTTCAAGCCAAGATTTGCAAAAGAATCCAAGAACTTGAAACTGGTAAAAATTTCATCATTGATAAATGGTCAAGGAGTGAGGGTGGAGGAGGAATAACTTGCATAATACAAGATGGTTAGTACATTTCGGCAAACGTCAATTTGATGAGAAAATATCCATTTTCTTGGTATAGAATATGTTGGTTATTTCTCATAACAAGCTTTTTTACTTCCATCCCATCTTATGTGTATTACCCTCTAATCAGTGGTGCCATGGAGGGGGCCTCGGGGCCCAGTCTCTCCTGTTAAAATTAACAGAGATTCGACGCCCCCCTCCCAACTTGTCAGTCTATGTTTGGTTGGGTAAAATTCCTCACTTGGGCCTTGGCAATGTGCATTAACCTATTTATTCCATTCTCCATGAATAAGTAATTTCTATCAGCCCTTTAGAGTCTGTGAACAATTTAATGATTTCATATACACAACACAGCATACAATCCCTGATACAAATGCAAGTATACAGGGTGTCTTTCAGCCATTCCCCTCAACACTGCCCCCTTTCAAACCCTCTACAAGCACCCCTTACCTTCAACATGCCTTTTTAAGTCCAACAAAGTTGTTCTGTTCATCAATTATCAGTTGTTGTTTTACTAGCTCATTTGATCACCAGTTTTTATTGCTGAAAGACAAATATTAATATCTAAATTTTTTGGTTATTTGCAAGTGTGCCATCAAAGGGGGGTTTTGAGGAGTGCTCCCCCCAAAAAATTTTGTTCGTCAGCACATTAAGGATTTCTGCTGGGCAAAAGAAGCAATTTTTGTACTCACCCTGTAACCTTTATCGCAACAACTGTATATTAAGTTTCTGTACAAGTTGAACTTTCAATGTATCGCACTAAAGTATGAATTTTGAAACAGAAATGAATAAAAGCAGCATATAAGAACATCTTTTGACCTCACCCTTAAAGAGTGAGACACACCCTTTTTTGTTGGCAAAATCACCTCTTTACCCCTCCACAAATTTTTTTAACTCAGCCCCTGGTGATTAGCCATCTATCAATATTACAAACATAGAATGTCATCATGAATTTTCAGCTACCGTTTAATTTTCTTTTGTTTGCAAAGCTCAGGTAGCCATACAGCTAGGTTGTTGCATATCAAAAAAGCTTAGCTGGTCAGTTTATTTAATCATATTTTCCCTAGGCAGTGTTTTTGAAAAGGCAGGAGTTAACATATCTGTTGTCCATGGAAGATTGCCCCCAGAGGCTGTAAAGCAAATGAGAAGCAGAGGAAAAGACATTGGAGGAGAAGTAGATTTTTTCGCATGTGGTATGTATTTTGTATTCTATTGAAGGCTATGTGTGATTCCAGTTTCAGGCCTGAGCGTATATCTAGCATGCATTTCATCAACAGTCATTTTGTACTAGAGTTAAAAACTAATGATGTCATCAAATTTAATTTGGATGACATGATATATTGCCATTGATGATAAATCAGTTGATTCTAATCTCTTATCTAAACTCTATGAACCAAGACATACTTCATGCTTTTTGGTTATATCTCAGGTTATTATGAAGATGGGCTGAGTTGATGTTAAACATTTGGAGGGGGGGGGCTTAGTGTGGATCTTGCCCAAATATTATTGCTGTATTGAGGTATAACTGTCTGCAACACCCCTTCCAGCTTCTATACCAAATAACCAAACAAAATTTTGGACATGTTTTGATTGTCTTATGGTGATTAATTCTGTCATTTAGCTTGATTTAAGTCTCAAGTTTGTAGATTCATTAGTTTACATTGTGTCATTGCTATGGGTTGCTAAAGCCCTTGGTTGTTTTTTAGAATTGATATCTATTTTCAGGGCAGGAGTAGCTTGTCTGTTCATGTGTTATGTTGTTGTTTCATCTAAAGAGTTTTCAATAAAACAAATTGGGCTATAATATCCATTGTAGTTATTTTGAAAACAACCAATTAGTTGGCGCATGATACATGAAATGGTGCGATGTCGCTAGATTTTAACTCAATTTTTTTATTCAAGGTATTAGCTCTGTTATGCATCCTGTAAATCCACATGTACCAACTGTTCACTTTAATTATCGGTACTTTGAGACAGAAGATCTTGCAGGACAGAAAATGGCTTGGTTTGGTGGAGGTGCTGATTTAACACCAATATACCTTGACAGAGATGTATGACTCTTAATTTTTCCCTTTTTCTGTATATTTGTTAAAGTACACTGCTAAAACAGAAGTTGAGTTTATTAAGATCAATTTTGTTGGTGTCTTGCTACAATCCTCACCTAGGAGTCAACCTCAATCCAGTGCTGAGGAGAGGGGGGGTCAGGGGGTCACTGACCCAGGGGCCAATGACCATAGGGGCCCATAGATAATAAATTTGTAAGCAGTGCAGTTGATAAACAATTAATAATTAGCAATTCAGCATCTCCATTATCAAAACTTGTCAATAATAGAAAAAATGATAGAAAAAACCTTTAAATGAAATAAGGTAGAAGCAGCAACAGTATTAAAACCCCATTATGTTTTTCAAGCAGAGCTATTAGCTTTAGGTAATTTTATAGTAAGTTAACAAAACAATTTTCAAGTCTTTACAACTGTCAATTATGGAGCTATAGTAAAAAAATTTGGAATTTTCAGTTTCTTTGGACAATTTGAACGATATTTCAGCTGATGCAATACTAGCCTGCGTCCAGACTCAACTTGTTTTATTAGAGATAAATCTAGTTGATTGGAAATTTAGTTAATTGGAAATTCCATTCAACTAAATTCATCTCTGGGAGAACCAGTCGAGTCTGTGCCCACGCTGATCCAACACTAGCAAGCAAAGTAAGAAACAACGTTAATGCAATGAAAACACTGGGAAATAAGCGTTGCAAATTCAAATACTTAAGCTTGTTCAACAGCTACAATGGTTGATCCTCCTTCGAAAAAGTGAATACCCAGTGATGTTAGGAGATATGTCATCCTTTTTTGCTGCGCAGAATTTAGCTTTTTTTGCTAGGCTCATCTTCCTTCAACCTTGTGTATAATCAAAGAATACTGAACCCTTCCCATATCTTGCCAATTGATGTGAATCAACTAATCATCTTTGCTGTAACACTATCAATAATAACAATGCTGTCATTATTTTGAATTTTACCAAAGACCTTTTCCTGGTTTCACTTGAAGATAGAGATAAACTCGACTGATTTCTCTTGGTGTTCAATTTTTTGGGACATCTAGCCCCTCATCTAAACAAGCTTCTTCAAAAATTTTCACCGGACCCCTTCAAAAGGGTCGCCTCCAGTGTGCCTTGCTTTTTTCTTTGGTTTTGACCTGGGGCCCAGAAATCCTCTCTGCAGCCCTCCTCAATACTCTGAAGGACAGAAATGTGCAGGGACCTGCTCAGCAAGTTGAGTGGGACACTCAGCCTATTTTAATGAAACAAAATTGGCACAAAGATTTGAACTGAATATTTTAGTGGTTTCTTATTTGGAATTATTTTTAGATTCAAAGACATCTGATTATCTTTTGCCATGAGGTTCTTTTGAGTAGATTGATTTTATCAATTTTTGTTCCTAATATATGAGCAAATTTGCCAAACTGCTCCTGGATGTACTAAATGCACAAAAAGAGAACTTTTTGAGATGAGAGCAGTGATGTACAAGGTTGTTTTGTGAAATTTATGTCATTTTTAATATGTTTATCATATGTTTGAGTGCATTCTCAGGCATTGACGGTGTTATGGTAGTCATGGGTGGCAAAATCCTTCTTAGCAGGAGTAGTACCACCCATGGAGTCAAAGAGGAAACATTTTTGTCCTCAGCATGTTTTATTGATGCATTTTTAAAGTGTTTTCAGGTGGGCCCTTTTATAGTCAGGAGGGTTGATTTTTTTTTAATTTGATGGATGTTATTTAAAGTAGTAGTTTCAAGCTTCTTTTCAGCTGATTATGCAATGTTTCTTATTTCATAGTTCAAGATAAATTCTTTTTATAGGATACCAAGCATTTTCATCAAACATTAAAAGATTCCTGTGACAAGTTTGATCCAGCACATTATCCTAGATTCAAAAAATGGTGTGATAATTACTTTTTTAACAAATTTAGAGGTATGTATAGCAAGTGATTTGTCAAATGAGTTGGTCTCCTATAGATAGTCATGTGGGCAGCATTGAAGAAAGATGTTAAAGCCAAATAACAGCACAGGAAAGCTGAAGGTTGATCTTTCTGACTGCCCTAGCTAATGAAAACTTGTAAGTGCAAAAACAGCATAGATTGTTTTGACAGTACATTAAGAAAACATGCTCCTTAAAAGGAAATTTTTGGATTTTACAGGGAATAACTGTTGCCAATGGTATGACCAATTCATCAGCTGTAGTCATCAACTGCATTATACAGGTGGCAGAGCAGTACGGACAATATTTGTTTCTGTCTCTTTCAGGGGTATCAAACCTGATCAGAGAAAGGGCCAAGTGTTAAATATAGCATCAGTCATAGGCCAGATATAAGGAACATTAATTGAACAGTGTAGCCTTCAGTATAATCATTAGACATTTCGGGTGTTACCCTTCATCAGTAAACAAGCCTTCTTCTCCATCTTCTTCTTTACTACTGGTTAAGGGAATGTCTAAAACATCTAATCATTATATTCAAGGCTAAATATTATATATATTTATAACAGCCATCTTTTTGTGCATTTAACCAGTACAGCAACTAAACATAATTATGTATATTCAACATAATTATGTATTTAGAAAGCAAGGCTGTATTAAAATTTTAGAAATAAAATGTAATGTAACAATAGATAATAAGAATACTGATGAATGAAACAATTTTATTTAAGTTGATGATATGAGCGCTATATGCTGATGAGCTTTGAAACAATTTTTAAATCCGTCCAAGGCCACAGATAATAATAATCTGAGCTGGTGTGACCTGCTTGAATTGGATTTGACACAATAATAAAACATTTTGGAGATACTCTAAGGATGTATAATTTTATGTTTTATCATTCTTTTTTAGATGAGTGTCGTGGTGTTGGGGGCATATTTTTTGATGACCTTGATCAACCAGATCTGGAAACTTGCTTTAATTTTTTGTTCACGTGTGCTGATAGCTTCATCCCATCCTATGTTCCTATTGTTGAAAAACACATGAATGATGAGTATTCTGAGAAGGAAAAGGCTTGGCAGCAAATCAGAAGGGGAAGGTAAAGAGTTTCTTTATATTCTGTATACCGTTCAGCTGCTATAAAAACTGCAGATATGGGCTGGCTTGGGGATGTCAGGCTTATTTCATGCATGATGAATGAGGTTTTAATAGGTTAATAGAATAGAAGAAAGCAAAAGTAAACGATATTGATTTCTTCTATGAAATGAGATGCCCAGAAGTCAATCCCCTGATTTTTCGCACTACATAAGTAAATTCCTAACTAGCGCTCTATTTTTAGCACAACAGATTGTGTCATTTTTAATTAAGAATCTTTGTTTGAAGCATGGTCATGAGAAAAGTAAGGGAAAGCCAAATGATTTCCTTTTATGATATTTTCTGAGTTATTTAAGCTATCTTTTACTTTTTTAGAAATTTTTTTCTTCTCAATAAAAACAAATACAAAAAACTCAAGTTGATCATTGTTGAGATGGAGGCAAAAAACATTATGTTATCAAGTTGCCTCTACACCCGACATTACAAATATTCCAAAATTTGCATACTATACTATAAATACACAATGCAGCACAATACAATACAATACAGTACAAACACAGTACAAATACAGTACAATACTGTAGAAAATGCAACTTTGTATAGGTCATCGTGTTTGTTCAGGACTACAGGATTTAGTCTACCAGATATAGCAGACAACGACTAAAGATAATTCATTGAAATCACTCAGTTTACTTGACGTATTAAACAGTGCATTTCAGTATCAATTAATTTACTTTCTCGTTGTAAGCCTTACTTCCATAAAGAAGTAGATCACATAAATGGTCATCGGGCAGTTGAGTAATATCATTGCCAACTATAGCAGATATTTTATAAAGCAGGTTCATTCTATCAAGTGAATATTGGCAGCAATGCAATGCAGGAAATGATTTGTAGACATACAAACATTCAATAAATTTTATCTTAATAATATGACAATTGAAATATTTTGTTTTTCTCTTACAGATATGTCGAATTCAACCTTGTTTATGACCGTGGCACAAAATTTGGTTTGTTTACGCCTGGTGCCAGAATCGAAAGTATACTAATGTCATTGCCACTCATTGCCAGATGGGAATACATGCACATTCCAGAGGAAGGCTCTAAAGAACACGAGGTATTAGAAATCCTGAAAGCACCCAAAGATTGGGTCTGACCAATATCACTAACGATTGCTTGGAAGATTATGTTTGCATGCTTGTTTGCAAGTAGTGACGTTTAAGCTTCCGTTTTTTGCTAATCCGATATCGTTACCGAAACCAAGCTTTATTGATAGAGAGAAAACAAGAGAATGTTTAAGTGATGATTCCACAAGTATCGGTTAACAGAGTTTTTGGATTAAGAATGAGCAGAAATACGTCAGGAGTTTCTTTTCAGATTCTTATATGTCAAGCTGTTATTACGTCTGGGTCATGTTTTTGGCAAACGAGCAAATGAAAGTTGCTAAATGAGTAATCCTGAGCACCCTTTTCAGTACAGTAAAAAGCATACCCGAAAATGATCGAGTTGGATGACTTTTAACTTCAAGGATTAGGCATCGTTTGAGAGAAGACTTTTACTTTGTTCAGTTTCACAGCAAGTGCGACCAATGACCGAATTAGCGTCATCTGCTGAAAATGCGCCCCTACCTTATAAACGCCTCGGGATCTAGTACAAAATTTTGATGACGCTCCAGGCGCTTATTTAATTATTTACAGTAGTCTTGTTAATAGCAGGGGGATTTCAGTTCATTAATTATGAAAGGGAAGAGCAGAACCGCTATAAAAGTATTTTTAGATCAATGGATCAGTACTAGCATGCATCACGTCTCCTTATTTACATCTACTATATAAATTTTCATTGAAAAGATTTAGCGGAATTTGTTAAATTTAGACCGAGCCAATGCAGTAAAGCTTTTTAGGATTTTACCATAATTATTTTAACATTCAAACAGTTAATTCGCTTTGCTGATGAAGTTCGCTGACACGATAAAATCTTTTATTTCTAGTTCGCTGCCACGTTCGAACAAGGTTGCCATTTTACATCATGTCTCTTGAAAAGTAGTTTTGGGTCTGTTTTCTACGAATGGACCTTATACGTAAGGGAAGAGTGAGGTTAAAAGTTTGCAAAATCTTGGGACAACAGAGATATAAGAATAGATATTCGCTTCACCATACCATCTAAAAACATCCGTGAAATGTGAATACATTTAAAAGGGGGCTGTCTATGTTTTCGAGAATTTGGAGGGCATAGTCACTAAAAAACATTTCTAGATCCCCATCCTAAGTTTCTGCAACTGCTTCTCATGTGAGGCGAAGAGGAGAACAGTTAGATCTTTATTTGATTACTCTTTGGCTAAAGCTAAGGCGCTTTTCTTGTACTTTTTGCAAGCAAATTTTGTGGTAGGTTGCTTGTGACTCAAAAGGTTACAGTGATGGGGCTAAAGAAACCGCTTTACTACGATAGCCCTAACAAGATTCATCAGTTTGAAGAAGTACTGTTGGCAGACAGAGCGTTGTAAATCATCTACAAGGGCGTGGTCTTAACAAATTTTTACCACTAACTTTCCCCTCTAATGTCTGAGCACGCTGACCACAGCCAAAACAGACAGGCATCTGAAGCATGGGCTGCTACAATCAATATCACTTATTCTGTCTAGAGTCTAACTCCATATATCAACCACTCCTCCTTACCCTGGTCTTAGAATGACATAGATGTTGAAAGAGATTATGCTCAAACATACTCAAATACGCTAATGGACAGCTGTACCTTTAGTCATTTCAAAGATAGCATCTCCATATGAAAATCGTATGTCAAGCTTACGTCGCATTAATGGATAAGTCCTTGTAATTTAGACGTTGAAACTCGTCTTATTTCCATTATTTGTATGGTTTACAATCAATTTGAATAATTTGTCTGTTGGTTGCTGGTTAAATAAGAATATTGAGCGTGTTCAAAGTGAGTGGATGGGATGTTTTATTTGTTTTTCGAAAAGATAAGGCTTTGAGAAACTCTTACAGCCTCTTCCTTGGCATAAATGGATTCTATGGCGGCAACCCAACAGTTACCATTGCTTTAAAATTCTGGGAATACCAGGGATGTAATGCTTTGAGAAGAGCCAGTAGAATCTTCCAAAAAATGTCACATATCAAAAGATTAATTTCTTTTGACATAAGTCTTGATGGTATGCAGCTTTACAGTTGACCCCTCCCAAGCTCGACAAATTTGTAAAGAGTTCACAAACTAGAAATCTTCCCGATTCCAACTTCCTCTAGGTTTTATACTATACATGCGAAATTCAATGGTTTGATGACACATGCGACTCTTCATTGTTTGCACCAGTCTGGGATCCCTTACCCTGGGTACCACATTCACCCTACACCTCTCACAACACAGAAAAGCTAGGAATGGTTCAGAGAAGAGCAGCAAGGTTTATGAATAACAGCTGATATAGGTTTGCAAGTCCTAGCTCCGCCATAATTAAAAATGACATTGTCTGAAGGCCAAATGGAGAGCCAAAGCGAAAGTAATAAGAGCATATAAATTTTTGATAAGCTAGTTGAAATTCCATGTACATGTTGAAACAGAAATTACTCTTTTTGTAACACGGCAATCACAACAATAAATACATTGTCAGCAATAACACAACATTTTTTCTTGGAATATGAATCAAAAATATTTTTTAAGCAGATGAGCAAATGCAGTCATGACAATTAGCGCCAAAACTTTTTTAAGTTAGTATCAACAACATAGTCTCTAAAATTATTGAGGTCGTCAAACACTTCTTTGCTGCTGCTCTCTTTCGGATAGTTCTCTTGTATCTCCATTTGCAATATCCTTATCTCCTTGCAATCTGTCATCTGGAATCCACTGATCCATTCATCCTTTTCACTGTGCTACCTTCCAAAATATGGCACGATTTTGTTAGCATGCCATTTCTTTCTGCCTCAGCTACAGAAGTTGGAAAGTGCATCAGGTTCACTGTAAATGAGAATTACAACAGAGATTTTCATGCCTGTATTGCGCCTGATTTTGATCTAGCAGCTGTTGCTGATCAATATGATTATATAAGTATTCTTCATCAGATGCACGAACATTATGGACATGCTCAAACATTTATGCACACCAAGAAGAATGAAAATTGTCAAAAAATATCTTAAGTTGTCAAACTGAATGAGTTGTTCGATATAGTCCAGAGGCTGAAGCGTGTTGTCACCCGAGCGGAGAGTTTACGATACCAACCTTTTCAAATGTAGTTTTGGGCGTAGATTACGAATTTGAATGTTTGAATGTTGAAGTGTTTGAGTGGCGTTTCCGAGAAACAGGGGGTCAAACTTTAAAAATTGGGGGTAATTGGTCCAGTGGCGGCGCAAATTACTGCAGAGTGTGAGGGCAATGGGCATGGCCAGTGAGACCACGCCTTTTTGCCTCGTTTCAATGTTTTGTATAAGGTTAATTTTCCTTAGGAAATATGAACTATCCCTACCTAGCGCCTTCAAATCCGTTTTAGAAGAAATATGTAGACCATGTTTTGACAAGAGTGGGGGGGGGTAATTACCCCTCATACTCCACCTTAGCACCGCCACTGATTGGTCTGTCAAGCACTGGTTGCTTGGGGGATTTTAATGTCAGCTGAAACAGATTATTACTTATAATTAGCTCTATATTGGTGAATTTGGTCATTATGAAACCTGTTCCTTTTTTGGGGGGCCTATGAACACTAATTTTAAAGAAAAACCTACTAAATTTGCATTTTTCAAGGAAAATGCAACTAGAAATTATTTTAAATGACTTTGCTTGACTTAAAAAGCTCCAAACGCTTTATGCTGTTTTCCCATAAAGAAAGAAAAAGAACGAGCTAAAATAGATCATTCTTCATCATTTTCTTCATCAATGAAAGTCAGTTTTTGACGTCATTTGTCTTCATAATGACCCATCTTCGAGCTACATTCTCTTTTATAAGAACCAGTCAATTTAAGTTCAGGCTGACTATTTTATAAGAACAATTTTATAAGAACACAAGCCTCAAAATTGGCCAAACTTTAAAAACAAATTAAGAACAAACTGAGGCTGAGCTCCTTTAAAACGTAATTTTGAACAACATTTCACCTCAAAACGAGAATTTTTAGCCATGTGCGGGTTCTTTTCAGTGAATATTCAAACTTTTCCGCCAACTAAGGTGTCTCACTCACTTTTTGGCAAATGAGGCTTGAACACCTCCCTCGAGAGAAAAAGCTCTACAAAAAACTGGTTCTTATTAAAAAGCGTGTATAAGTGAAACAATCGTCGCCAAAAGGATACTATACCCTAAGAGCAGATAAACAGAAGATTCAATGAAAGTTGGAGGTGGACAGCAATTTTTGGATGAGTACAACTAAGAAATCGAGAGTTTTTTATTATTTTAATGTGATTTGTTATTTTTGTTTCGCGTGTTAAAATAACAGCATTCTTTCACTGCACAAAATTTCGTTCATCGCTGCATGAAATTTTGTTTATCACTGCAAATTAAATTAGTAGACTGAGTAACTTTCTCGACACGACTCTCATCCCATTTTCGTTGCCATGTTAAGAATGTACGCAGAAATAACTCACGTTGTAACAGAACTATGAACATCAATCTACCATCGTAAGGGTGGTACTTTGCTGTCGGAAAAGCATCAGAAAGTTTTCATACTTTCCAAGTACTCCTTGGTTCAAATGCAATGACATTGGAAGCAGAAAATGATTTTTTGAACACTTGAAAAACTCGTTTGATAAAAAGATTTGTATAAAATAGTATATCAATCATTTATTGCTAACTAGGTAGCCATGACAAACTACAAACGAAACATGTACGTTATAGCCAAAGTTGGTTGCTCAACTATATAATAGAGAAGAGAGTAAAGGTACTTTTTGGTGTGATGCTGGATCTCGCAAAAGTTGTCACAAAATGCGTCATGCCAAAGTTTTAACGCATTTCTTAGTTCCCGCCAAATCTTTATCTTCCATTGACAATAACAAGGAAACGGTCACGTGACTATCTACCTTGCCTCCACCTCCGCTCTGTCTCGCAACAAGCGCTTGGTTTTAGCAGTAGTGCTTCGCTCTCCAATTTGTAAAATTATCTTCGCATCGGAGATAAGCTACCTGTTCACTTCTAGAAATGGCTGATAGAGAAGACAAGGTATTCTGTGCAAAGCTTGCAGAACAAGCAGAGAGATATGATGGTAAGATATCCATTTTCTAACTGTTGAAAGGATGTCTCAGGAAGGGATAGGCCAGAATTTGACCCATCTTGAGGATCATGTTCTCTTCTTTTTGACTTGGAATCTTACGATTTGACGAAATTTTCTCAGCCGATTCGATGGCATCTTTTGTTTTTCTACATGGAAACATATAAAATGCGACAAGGCTTTCTTTGCAATCATTTTACGATTCAGTTAGCAATGGTGTTGTTTTCTTACAATTGAACTAGCGGTTTTCATCCTCCTTCCTGGAGGTATGACGTTCCAGAGTTCAGGGGCATTTTGTGCCATTTATTGCTCTCGTGGATAATGCACCCTGCAAGTGAAATATTCACAACAGTTCTAGAAATTTCTCTTAAAATGATCCGCTATGAGCAAAGTTTCCTGTAGTTTTAACAGAGAAAACAGAAAATGCCGAAAGAAGTCCTATAATTTGTCGAAGACGAAACTGGACAGATTATCAGTTTGTTTTTTGAACAGGAAGACAATAATTCATTCTTAAGCTCGCATTCATTACCTAAGAATTGTTATTTTACTTTCACGTCGAAATTTATTTTTATAATCAATGATCGCAAATTTTGAAAAGATTATACCAAGATCATCCTAAACCTCATCTACCATTTATCTGCTTCGTACACAAAGGACGGTATCTCACCATCCGATGCCATCTGTTCTCAAAAGAGACCAATAACAGATAGTTGATGAGCACTTATCATCTGCCTTTCTCATTTATCCGTTTCAGATAAAAAGTAAGCCTAAGTTTATTTTCATTTCAGCATTTTCTATCAGATCTTGCCCTCCGCATGTCTAATGGACTTTAACCTAAACATTAAATGAATTCTGACAGATTATCTTACAGTCATAAAATGATTATTCACGTTTGAAGAAAATGTTTTATCCAAAGACCTGCTCATGCATCTTGATATTTGGAACTGTGATATTTTGATGTGCTCATTTGTGTGATTACACTCATTTTCCTTGAAGAAAAAGTTTTAATCCACTACATTACTGACTAGTTTAAATGCTAAAAGTTACCTGTTCAGGATCCTTGGATATACAGAGAAAACCACATAGAAACCTTTAGAAACATAGAAACATAGAAACCACATAGATCTTCTTTATAGAAACCACAAATGGAATTTTCTGTAAAATGTTTTAGGCAGATGAAAAATTAGTAAAAAGTAAAATGTGTCAAACCTCTACCCCATTGTCAAGAAATATACAAATCCACACAGTGTAATTTCAAAAATGTGTGCCACATGCAATCATTGTTTTGCTGATCTTATGTTGTATAATCAAGATTTCATTGATAAGGATACAACTTTAAATTTAAAAATTACTGTTTGATTCTACAATATAGACAGACCTTTGGTTTATAGAACAGATTCCTGATGATTGCACAGTCTTCGTCATAAGGAATCACTATGCATGTGGAAAACAACACACATTATTTCTTTCATGCGTTTGGTTCACAGTCTTAAATATCTGACTATTTCAGACCCCATTTACAGAGCCCCTTTCGAAAATGGAACTGTGACAGTACAATATTCATTTGCTTTCATAGCAGGGTCAAAACCATTCCAGGAAGCAGAGCAAAATTTTCTTGTTTCCAGAGTGCTAGCATGAATGAAAGGGGGAACCGCAATGGTATAATCACGGTTCCAAACTTGCACAGACCAGTGTAAACAGGGTATCTAATTCAGGAGCGCCATGGTCAATTAATTCTAGAGGGAGCAAGAAAGAAAAATTTTGGGACAAAATTTCTTTGATTAATCTTAATAAAATGGAAGCTTTTCATGTAAGTATGATGGGGGGGGGGGGGGGGGCAGAAAAATTCAAAACTTTTGCCTTTGCTGGAAAGATATTTAAAATGCACTTTTATCTTGCTACCCCTTGATCACAAACCTATAGTTAGGGATATGGACAAGGTAGAAAAAGTTTCTACCCAAGGCGGCATCATGGCAACTGCCCAGTGGGGATATTTTTTAAAATGTTAATGCTCGAAGTTTGGCAGGAATTGCATTCTTTGGAGCAAATTTTATGAATATCCACTGGCAGAAAGAGATGATATTGATCGACTTCCTTGTTCTTGTTTTAAAATGTTTAACCTTATGCAACATAACTGCATAAATTTTCAAATCTGGGACAAAATTTTAAAATCTAACAAAATGCACAAAACTGGTGGTCTTTATAATTAAATAAAGATACAATTCATGACCAATGTTGACCGCTTTCCACAACCAATATTGACATATTGGCCCTTGAAATTCGGATTTAAACTAACAAAATCAGGGCAGTAAATAACTACATGGTAGAAGTCCCTAGAAATAATTTTTTTGTGTGGAAATCTAGTATTTTATTTCAAATGTGAATTGCCCCTTGACAATACAGAAAGTACTTTGTTCTAAGTAATTTATAACGCTAAAGGGTTCATTACAATTCTCCTGTCTACCCACAGCTCAAATTTTGGAATTTTCCCACATAACAATGATTTTTCTGAAGATCCGTCAAATTTTGAAAACTGGGGGTGTGTGGTGAACGCTTGCATTATAGATTCAAAATTTCTTTCAATATGTCTATTCATATAAACAATATTCAATTTTCCTAATTAAAGATTTAATTGTTTTCACTATTGTAAATTTGTTGAACCATTAAGGCATTTTCAATTCATTTACCTATCCTTTTTAGGCTTCTCATTGAGTAATTATACCGTGTAAATCAAATTTGACATTTCTATAACAAAGTTTTGTCTAAGAGGTTTTGCAACTTGACATTACAGATTAAATGTCTTTGTCATGTTTAAGAGAAATTGACTGTTGTAATTTATGCTATTTTCCACTCAATCACTTTCATATTTAATCATCATACCATTGCAGTGCTTCCATTGATTTCATACAAAATACAACTATTCAAATATGCCATCTGTGCTATTTTTTCTATCTTTATTTTTTGGCAGTGCTTGCTCTTTTTCTCTTGCCCTGATATCAGGTATCATGTCCTGATATCAATTATCACATCCTGGTATCTGTGTGATTCAGGTATCATATCCAAACTTTTTATTTTTGGAAACATGTTATTTTAATTTATATAATCAGTTTGAGAAGTGAAGATGGTCAAAAACAACATAAAACTTGTAAACAATTGAACTTATAGCTGTGCTGTTTATAATTCTGATTTTTTGTTTTACGTGTATTTTAGAGAGATATGCTATATCAATAGACGAAATTACATTGAAAGCTTAAAGTTAATGAACATTAGAATCATTTCTAAAATTTCAGACATCTATGCTTTGTTCGAAATAAGCTTTATTTTGAAGCAAAGTGTGTTTATTATCCTTTGTGATGCATAAACAAAGATTGAAGATAGTGTCATGCTGAAAAGTGGACCATTCTTAAAAATTATCAGGACTTATAGTTGAAAATTATCAGGAAGAAATTTGCAAGATCAAATTCAGTTGATCATATTGGTGCTAACAGAAAAATCTATAATTTACTTTGGAATATATAATAGTTAGAACAAAAAACTGATGCATGATAGAAAGCAAAAAAGACAAGTTAGGAAATCTTAACAAGCATCATTCATGAAAAAATGATTTTTCACAGACATAAAAAATATTTGAATCTCTGAAAATGTTAGATCTATGCTCTACTTGCTTCTTCGCTCTTTTTCTTTTTAATCCTTCAACCATCAAAGGCTTTACCACTTTTAACCTTTTCTTTATTTCATTTTTAACCCCAAATATCAGACCAGATGATTTGTAAAGTAGTTGATTTTAAGTGTGAAAAGAAATAATAGCAAACAAGCATTTCTGTTTTCTTGCTGTCATGCAAGGCTCTAATAGTGCAATGCAGAACCTATAAAAACTTCTTAGGCTTCTTAGGAACAGCACATGCTTTGTCAGATGCCTTGGTATAGTTGTCAGATACCCGTGTATTTCATGCCCATTGCTCAATGCTCATTTTGTATTTTAATCAACTTTGTATTTAAGCCAACCCTGTATTTCCACTACTCAATACCACTGAAATGTTTGAGTAGCTTTATTATATATCCACATACTTTAATTATACTTTATTAACAGAAATGGTGCAAGCAATGGAAGAAGTTGCCCGATCAGATACTGACCTTGGTATTGAGGAGAGAAACTTACTGTCAGTTGCATTCAAAAATGTTATTGGGGCTAGAAGGGCATCATGGCGAATTGTGTCAAGTTTAGAGCAAAAGGAAGAGGAAAAGAAAGCTAACAAAGATGAAGCAAAACTTGAGATGATGAGGAGCTACCGGAAGGAAATTGAAGCAGAATTGCAAAAAATTTGTAAAAGTATTTTAACATTGCTTGATGATCATTTAATCCCAAATGCAGAGAAAATGAAGTCCAACGATCTTCCAGAATTTGAGTCACAAGTCTTCTACCGTAAAATGTAAGTATAGTTGTGATTTTTATCTTCAATTTTCAAATGCATAAACAGGGCTTCCAGTGGGGGTGCGCAATTGCGCGCAGGCACGTGCCTGATGTTTCCTTTCAGGCGATTAGTAGCGCATCCAGTGATAAAATATTTCTCTTGAAGAGAGCAATTACCAGATGCTGATAGGCCAATCCACTTGAGGAACTCTTTTTGGAAACAGAAGATTGACATTAAATCCTTGTTTCCATTACTCTGTTTTCGCAAGTCTCTGTTTTCTGATCATTCCATTTTAGTATTATCTTCAGCCATTCCTATTGCTCCGGTCCACAACGTTTTGGTCAAAACAAAAACTGAGGTTGTTCTATTGATATGTTCATGTCCTTTTTAATATCCTTTGTTCATACTTGTCTTGAAACAGAAGATGAAACAAATTCAATTTAAAAGGACTCTGTTTTGGATTTTCTTATTAGAACAATTCATTTTAAAATGCTTTTGTCCTCCACTGACTTCCTTTCTTTTCGCCGTTCCTTTTGAAATTATTCGTTTTCAAATGACTCTGTTTCGATTGATAACTTGGAACATCATTATCAAATGTCTCTGTTTTGAGTGTATCATTGGAAATGCAAAATAGAAAAGATTTATTCAGCTCAGTTTTGTACAAAAAATGTAATGGGAACAAGCCGTGATTTCTAATGGACTAACACAATATAATTTGCCCTTTGCTATTTGTTGGTCAAACAGGGTCTGCTTTTTTGTTTTTATTTGCTAAAGCTATTTTTATCTGTTTTTTCTTTAACTTTGCTGAACATAATTGAAACTTTGCCACGTTTCCAAAGTCATTGAAACCTCTCTATGTTGATAATTTAATCTTTTGTGGGAATTGCTCTCTTTGGAATAAAGATGAATGGACAGATATCACGAAGAGTGCTTGGGATAAATGCCTTAAATGAAAATTAGGAATGAAAATAAATGATCAAAAAGGCTTCCAAACTTTTGTCAGAGTCAGACTATGATGATAAAATCTAGAAACTTGAAGGAAATATGAACATAACTATACAATATATCATTTAGTTTGTTTTAAATGTTTTGTCAAGTTTAGTATTTCAATAGCAAAAACGTTTCTGTGTTATCAATTAAATTTGATTCATGTGCCCCACTCTTATCACATGAGTTTTGGCTGCACATGTTAACTTCTGAACTTGAAAACCCTACATAAACATGAATACATAAACCAGATAGGTCTATATCACATAGCTTTCCTCAAGGTTAGTTCCCAAATGTTTATAATTCCTATAAATGACACCATATGTAAGGCATATCATTTGTTAGTGATGTTTTATGCAATATTACCATAATTATCTTAACATCTATGCCAATAGAAGTACATGAAAGAAAGGTATGTACAGGGCCTATCTCTAATTCCTGTCAAACATGCATGTCAACGAACGACCTTGACCCTAATTGTAGGAAGTCTTATACTTTCAAGTGCCCTGGTTGTTACTTTAACTGGCCTGACTTGCCTGGCAACCAGAAACAAAATAATGATCTTCAAACCATACTCTCTAATTTTCTTTCATCAAAGATCAATTTTCTTTTTCTTATCTGAAAATAAATCAATTTGCTGCCATCTTGTCATTCTCTTTTCACCCAACTGTGACTGGACTATTTTGAAACATGGGATGTCGGAAAATTTGATAATTTTGTGATTAATCTTGCCAACAGTGACCTGTGAGAATATCCTTCCAGTGTGAAATCCATGTAGCTTCACCAGATATTTCATGCCTGGACTTACCTGACTTCTCTTATGAATATGTCATGCCAACAGTTTCCCTTTTGTATTTCCTTTGTTTATTAGCGTATATCAAGCATAAGGTATACATAGATTCCCCTCTGGATAACTTTTTACGGATTCATTTCACTTAAAAATTTATAGGTTTTTTTATCAATACCTCGAGTTTTCTAAATTTCAAGGAGTTTTTATGATTTTTTAGAAGGACCTTACAATCCCCTTTTAAATCGAATAGTATTCAACTTACAAACTTATCAAACACTTATTGTGAATTTGTTCATAAATATTTTGTGTAGTTTTTGAATTAAAAGTGTCTTCATCTTGACAATCGAATTGAACTGAGAGAAATTTCCAGTTTGGCAACACTGCTTTGTAATTTAATAATTTTTTTTATAGCATTATATTTTTTATGACAGTATATTTTAGTTGACCAAAGCTTTCTACCTGGACCTTGGAAATTTGTATGTCAGCAATTTGCAAGATACACATGGCAAAATCTAGTAGTTGTATGCATTCTACTGTGAATGTAAATGTGAAGCTCTTAGTTGTTTTGCAATTCTGGATATATTAAGCAAAACTTCTTATCCGTTCACGCCAAACTATTTATGGAAGTATCTGCAAGGCCTATTCAATTCAATTCAGGTTACAAAGTAATGCTCAACTGGTCACAGTTGTACCTGAAATAATGAAATCAAATATAGAGCCTGGCTGCGAAGTGCTTATCCTTCCCAGCAGTTAATGGCTTCTTTCTCTCTCTCTCTCTCTCTCTCTCTCTCTCTCTCTCTCTCTCTCTCTCTCTCTCTCTCTCTCTCTCTCTCTCTCTCTCTCTCTCTCTCTCTCTCTCTCTCTTTTGATCAATTTACCTTGCTTTCCTCCATATTATGACTGGCCATCATTTTGACTAGCGACTAAGCTTGCCCTGATCTATCTCTAAACACTAATCTAATCTACATCTCTTATCTACACATTCCCAGTAAAAAGTATCTTTTAATACCAATATAGACACTAATGCTGCAAGGAAACACTGTGATGTTTATTGTATGAGGAAAAGGAGTTCATAGATCTATATGAGTTTTGACTGTGAAATGCTACTGGAGCTATAAAATAACACCCCAGTTGGTTTTTTTAGTTAAATGTATTATAATCTTGCAAGATTAAAATTGCCAAAAATGAATGTTGCAAATACTTACAGTATGAAAAATAAGTATGAGGGCTAAAATTTACATGCTAAATTCTAATCCAAGGTTAAAAATTTCATTTGAAGAATTTTAAATGTCTGTTAATTGAAGTTGTGTATAGGTAGACTTATTAGGTGATGGCACCACAAAAGTCTTTTTTGAAATTTTTGAATTTTGATCTCATAACCTGAAAGAGCATAATGAAAGGTCTCTTAAAATGCACAATCAATTAAATGTGTCACAGATAGACTGAGATATGGCCACACAAGCACAGGTTCCTCCCCATCAAACCTCTGTAATTTTGCCTCTGTTCATAACTTTATGAACAGTGCCAAATCTCAGTGATCCATTGACAAATTTCCAATCTTATATTGGCTATATCTCGCCTGGTTTGTAAGATATTGTCCTGATAGTGCATTTTTAGAAGTATTTTATAGAGTTATTTTATGTTAGTGGTCAAAATTCAAAAATATAAAAAAAAGTTTTTTGTGATATTATCCTTAATAATTTCACTATTTGTAGTGAAATGAAACTGACAAAAAGATTTAATCATTAATTATCCTCATCACCGACCATCATCCATCATTATCCTAGTTACCATTGTATTTCTTGACTGTGATTCTAATGATTAAAAATAGATGAGTTGTTTTAACAGAATATGCAATGACCTATCAGCAATTCATATCTTTAAAGCTGCCAGTAGCTTAGAGAAACGAAGCACAAAGAAGAGTATATTGCAGTTTTACAATATTCCTTATTCATCCCATTTCTTTTGGTCAGCCACAGATGTAGTGTATTGCATTTTAAGGTCAAGATAAAGCAGTTCAGATCCTCCTGGGCTTTATTCTGTGGATATTTCTACCACAAAATTACAAATCATCCAAGGCAATTCTATGGCTGTTACGCAACTAGCTTCCTATTGAAGCTTATTACAACAGCAAGTGATTCAAGTTTTGTGTTGCAATTTTTCTTTACAGTTTGCTGTAATAGCTTTCTGATTTTGTCCTCAATTAGTTATTTGAGAACATTAGAGTTGCCTTGTTTTTATGTTTGAGGATTTATTGATGATTTTTATCTCATTGGGAGAAGGCAGATGATTTTCTGTATTGAGATAAGCAGGCTTAAAAGTTATAAATGTGCTGAGAGCTGGGAGCAAAGGTATACTGTAGAATAATTTAAATCAGGTATCCATCCAATTTGACAATTTAGCAAAGTTACATAAACTTGTAATCTTATTTTTAATATCATGATCACTTTTAATTTGATATTTTGTTGCTTGAACTACAAAGATTTATTAAAATGGTCTATTTAAAAAACGTTTACTGTTGTTATCTGTTTTCTAAAGCCATGAACAGTATTTTCTTTAAAACAGGGGTGTTTCTTGTCTCCAAATAAATTGGGCACCTTGATTTGATCTTAAAAAGTAGCTCCCTCTAGAAGTTGCTTATTTCTGGACAGTGGTTTATTGTTTCTACAACTCCCTTGTCTATTTCATCCTCCCATTGCTTTCCTTACACTGCATAGATTGTAGAAGCAAGATTTCATGATAAATAAAATGACTGGAAAAAATATTTTAGCCAGACAAAGTTACAGATTTACCACAGCATACTTTGTTGTCAACTTGCTTGAAAAGTTTTTGGAATTTTGTGGTACGTCTTGTTAAAGTGATTCCTGCCCTAATTTTATATTGTCCCTCACTTATTTAATAGCATGTACTTTTGAAATGCAAGTCATCCCTTTCGCTGTGTTTTCAGAGTGGACTGTTCTAAAGCACGAAGACGTGGCCTTATATGTTAGGTCGGCTAAAAATTTGCTCTAGTTTTTTTCTGAAAGACTTTTTTCATTCTCGATGGGTCCATTTTCAAGTGAAGAGCTGCGATACTATTAGCAAATTCATGTGTATATGACATGTTATAATAACTCGCAGTCTTTAAGTTATCAATCGTTTTCAAAGGCATACAAGTCTATTTCATACCTTATATGAATAAAAACATGATGATATGGACAAGAAATGGGAAATGGCAGGCGTCTTCTCCAATTTTTATGCTTTTCTGGGAATTGACTTCACGGGGGGGCTGAAAAAAGACGCGCCATCGCAGTAACTTCCAACAGACACCCGTGCCGCACCCTGCAGTGAATGTGATACCCGTTGCTAGGCCATATAACAAGGGAAGCAGACAGGATTTCGCAAGATCGATTTTAGTCTTAAAATGGAGGACAGGCAAGAAGCAATTTATCTTGCAAAATTAGCAGAACAAGCAGAGCGTTACGATGGTGAGTTCTTTCAAATCGTTATTTTAATTTAGTAACAATTAACGACGGCTCACCTGCCTAGGCCGTTTACACAGTAATGCCACAATATCTTCGAACGGGTCACTTTTTTCATTCATTGTTTGAGGCTTTCAGCGTGTTAATGGCCAGTTGCAGCCAGTTTAAATATCAGTGCTTTTTATGCGTGCTGACTTTGCTTAGTGAATTCATGCTTATTAGCAAGTGGCATTTTTTATTAACTTCATGAATTTATCTAAAAAGAGTATTTCCAAGTGTGTTAGTGGAAGCTTCACTTAGTATGGCGTGCTTCTATTTAAGATGAGATTTTATCGAATCAGATTCCATCAATTCTGCTACATAGACCATTTTTGGCATGGTACGGAGTGAATCCGACATGGGTCGATTTTTTCCACATAAGAGTTTCCTTTGTTTGGCAAATGTGGCAGGCAATTACTCCTGTAGTCAATGAATGAATGAATGTGTATCAAATAACTTAACGAAGAAAAGTTTCCTGCAACTTTCCCACATTATGTAATAGCTTTTGTTCTCAATGCCTTACCAAGTTAACACGACTACAGTGTATAAATGTCACGTGGTGATTCAAACATTTTGTTCAATTTAGTTGTTATTGCACTTCGAAATAAATCATTGGTTGTTTCAAGTAGGCATTGGTAATTATAAAGCAGCATTTGAAATTAGTTAATGCTAAAAACGAAAAGAGGCTTTATTTTTTTTATAAAATCACATGTTGATGATGAATATTTTGTCTCTATCGATGATTTAACAGTCAATCAATATCTTGATTGTCTGTGAATTGGGGATTTCAGTGCAAAACTTTAGAAAATTTGACTGCAGATAAGAATAAAGTTTCATTTACTGTAAACATCTGCCACAAATGATTAGTTTTGTTATAAATGGTCTTTGGAGGGCTCAATAATGAATAATAGAAGTACCTTGGTGCAGTTTGTGAAAGTAAGCTGACCACATCAAGTCTTAAGAGGATTATTAAGTTGCAAGAGGCATCTAAGCTTGGTTAAGTTTTGTTTCCAGACGAGCATGTGTTTGCTAAGAGTTGAATACATTGTTTAAAATTATGTCAGCAACACCTTATCCCAAGTTTATTTTGTATAACACAAGGTTAAGGGGATATTTAGATCAAACTTGGTATCTTTTTTATTCTTCATGCCAGAATAATTAACCATATGATCTTTCTCCTTGCCAGTCAAGTTTAAGATCTTTGAAGATCATTTTACTAACAGTTCATTTACACTTAAAGATATAAGTCACATCACTAAAAATACAGCGCCAGAATATTACACCTCCCAACTTTTTCTCAACAAGTTTATGCAAAAAATATATATTGATCAGGTAAAGAACTGAGGGGTTATGTCATTTTGCTAATATAATAATATATTTTATTTTTTCAATAGATCACTTTGATTTGATAACTTATTCCTGTCTCGTTAAATTAACATTTACTTCAGAATTTCGGGCCAAAATTAAGCCCTGCTTTTTCTGTTAACTTTCAGAAATGGTAGATGCAATGAAGAAAGTTGCTGGCATGAAAGAAAATCTGTCATTTGAAGAACGTAACCTCTTATCTGTTGCATATAAGAATGTTATAGGTGCTAGAAGAGCATCCTGGAGAATTATTTCAGGAATAGAGCAAAAGGAGGAGAAAAATCCTGAAAAGTTGCAGATGATAAAAGCATACAGGGAAGCAGTAGAAAAAGAAATAGCTGATATTTGCAATGATATCCTCAATGTTATAGATAATTTTTTGTTAAAACATCTTGATGAAAGTGCAAGTGATGCAGATGAAGCAAAGGTGTTTTACTTGAAAATGTAAGAATGTATACAAGCTTTTATGGGCCTGGGAAAGGGATTTCCCCTGGTGCCAGTTCCAAAAGTAAACAGCTTGTATTCTGGACTGACTTCTTGTATAATAACCATATCAGAATTTTCATCCAGACCCACTCAGTTTTGTCTTTTATAGCCATCTAAGGACAGTGACATTTGAACATATTTTTTTTAAAAACATCATTTGAGAAAATATGCAGATCTTTTCATCAAAATTTTCAAAATGTGTGCTTGATCATCAAGTGTATATATTGGATTTTTTTATAAAAGCCATAAAAATTATTGGAATCATCAGAAGTTCCAATTATTAGATTTTAACTTCTGCCTACCATATACACGGAAAATGGTATGCAAAAATTTGACTTGTCAAGAAATGGACTGAGAAAGCTTTTAGCCTGATTGCATGGGAATGGCTGACCCTGTCAAGAAGGTTGGCTTTTTTAATAAGAGATCTGGGCAAAATGGACCATCTCAAATAGGAGGGCCAGCCTTTCCAATGTCATCAGGCCCTTAAAACCGATAACTTCCAAATAATCTCAGATGGAAGGTCAGGTCCTCGCCTGAATTAAGCCCCTTTGACTGTATTGCATTTTACATTGAGAATATGTGAAAAATCAGAGGCAGGCAATTAACTGTTACCAGGGGCTACGTTAGAGATGTGAACTATTCTAAAGGGCTGCGCCAATGATAACTTTCTTACATGCAATTATTCATTTTCACCAAATGCAAAGAGCAATGAATTATGCTATATTCTAACTGCTACTAGTTACCAGGAAGATATTAGTATTGCGCATATGTTTATACAAATATATGAAATTGTGGTGTAGATCAAGTGGGAAAATGCTTTTCAAAAGCTCGTGTACTGATTGATGACACCCTCGCGCGGCCAAGACCAGAAATGGTCCGCAGGGCATAAGACGCCCAGGTTTGTGTTACATTGATACAAAATAATTGCGTAATGGTGTTAATATCAATTCTACAAAAGAGCCGTTCTTGGTGTAATGACCACGAGGAATGATTTGACAGTTCTATTGGGTATCGCACCTTACGATAGGGCAAACACATAGGAATTTTCCCTCGTTTATGATCTCATCCTGCCCAAGAAAATAGCACCCGCCATATAGATATTTTTTAATCATTTGTCCCTTTATACAATGATTTGTGTGTTCTAGAATTTTCCCTTCTATTTGTGCCAGTAGAGTTGATATTGAGAATAAGTTTCAGTGTTGCCTTCAATCCACCTTGTATCGTAAGTGACGATTATTCTTATCTTAATATAAGCTTGTGTGTACCGACGATTACTTCACTAGGGGGTGGAATAACTAAAGGTTCAGGATGAGGCGCTCAGGAAGGTACCCCATTTAATTTTGATTCTGTGACAAGCATGCTTGGCATTAGCGGTATAGTAACTTTGAAGATTTTGTGCAAAGTAATTAAAAATTCAACTCCTGAGAAAAAAATTCCAGAAAATTTAGACCAATGTTCTGAAAATATGTGGAGGACATGCAAGAAACGTTTCGCACACCTATCCTTGTTTATGGACACTGCTACACCGAATCTTTGATCACTTTCCGAGCTTTAAATCTGATGTAACTAGCTTTTTGCATACAAAGACGAAACTCGTATGTTCATTTTACTCTCTCTATAAACAGTGCTTAAATTTTTAATGACGGCAAGTGATTTCGCATTATCAGTGAACTCTATTTTCTTCTGTTTTTTATTGTTAAATCTGCAAAATGCTGCGCTCTACAAAAATTCCGGTTTTGTGAAAGGACACCCCCAGTGCTTTCCGTCCGGGATATCAGTATACCTTGCTGTCATGCGTGAAATACTTTTTATGATATTAAGGCTTTTATTTCATTTTTGGACATTGGTTTATTTAGGGACAGTGGGAACTGACAGAATTCAATTCACTTCATTACAATCACAATATTTTCTCATTTTTATCGTCATCATCATCATCATCATTATGTTGTAACATCGTAAAAAACCAACTCGGGTGTTAAAATTTTAATGGCTCTTTTTCTTTGTCTGTGTTCGTCGATCGTGGACTATCCTTGTTTAACTGCTTTTTGTTTTCCTTGACGAGTTAATTTTTTTATCAAAATCATTTATATTTAATTTCAGCAAGCATTCCTCTTAGTTATTGAAATTTGCCTTTTTTCAATAATGCTTTGTCGATAGGAGTGATTATTTTGTTAGGCTTTTGGACAGGAGTGGCCATGTCAATATTGCCAGTTAACTTTTGTCGCATTTGATATTTTTAATTGAGCGTCTTAGGTTCTTGCTTCAGTTACCTCCACCAGTTGACCGTTTACACCTTATAATCCAAGGAAAGTGGCCTCCATTTTTCTACATTTATTCACAACAACTCTATCCTCATTTAAAATGTCTTGTTTAAAAAGTATCCCGCCTGTTTCGAAAAATCTCCTTTAAGCGGTTTTAGGACCCATATCTCTAGGAGCTCTATTTTTGTTCCTCGTCTTTTCGGTTTCCTTCTAAGAATAATACTTTTCCGTGTAGCTTACAAATTTCTCTTTTTGCAGGAAGGGAGACTACCACAGATACCAGGCCGAATTTGCTAGCGGTGATGAGAGGAAACAAGCTGCGGAGAAGTCGTTAGTTGCTTACAAATCAGCCAATCAGACTGCAAACGACAAACTGAACCCAACGCATCCAATTCGTCTTGGTTTGGCTCTAAACTTTTCCGTATTCTACTATGAAATCCTGGTGTCACCAGACAGGGCTTGCCGTCTTGCGAAAACTGCTTTTGACGAGGCCATTGCAGAACTTGACACGCTAAGTGAAGACAGTTATAAGGACAGCACACTTATAATGCAACTGCTTAGGGATAACCTCACTCTTTGGACATCTGATGTCGAGGCTGAAGGTATGTTATTCATAATCCACTTTTTTAATAAACTGCTTAACCTTTTTTAACCCAACATGCGCTTGAAAGTGATCAATATTCCCTCTTCACATGTATCAACTCTCTATTTGGTCGGTTCTTGACAACGACATGCAAGTAGCCGAAGCCAAATTTGGTACCGGCTGTTACCCTTAAATGTCACGCACTGGTTTAAAAAAAATTGTGAAATAATTGAACTTTACGATTAGCTACGATTGTATAGATGTTACGACATATAAATTTTGAATTCCTTCTCATTTATAATAATCTAGTAGAAACATATTTGGGTATTTAAAAACGTTCATCGCTCCCCAATAGTACAGAACCCAATCTGAAGAACGAATCACGTGTTTATAATGCCTACATTGAACCTAGGATTTGGTTCTAGTGTTTCAACAATATTCGCGGCAATATGGCTGCTTTAATCTCAAGACTGCTTTTTCCTCCATGGAGTGTTCGAAGTTCATTTTTTTAAACAGAGTGACAGTTGACCTTCTCGTTCGATTTTTTTTCGCCTGACGTCTCTGGCCTAGAACCTTTTGCTGCTAAAACGACATGGCAAATTATTAGGTAAAGTGTGGACCACAACTCACGTTAGTGCGGAGTACGTAGTCTGCAGAAGGGCGTTTCTAACATACCTCGCAGAAGGGGCATGTTGACGCTAAGACTTTTTATGTAGATGGTAGTAGATGGTGGAAGTCCAAACCCTGCCGAAAATCTGACTGGGCACTGGAAGGGTTTCTTGTCACGTGAAAAATACTAGAAATTCGATTGATCCATATCACAGCTGGTCATTCAAATGGCTATCATTGATAAATGGGCTCGTTTCCCAATATAATATTAACTCAAGTATCTCGCAGTGTTTCTGTGAATTTGTATAGGTAAAAATGTTGCACTTTAGAACTGATCTTACACTTGTTGAATTTCAGAGGGGAAAGGTGACACCGTCATACAGGATATGGAGGACCAAGACGCGTGATGACCTTGCATTTCCAAAGAGAGTTGATAGTTATAAAAGACCTGCATGGATTAATGTTCAATACAGATTGGACGTTCACGGACAGACTTTGAACTGTAATTTATTTTGGCTGTGATTTGATTCTCGTTGCTGTATCTATGGTTTAGCACTGCAGTATTGTATAGTGAAAGGCCTTCAAATTAACGATATAGCTTATTTTGTTTTTTGGTTACAACATTCTGGGGCAGCTTCAGCGATAGTGGACTTTTGGAGAGGGAAGGCTATTCATTCAATGGATAGCCAAGTGACAGAAAACTACTGCAAAAAAATGAGTCCTTTGAATGAAGGTTACTTTCAGATTAAGCTTTCAAATTCCTTTAAAATTTGTCCCAAGTCATTCATATTTTGCCTCAAGTTCTTATCAAACTTTTCCTCGACTGTCCGCATTTAAATGAAATTGCTTAATATCTGCAAATTTGGACTAGACAAGTCACAATTTTAGTTACTGATGTAAGAGATTCGGGTGCTAATAGATATATAACAATAAACTTCTTATGTAGTGGGATTGTTTCATGATGGCATTAGCTGGAATAAGCGTTGGCATATTTGTTACCTAAGCCTTAACCGTTCGTTAGCATGATCTGCCTGTATTGTTCCATAACTTTATCGATTTTCCTTGTCACCTAGCTTTTATTATATTTTAACGCTAAAAGAAATGGATTTGCATTCATTTGTTTTATATTCGAGTGTAACTCTCCATCTCCAATCATTGCACTTGAAACGTATTGCTTGACCGAAATTTGTGGCATTAAGCAATATAAGTTTCAGTGTTGGGCTAAGAGGGTATCTCAGGGTTTCATGCCATCGGGGGGGGGGGGGGGGGGGGGGAGAGGCCATCCCGGGAGAGGCCATCCCGGGAGAGGCCATCCCGGGAGAGGCCAAGCCCTGTTTTGAAGCACTAAATTGAAGTTCGACTGATAAAAATTGGCCCCTCTACCTTGAAATTCTTTGCGTGGGCCCTTTATCTGTATACCCTGTTCTAAGATAAGATAGATAAGATAGCTAACATAATTTGCAATGGTTATTGAGGATCAAACAATTTTTGTAGCATGCCATGGAATGTTTACTTTTAATTGACATTGAATGCAGTTTTTATGCTCACTTGAAAAATTGTATTACAAACGATTTTTTGAATTGCAACTGAAAAGATTTAATGTGATGGAAGATTACCTTGATTGGGCTTAAACATAGATTTCTATAAGTTTCAGCCTGTTAACGTTACCAAAAACACCGCTGCAACTTAAATGCGTAATGCACAGCTCTGTCTTTACGACATCGAGCTCCAAATGACAAACCGGTAAACAGTTATTTTCATTAACAATTTCTTACATAGGATTTTTAAAAGTGCTTACGTTTAGCAAGATTTCACGAAAATTGTATAGTTTAAATACCATACCTGTGCAGAAATAATTGGTTTATACTGAAGCATGAAATGATCTGGTATTTGAATTGAAAAATCGGAAGATGGAGAATTCGTATCTACCAAAAACATAGAATACCATGGAATCGAGGGATATCGAAACGGTTGAACAGCTCTATTGATATTGTAACGCTATAATTTTCCATGAAATTTGCAAGTTCTTGCTAATCTCAAAGAAACATATAGATCAGCTTGTGAAGCATAACACTAAAACAAATGACAAACATAACTGAAAAAGCATTTCCTTTTCTATTCTCACAGCCGTACCAAGGAGGGGTATGATTAACTCAATGACCCCATCTTACAATTAGAGGCCCGGACTGCTACAGATAGCTCATGTTTTTACGCGAGGGTGTAATTCTCGGGGGCCACCTGGAATAGGGGTGTAATACCCCCTCCATAGCTTTTGAAGAAGCATTGAGCTATTTTCGGGCTTGTTGCTGATAGCTGAGATAAACATATTTGTCAGGTTTGTTTTTTAACAAATTTGTTTCTGTTTGTCGTTTGTTTTTCACTGAGATTCTCCGTATTTGTTTCTTGTACCAGATTTCCAAGCGTTTGATCCAGACACCGTGGATTCTGTATTTGAGAAAAAAATAAACTGAGATCATTCCAAACTTTCACAAAGAGAAAGATGAACGTTTTTTGTCTGTTAGATGTCTTCATTCCTGGTAATTAGAAGTCAATATTTCGAGGGATAGGTATAAGTTGTCTAGGCATTCACAGGCCATTGCTGATATCATCTTAAATTATCGCCTCCCGTTCGCTACAAGCCAAATATGTCATACTTTATGTCTAGTCTTGGTACTTTCAAATTAAACATTTGATCTTGATTCATCTATAGCTAACAATTTAGTATATGATAGGGCTGCAGCGACAGGAACGTTATTTTTTTTAGGGGAGGGGGGATATTTAAAATGCTAATATAGGGGAATATTTCTCCAGAATGTTTTTTAGCAATCTTGATCCTTTTAATGTTAGCCTTGTTTCATATTTTAGCTCATATTAAATCATAGATTCCATAAAAGGCGAAGAACAAAATCAAACGAAGAACCGTCACAACATCGTTGCTTTCAATATCGATTTGCAATAGTTTGCTCTTCAAATAAAAAACCTTCAGCACGAGCAATTTTTATTGTGATCTCAATATATTCTTATCTGCCCTACGTTTATGTTTCTGTCCTAAAATTGATCCCCAATCATAAACGTCCCAGATTCATAAATTCCCAACAGGCTTATTAGAGAAACTTCGACATAACCATGCAAAATCTGCGGAATATTTTGAAAATATACTCGATCATAGTCATCCATAGCTGTCACGCATTTCGATGAAGTACTGATCCAGAATATCGGTTTGACAACCCTGTACTCTCACCCTGGGATTTGCCTTAAGCCCTAGGTTTTGCCAAAACCACTAAACATTTCACTAAACATTTCACTCATCTTAAGTTTAATTAAATGTTTAGTTAAAAACGTGATCGTTTTCCGCCTTGTTGAATGTGTTTTAGGCATGTTGAGTACTGTTGAGCGAAGTTTGATCCTTGTTAGAATTGTTTAGCGGTGTTTAGTGTTATTTAGCAAATGTTAAGTCGTTTTGCCACCATTTGTTGTGCTAGTGCACTGCAGTAGCTGTGATATAAAAAGTTTTCCCGCCTCTGTGTGACCCGAAATCTCCAGAAAGTCTTCGTACGACATTAACTTCATCTTGTTGTACGCTACTGTGTCTTCAGCACTCAACTTTGCCATCAATTTTCTAAAAGTGTTTTCCTTCTCCAACGTTTCATCTACTTTATGTTACTTTCAACTTCTTGTTTACAGGCTCTTTATCAGTTAAATCCACGGCTAAAGATCTGGAGTAATCATTTTTTGAATTATGTCCTCCGTCATTATTTCATTTTGTTGGCGTGAGTGAAAAGTCGAGTGAGAAATCGAGCGAAAAATCGAATCGTTTGGCCAATGCTTAATGAATTCAAATTCCATGCCATATTCCCTCTAGACATCGTCGCACATAGGTGGAAATTCAAAAAGTTTTATGAAAATTTCAATAAAAGTTTCTCCCATCCTCTCTAGACTTCGTTCAACTTCAATAAACTAAAGTTGAGTGAAATGTTTGATGAGCTTTTGTTGTTTAACCAGAGCTGATTTTCCGGTAACATACCTGAAGAGCTTCCTCCCCACAATGCTCTGTCCCCGCAAAGGAGCTGTATTTTGAAAATGTTTGTAATGCATTGCGGGCTCGGAATTTTCTCATCTCATATCTTGACCTGTAAATATGGCGGAATAAGGGAAGGTCTTGTGCCTCCCTTGAATCAATTTGCACGTTTTTGAGGAGTGTGTGATACATTGCAAAGAAAAGCTTGATAGCACTGAGACTCGAAGGAACAAACTAATCGATTATAAATGGCGAAACTTATTGCAGTATGTAGGGACGAAGAATTTCCCTTTGAACGTCGACAGATCCCACTCATGATCGAAGAAACACTCACAGTGAGTAGGAAGATTCAGAATTGTTTATCCAATTTTAACAGTATAGGCCTATATATAGCTAAATAAATTGTCATTATATATGTTATGATTAAAAACCTTGTACTTGATTTGTACCAAATTAAAAGACTGGTTCACTACTCAGCGAGTGTAGCATAGGGTATACGTTTAAACACATTTACGCCGTTGATATCTTGAGATGTTCGGGCCTGTTGAAAGAAAGCATAAAGCAATTAAGTTTCTTGGATTTATATCGTTTGAAAGTTGTTATTTCCAGCTTTGTAGTTTGCTTGGGATTTTACTTAACTCCGAAAACAAAATAAACTGCCTGTAAAGATATTTTTCCTTAAAGAGGAAGAGCCCAAAGCTAGGACACGCTGTGTTTATTTGTACAAATTCAAATTGGCTGCTTTATTATTTTTATGCAAAGCTTTTGATCATTTCGATAAAAATCTGCCAAATTGAGCTGATAAAAAGTTTGTAGACCTATTATGTTGATGCCATGCCTGAAGAGCCTGTTTGCCAGTGATCAGTGTATTGTTGTTAATTTCTGTAAAATTTATGCAATGATCCAACAAGAGGCCATTAACTCTGAGAAAAATGCATTTAGATTAATTATATACAAAGTATTTACATTGGGAACCCAACTTGGGAACCCTACTTTTGTTTGTCATTTTATTTGTATTCCAATTTTCTTCTGATTTCTAAAACCAACTAATCAAAATTGAATACTTAACTAATTAAAAGCTACATGAAATATATGTCTTATTTGCTAACTAAACTGAGCTCAATTTCTCACCATTGCTTATATTAGTAGTTGATACTATAAAAACTAGAATTTGCACTACACCTTTTCACTCATATTCTTCTCTAATATTAGGGGATTGGTAGACTGTAATTCAAGCTCCACCCTTTAACCCCATAATCATTTATTTTTTAGATGGTGATGGAAATACCAGAAACAGTTATCTCAACTGAATGTGTTGTTGAAGGGGATGTGAAACAATTCATTGAGGTGAGCACTTTTTGACTGAATGAAAGCGTAATAAATTTGGATAAAAGGGCATACCTTAACAGAATGTTTATATCCCTTGTCGTATTTGCAATGACCCTAAATCTGATGGTCTTTAGATGTTTTGATCTTTGTCTGACAAACAATGCTTACTGAATCTATAACAATGTTATAAAACATTTCAGAGATATGATCTGTTGACATTTGAAGAGCTTAACTGTGCACTAATGGTTTCACAAAAAGAGCTGTTCGCGTTGCTGGCCCTGTCTGTCCCCTGTGTTGGATGCAGAAGAAGGTATTTGTTTTTCTGACCTTTTCATATGCAGATATTGTTTCGAGATATACATGAACCACAACTCCTTGAATTGACCATCCAATCATTTAAGCCCCCTTCCTCAAAGGAAGTGAACATGTTTAAGCCCCTACCTTAGCCTGTTAGTTTTTGCATTTGAGTAAGTCCCTCTGGGTACTTAGTTGAGACATTGACAATATGCAAAAACCAGTGAGCATGTGAATATTTCAAATCAGAAATTTTCTTGTGCTTTGATTAATATGCTTTGGTTAGACATTTTAGAAATTTTTTTTAGTAAAATTGCAAATGAAATTGCCTTGAAAATTGTAGAAAAGCTATATACAAAAAAGCAATTTCTGTTGGGAGTTGATTTTAAAAAGCCCCCCTTTGTATAAACCCTCTTGAATTAGCCTCAATCTGAAAACTGTCTCAATGAATATGCCTCAGGGATCTTATTGGAGGATTTACAGTAATAGGTTTTAAAGTATAAATTGCAATGCAAATTTCACTTTCTCCCTTGTAGTAATGAAAGTGCAAGTGATGTTCTTTCACAAAATTGTGCCAAAAACAATTATTTTGCAAGTCTCATGGCAACATCATATGTTGCTTTTCGGTCTGCCTTGAGTTAAGGCTTTACAGTTGGTTTACAAATATATATGACAAAATGACAGAGCCCTCTTTCTGTATCAAATGATTGTGATTTGGTCTTAGACATGCAAAAACAAATGTATTCCATAGCGAATCAAGCTTTGTTTTAATAAGATGATGTCACATTTTCCCATTGCTGTAGTACAAAAGGTCATTGTCTCCCAAAATATTGGAGGGAGATTGCCCCCTCTTGCCCCCCATGTGTCTGCTGCTGTTTTTAACTGACAAAATGAAATCGACATAAAGAACCAAAATAGATTCATTGAAATCCTCTGATTTCACTCCTCTTTCGTAGTCTGTTCCTTAATCAAACAACCCTGTTGTCTAAAAAAACATTGAACATTGCAGGCCTTTAAGAAGTGAATAAGCCAAGGGTTTTGTGTTTCTATTGAATATAAGTATGGCTTCTAGCCACTCTTCTTTGAGTGCTTTTGAATGCCTTTTCAAGAGCTCAAGTTGGCCAAAGAAAAGCAGCTAGAAATCATTGTAAAACACAATATATATAATAGCCACTCCTCATTTGCCTAGTAATGGTCTATCTTGTCAAATATAGTCTTGTTTTGGACAAAAGGGGAGGAAAATCAAGGGCTTTAGTTAGGCAATCTTGGTTTTCTATTTTATATTGGTTCTTGATAGCACAGAGCCTTGGGCTCTAGCCAATCATCAAAGCTGGCTAATGAAGAGCTTTTATTTATAAAAATTTAAGGTTTTGAATGAAATAGCATCCAATAGATACACAATTGCTAGTTTGTGTTGGAAGTTAATATTAATCATAGCAGCATAGAATGGAATGTAGAACAGTTCTTTTCATCAAAGCAAAGTGTTGAAATTTAGACATTTATATATGTGTTTTGCAAATAATTTTTAAATTTTTTATATAAATTAATATTTTACTTTTTAGTGTTGAACGGCTTTATGGCCAGTTGTTGGAATCAGGACAGCCTGCTTTAGAACCATTGATAATCAAGACTTCAAGGGGTAAACTACTTTACTGCTTTAATGCCTAAACTTCAAACTTTTCGATCTCAAAATTTTCTTGACAGTAACCTGCCACTTTGCGTTACTGTGCAGTTGCAGGGAATATTTAGTTAAAAATTCAAGTACATTATCTAAGAGCATTCTTCTGAGGAAGTGACAATTATTTATCTTTAATTCCTGTATCTGTTCTTAGAATATTGACTTATTATTTGGTGGTTGTTGCTCCTTTATATTACATTTATAAAGATATGTGTTACTTTTGTGTAATTAATTCAAGGTTGGATATGATCATTTTTTGTTCTTTGGAAATTTATCTATAGCTTTACCTGGTGGCAGGAACAACCAGATTGTTATAGCATTGCTTAAAAGATAGCATAAGTTTTAATGAGTATCAGATCCATTTGCCACAACGATATCCTCTTAGTTTCTTTCTAAATCAAATATTTCTTGAATGGCTTCCCCATTAATCTTTGGTTCTTTTTCTCCACAGTCTTGACATTGTCTGATGGTTTCTTGTCTGATCCCAGGCTGATTTATGCACTATTTTACATCCATGGGTAAGAGCTTCAATCAACCAACAATTTTTGATTTGGAAAATTTTGGGACTGCAGAGAGAGGCTGATTTTGATTATTATCTACAATCCCACACAAAATTGTTGAAGCAAAAGCAACTTTCTATTTACCCCTGTAATTTGAACCCCCCTTTCCCCCTGAACCAATGATTGATTTTTCGTTCTTTAATTTTTGCTTCAAGAACATGCATTCAACATTAAATCTGGGGAGGGGAAGTTACTTTTCAAAGGAAAAAGAAAGTATAAAGTTTTCTTGAAAAGTCTCTAATGTTTTGTCCAGAATTGTAGACCAACCTGAGAAATCATTAAAACTTGTCAAGGGCAAAACTTGGTAGTTGTATTTGGACAAATTTTGGAACACAGTTTTTGGAGCTCCTTGCTGTCAAGGCTGGAAATTTTTAGCTTTGTCCTTGTCGCATTTGATCATTTATGGTTTCCAATCGTTTGATTTGCTAGATATCTGGTCAGCCATTACCCTAGAAGGATTTGATGCCTTGCATATTGAGGACAAGAAATTAGAGTTCCTATGTTTCCAGAAGCTTACTCAACCTCAGTACATTCTTTTTTGGGCTGCCTTCTTTCACTGCCCTAATTGCTTAACACTCATATTCATTATGTAAATCTCACAGACCTACAATCTCTGCTTTGTGTAATATTCTGTGAGTTATATTTGCTAGCGCTTAAGCTAACAATTTGCTTATGGTTTCTGCTAAGAAAAGGTATATGGTAAAGGATTCCTCAGTGCAAGCTGAAGTTATTTATTTATTTTTTTATTGCTTGCAGATCCCATCTGAATGACATGGTTGATACAATACCAAAGAGCAGAAGAAATAGGTTAGTTTTTCTGCTGTTCCTTTTCTGAATTAATTTGAATAAATTTAGCCATTCTGCTGAAAATCGAGTACAAATTCAAATCTAGTTGGAATTTTATAGATGACCCTAGTAGACGCTGAGACAGCTACAGAAATTTAAGATAAAGTCATTTCCAAATTTACTTGACAAAGTATACTTTGCTTCATATCAGAATCATGGAAGGGCAAGAAAGAGAGAAAAAATAATTCAAAATTACCTACTTTATTTACGTTGCCTCTTTAAATGGAATCCCCTTCCCCTGAATCAATGCTGGGTTCTAGTTCTATCATTTTTGCTTCAAAAACATGCATTCAACAATTGGGGGAGGAGGAAGCTATTTTTAAAGAAAAGAGAAAAGAGAAAAGATCAAGCATCTCTAACCCCCCCCCCCCCCTGGCGAAGCATGCCAAAGAAAGATTTTTGTCTGTTTTATAAATCAGCTTTTTGTAGGCAAATAATCTCCCTGATGAATGCTTGTCCAACTTTGTTCTTACATTTTTATGAAAACGGCTATAATATATAAAGTCATATAAGTATGTAAAAGTGTAAAAACTAATGCTTTGTGCATGCCTTTGCAGGAGATGCATCTTGCATTCTCTAGAGACCCACAAAACTCGATCTCTTGGGTAAGTAAATTTACTTTCCATTCTTTGACTTTTTATCTTTGTCTCTTCACAATTTCATGAAATAATCTAGACAAATGTCAATTGAACATCCCCATATTATATATAGAAGTATTGTATTAAGGTGTTAATGAAAAAAGAAGAAAAAGAGTGAAAAAGGGAGAAAAAAACACATTGTATCTCCTGTAATAAAAAACCGTTTTCTTGTTTAGGAATTGGAGGGTGAGAGGTTCTTACATAAGAATTTATTTAAAGGTGTATTTTGTTGATGAACTTGGTCTATGTTGCCTGTCAGTAGGGAGTCTAATAGCAGAAGTTCGTTCATAGGACATTTTCCTTTAATTCAAAGTCTTGTGGTTTGCCAGCCTAAAATATATTTCAAAATACAAGGAGCTCAATAAAAAACGGTCTGCAAATTCCTAAATTGTTGAAATTCTTCTTTGCCTCATTTATGTGATAAAGATATTAAAAGTTTTAGAAAAATTTTGAAGCAGGAAAGGTGTATTATTAATGCAAATATTTCACCCAATGTTGTTTTTGTTTTAAGCGGTGGAAAAAGAACTAAAAGGGCAGAGGTTTGTTCATTTCTGGGATTTCTTTCTAGGTGGATGGATGTATGGGATCTTCTCTCTCAGGAATGCCGCGACGAGGTAACTGAAAAATTCATTGAACCTCTTTTAAGTTTAATTTTCCTCAGTGACAAGTGTTAAGGGGTGTTAGCATATGACTGTGTCACCAATAGAACCAATATCAGAATTGTAGTGAATACAGAATTTTTTTGAAACAGCGTTTTCTTACATTACGAGAGTATCAGTTACAAAGCCCAGCTTGCATGTCAAACACGTCACAAGAGGAACTTAGTACTTCTGCTAGCATCAATGCAGTTGAGAAAGTATTTTTATTTGTCAAATTTATCAGCCTATCGAATGGTATAGCAAGTAAATGTTTCTAGGCAACGACCAAGACCATATAATACAGTATACAATGATGATCTACAAACAACTTTTCTTATGGCTGATCTTGTCCCCGCTGTAGACGTTACAACTTTCTTATTTGTGATTAAATATCTTTAATGTCAAACAGGTTTATATCTTTTCTAAATAGACAATCCACCTTTTCATACAACAATGCAAAATAAGTAATTTTCGACTTTTTTCTGTGCCCCTAGGTAGTGCTTATTGACTCTGATGCGCTATTGGAAACCCTTGAGAATTACCTCCGTAAACACAGGTATGCGTAATGAATTGTATTGCTTTCATGTTATTTTCTCGTATCCTCTTTGTGCGAAATGTTTTGTTCAAGCGTAATTTTTGATCTCCTTTGAACTCTCCTTCAGGAGTTCTTAAAATATGTTGAAGGATGCTTGATATGCTGCAACGAAAATGTATTCGAGATCTTCTGCTTTTGTTAATACTTTCTTTTTGTTACCCCTTCGCATACCCAAGAATTTCAGCACACAGGTTTTAATTTTTCTACGGTAAGAATGGCAACAAAAAGCAAATAATATTCATAGGATCACAAGAAGCAAGTTAAAGTCGAGCTTTTCCTCTCGTGAAAATTGAACGTTATTTTGTGGCTCAAGTGCAAATGGATGTGTAAATACATTTTTAAAGAGCACAAATAATTATTGACAATTTATTAGAGATATTTCCTTGTGTAGTATTTGTCTTTCAATTGCTATGCAAAATTCTGCAAGAAATTTTTTCTCAAATTTGTAACAATATATCTGCTGGATCCCATCAAACATGTTTATGTGAAAACAGTAATTTTCTCGAAAGCAAGGCGAGGTAGAATTTAACCAAGATGGTGTGGGTGCCTAATTGAATGCTTAACTCGACGTATTAATTCCTTATGGGCATGTATCGTTAACTGCCATGGGTAGTAAATTGACCCAAATGCCTAAAAACTATTGCACAACCTAATGCCTGGAAGCTGGCTGCCTTTTCGTGAGCGCTTTACGAATGATTAATAATTTTTGCAAGTCATTGCCGTTAACATCATCTAGTAGACCGGAAAAAGGTTTGATTTGCAAGTCATGCAACGTGATTTGCATTGCTTTTGTAATGTAGCATTTAGCATGCCAATCTAAAATCCATCCTGCGACTAAAGTATGTCATTCTATTAGGATGACAGTACAGACTGTTTGATAGTGTTTTTATTCAACGATTGTTTGCCTTCTTTTGGAGCTACACTTCATTGTCTTACTTTTTAAAGAGGATGTTGCCTGGACAAAGGTGTTTCTCGCGTTCTCAAAATTTTGTCGCCTGTTTCTCGTGACCTTAATTGTTCGTCTTGCTCGCGTTGATCAATGATTACAAAATTATTCGAGGCAAAATTCAGTCTAAAATTCTGTTAAGGTTGCTACTCCTCAACTACTGAATCGCAGTCCAGCGTGTAATATTTTTTTGGTTTTGCACGTTCGTGACAATTTTTTTGCAGATTCTGTTCAGAATGCAAGTCGAAAGTTTTGAAGGCGTATAATATACTGACCGGAGACATCGAGGGTGAAGCTGAAAAGGGGTAAGTTCTGTCTGTAAACTGCAGGCTCAAAAGGATATTAGCACTTGTACTTCTTCTTGCTCTCTTGCAGCATCATTTTCGTTGTCTTAAACAACAATCAGTAACGCGATGAAGCGATCTTTTCATTTCTAATCAATCTATTTCCCCAACAACTTCTTGGAAAGAATTTATTGACATAATTTATCAATACCGTATCTACCACATACGATAGCAAGTTGATCAAGCCAGAAAAGAACGGCTATGTGATCCAATAAGAGCGGCACTCTTTAGCTTAAAAAGACATGTTACTATTACTCCATATTCTTAATTATTTGCAGAAATTGTAAATAGAAAAGACTCATAATGGTACGAAGTGCGGTGACAACATAGCTTCTTTAAAGGGAATGTCAAATGTACACTCAACAGAGGATTATTTTCAAACCAAATGTCTAGGGCATCCCATAATTAGACTTAGAGGCCATCTAAGACAAGATCTTGACAAGATTTTTATATAGTGGAAAGCCCAATTAAGGTTGACCTGATTTAATTTGTTTTTTTAGATATTGCGCTACGCTGTATGAAGGCTTGAAAAGCTGTCCTAAGGAAAGGCACGTACATGTTCTATGCGACACAGATTTTATCGCTCATCTCATTGATAGTGCTGAGCCCGAGCTAACTGGCGGTCGGAGGGAAAGACATGCAAGGACCATAGAAATCGCCCAGGGGGAGGTAAAGATTCATTTTATCTTTATGTGCCGCATCTTTATGTATGTTTTATAATGTAAGTAAAATCAGAGGTCGCAAATGCATACAGCATTTAATTTGTCATCGTTTTTGGCTCTTTTGATCATTTGAAAGATATTTTCTGTTTCTCATTCTGTCAGGTAAGTTGGAGAACAAAATAGAATACAAAATGAAATGGAAACCTAGCAAATAGCATATTGAGAAATGGAATGGTAACAAGTTTATAGCATGCTTGTGCTGAAAATTTTACAAAAGGCAAAGTGTCTCGAAAGAAAGAAAACAGTTTTAGAGCTTTGGGTATAGAGATCCTAAGTTTTTTTATCCAATGCAATCGAAATCTGTGTTGAAAGAATTATCTGACTTTCTCAAGGCAATGTAGATTAGCTGGTCTGTAGGAGAGTACTCAGTGCTGTGTAGACAGAGTTGTAAATGCTTTGGTGTTGAGAGCAGAATGACTGTAGGTTACTGATCTGAGTTTCACCATTGTAATTCAGATTGATTGCCAGGAAGCTAGCACTGGAACTGTATTTAGCTCGAAAGCAGAGATTTGGAACCAACTTGCTCTTTTTACTGAAGTGTCAATGTACACATCTACTGAATATTTCTTAAATGCTTTGGATTACATACTGTATTCTTCGTTGTATGAAAAGGTACTTTAAAGTGAATGACTTCTTAGATTGCCATTATGTTATCATCAGTTTTTGCTTCTGCTGTCTTTCTTCAGTAAATGTCATGGTCCACAGAGCTAACTAGATCTAATTTAAACCGTTTTACCGCTAGGTATTGACGTGCCTGGGAATTCACTTGTGGGAAAGACTGCATCGCTTGTGGCAGAAATTACGTGCTGAAGAACAAACATGGCAGATGCTTTTCTACTTAGGAGTCGAAGCTTTGCGCAAAAGTTTTGAAGTAATTGCTGTTTTTGTTTTAAATGCAACTGTTAGATCTGTAGGGATCCATTTTTCATTTTTGACGATTCAAGTGTTTGCTATTGGGATAGGAAGTCAAGTTTTGGACAGATATTTTCACGACTTTTATAAACGTGTGTTTTTGAATGTTATGTCATTTCGGATAAGCACAATGAAGATTGCGTCTTGCGTTTGTCAGACTTTATCATAATTCAGTTAATCCTTTATCTCATTGTTTGCTCTATTTTCGTTGTGTCATCGTTAATGACAGCAACTTGTAACGCATGCTAACTCCAGGGGTATTGTCTGTTATTTTCTCCTCATGCTGATTCAAACTCAACTAGGGCAAGTTTTTCTGACGTATTTTAGTGTGGAAGACGAGTAACCAGAACTGGAATCACTATTTGCCGTTCATCTTCATCTTTCTTCCTTGAGTTTATGTTTTCTAACGCAAATTGGTTGGGTTGTAAGTTTGGTTGGGTTATGATTTTGTTCGCTAACCTTCGCATTTCACCGCGATGATACTCCCTCAAAGAAAGCAACAGAGGGAACATAATTATTTATGAACTTTGAGAAGTATTACAAGTTCTATAAACGAGCTTTTTCATTATTCAGGAAATGTTGGTTGATTTAATGTATTTTCATTTTGTATTGATAAGACTTTGTATTAATATATTGCAAAATTGTAGATGGCTGTCGAAGATAAACAAGGTATATCACGATTGGAACAAGTAGTTGAGGAAATATCAGAAGCAGAGAGAATGAAGGAGTTGAGGAAGGAACAAAAAAGACTGAAAAAGAAGAAGAGAAAAGAGAATCGATGCAAATTCGCGAGTGACGCGGAAAAAAGAGGGAAGATTGCCGAATCTGATACAGAGAAGGAAAATGTTGGGGAGAACGGCCAAGAAAGTGAAAATGAGCCAAAAATTATTCAAGAAAATGGTAAATGTGAAAGGTCAGAAGCGGTTGCATGTAGCGAAGAAAAACCTAATTTTGAAATCACAAAGCCTATTTTAAATGGCATTCATGAAAATACAACGGATGAAAGCTGTCCTGGTAATGAAGCTGTTGTTAATACCTGTCAGGGGATTGCGCCTGTCGCGGAAAATTGTCAAGGAAAAAGCAGTGAGGAAGGGGTTGGCAGTAATGAAACGAGCCACGTGGAAACAAGTTCTAAGGATAATGGTAATGGAACGACAAGTGTAATGTGTAATTCCAAAGAAAGTAATGGTTTCTGCAAGAAACTAAATGAAACGAACTGTCAGAAAGAGTCTTTGAAAAATGAAATCTGCTATTGTGGCGATGATGCAAAAGAAATACCGCATAAAAAGAACGGATATGTGAACGCCCTTGACGAGAAACCACGATTGCACTGCAAAAAGGCAAAGGGAATGTCGGCAAATGGGTATATTAACCAATCAGGGTGTCGCTCATGCGGACAGATTTTAACCCAGAGGGACAAGTTTGATCGCGGCAAGGTAGACCATGGTAGGAACCCCCCGGAAAGCGCCGAGATGTGCGCCAAATGCGCGTCTATGAACTCAGAAGGAATCAATCGGAGAAATCGAAAGAAATTTGCTAAACCGAAAGAGGTATGCCTGCTGAGATCCTTTTGCCGTTTATGAGTAGTTATTTTTTGACAGTGTAGACATACTCACATAGACCGAATTTTTGGTACCCTTGTCAAATGTGGCGTATCTTTGTTTAAACCAGTCAAAGAAAATACTGCTTCTCAAAGCCCAAATGCCAAGAATATGCTGTAGCAAAACCTCCCCTAATTATTTTTTCATTGGTTTGCTATTATATTCTTGCTCCCACTGGATTCCTGCTTCCGATCTTATTACCTCTTCCTTTTTCCTACTGCTCGAGTTCCTTAGGCTCGTCCTTTTTTCCCCTTCTCTTTTTCTTTTTCAGTTTTCTTTGCAACCTCGATTTTCAGCCTTCTTTTAATTCATTATCTAATATAGTTCCTAAGTGTAACGTCATATAAGACTTATTTTTTGCAATTTCGACTTTTTGACCACATAACCTGAAAGAATACATCAAATATCTCTAAATATGCAAAATGAGTTGAAAGAATTCTACTCAGGATTCGATCTGCACTGTTATTCAAATTCAAAAGAAAAATCATTATCTTCCACATTGCTCTACAGGCACATGAAAATTTCAATCCAAGATCGAAAAACGAACCAAAGAAGACCAAAAGACATCAATTCAGGCAAGATCCAATTTCAAAAGAAGATGATGACGCCGAATTAAAATTACTCAAGTCGATGGGATGGCATCGCTTAGATGATGAAAATACGCTGGTAAGTGCTATTACCAGGGATTGTTAGCATGTCAAAAAGTTGCAGTGAACCATTTATACTAGGTGTCTTCTCTACCGCCATTTAAAGATTTCATCTACCATTCACAATTTTGATACGCCATCTTGTCTGAACCCGTACTGGTAAAAATCTACCTTTTTCCCCGCTGAAGGCCGATATTCACGGGGATCGCTGGTTAAGGTATCGAGGCATGCACTGTTTTGATTTCTGATTTCACAGCGAATTCGCATTAACGTATGAAAGAGTTTTACGGGAAAATTTTACTAAAGTTTATAAGTGTACGGTAACTTTGCTCATTTTCGAGAAAATCGTCTATGAATTTTTCGTCTTGCCAATTTTTCATCAAATTTGACACTTTATCAACAGTCTCAAGAAGCCCGCCTTTGTGTTTTTGAGGGCAGATTCTTGATTCACGGATTCACTGATGCAAAATATTTGACCTAAGTATTAGGCCGTAAAAACTTCATACCAAGAATGGTCTAAACTGCATAGTCTACAAAGATGCAACAACATAGAAGTTTCTCCGAACAAACTAAGACCACCAGTACCTACGAAACCTTTTCAAACTTCTTTCTATAAATATTGCCTATAAATTACGTAAAATTACATACAATTTCCAAATTGATTCAAATCAAATTAAATTAATCTATTTTTGTAAGTTTTGGTCCTCTGTAATTCAGGCTCGTTTATAGGCCCTCGCTCCCTATGTACGGATAAAAGTCTTCTCCCACAAAATCTTGACCTCTACTTCTTGGGGTTTTACTGAAATTTGAAATGCTTTTCTTAATATCTCTTTAAGGCTAAAATTTCCCCTTTTGTATCAATTCCTCTTTTTTTGTCATTGACCTACTATTTCTACTAATTTAATTGCGTGATTAGAAGAATTTGTGTATTTTTTCGTTGTCTTGACTTACGCCGTTGTGTTGTTTTAGGACCCTGGATTATCACACCAAGGCGAAGCCTGCATCTCAGAGCAAGAAATAAGGGAATTTCAAGCCAAGAAGAAGGACTTGCAGAATCAGCGGGAGCAGCTTCGGGAGAGACTACGTCAGCAGTTTCAAATGATGTGCATAGATTCATCGGGCTGCTTTTGTAATGATAGGCCCGTTAATGCAATCAAAGTGAACAAATCATGAATTTGCGAGAATCTGTGATTTTACTCCCTGCTTAGTTTTACGGAGTTTTTATAGTGGCCAGGACACGTTAATTGGGACGTTGATTTGTTTGTTTATGTGCTGAGTTAGATGAAATCAAATTATCACAACAGCTGTTTGATTCATTGATATCATGTCTCCATGCAAAACAAATTATGATAAACCCCTGGTCTGACAGTTAAAGGCAATCGACTGATACTGGCTTCAGCCATCTTTCATTCAACAATTGGCCAATCAATTACCGTGATACGACTCACTGGTGTGATATGCCCATTGATTGGCTAATATTGATTGACAGGTGGCTCAAGACCCAATAGTATCTCTCGATTGCCTTTAATGTTAAAATACGCAACATAATATTGCTGTATGTTCTTATTCATGAGGGTTTTGCATAAACTTAAGCTATGCTTACCTGTTGAAGTAAGGTTACTGAAACGGTAGCCAGAAGTATGGTAACGATTTCATCGTTGGCCATTGCCTGGTACAAAATCTAATCCCAATAATTCAACTTTTGTATAATTGGGATTTTTCACTCAAAAGATTTTTATTTTATCATAGTCATATTTTTTAGACAATATTATGTGATAACTTTTGATAGTTCCAAAAAAATAAAAAAGGTTTAATGAGAACATTTCTCTGCTTCTCTGGCCCGCTTCTTCCATGCCCGTGCTCATTTTCATGTTCCTCTGGTATCCTGTGTATGGCGCATCCAACATATTTGTTTGTCTTGCTCTGTCTGCCGCTGTCATTCGTAGTTACTTTCATTGTTATCTGCTGTAAAAAGTAACTTCATGTGTGTCTCTGCCTCTGCCAACACCACTCCAGTTTCTGCAGAACATATAAAGGATCTTGGGGGGGGGGGGGGGTAGGGACTGGGTAACCAAGCCTAGTTTTGAACAGGGACCCTAATTCTGCATATGTCTGAAAAATGTGATCCATGATTCCAGAAACATGATAACAACTATATACATAATTCCGCAAAGCAGATGTCATTTTAAAACACAACAAAACCATCCAACAAATTATGTGTGTCCTTTACCCCAAAATCTCAATATAACACATATTTCATACTTACATTTCTAACTAGAAATTCACTTTGCCCGTGCTGAATGTCCCTCCTAATGAGTTTGCAATATTGTCCCTAAACGGTGCCCATAATTCTGCACGTTTCTTCGAGTGCATAATTCAAAAACTGATACCGATAATTTTACACTTTCAGAAAAGGTACCCCTAAATAATGTCACGTCCCCTTGAAAAGGTACCCCTTGAAAACCCATTAAGGCACTCCCCCCCCCCCCGAGATAAAGGAAAGTAGGTAATGATAGACAGGGCATATACCGTAACAAACTAACAAACAAGCTAACTTTTGTTTTCTCAACATATCCTGTTAGATAAAGCTTTAAACTTGAAAATTTCGAGCTGTACCTTTCTTGAAAATCCTTTGTTGTCACCTGATTGTTGACATCATTTATGGTATAATTTCAGTTTTTAAATGGTCATAAGTCTATGGTTGTTCGTCAAATAACTTTCATAAAACTTTCTAATAATGAAAGGTCTAAAAGAGCTCTTTCGATTAATATATACATATTCATTTTTGTAATCAAGTGACCTTTAAAATTTCCTACTGTGGGAAAAAGATCATCCTCCAAGTCTACAGTTATACTTTTTGCAGTATTCACACAAAGCCAGTTGCAAATTTTTACTAGTTGCCCCCCTGCTCTCGAAATTTAGCAGTTTTTTTCTTGGCGCTTGGCTTGCTTGCCCCTGGCATGCAGCTCTCCCTGCTTCTCTTATTCAACAAAGTCGTCTTTATCCGTTTCAGGTGAGCTTTTATCTTCACGGGGAATAGCAGGTAAAATGGGAGGTGGAGATAACTTGAATTACACTGGGTGCCTGAGCCTCAGTTAAAGAGGTGTTCGGACTTTGACTGTTCGACCCGGAGGGGGCAATTCACTTATGCAAATAGCGTACGAGATTTTCACAAAACAAAAGGATTTTTGGAATATCCGGATAGAATAATAAGACTTCCACCAAAGGTGTACGAGATTTTCAAAGAGTGTCATGCCCCTCGTTCGATCCCTTCTTCCACTAAGACTGTGGTACCCAGCGTAACCATGAAATTGGGATATTGTAACCAGCTCATATTGTGCTGTTATTTGTTATTCAGATAAATATTTATGGCTCTGTCTCCTTTTTAAGCTTCTGATATTTTAGTTCTTCATAAAGCATATTTAATCTAGGTTTATTGCACGTTTGGGAAAAATCTAAATTTAAACCCTAGAGTTTGTTATAAGCTTACCTGCAGAATTTCATAAACTTCACAAAAAGTCCAAGTGTGTTAATTCTGTAAATTTAAATAGCAGTACTTTTCAAAGATGTTCCAGTTGAAGTACTAGAGTGTTCTGTTTTCCTAACATGAGCCAAACGAGACAAAAAAGCAACGCCTCTGTTTTCTAAAACACTCAACTTCGAAGCACTGAAAAACTGTCGTAAACAACTTTATAATGCACAATTAACAACTTAATATATTAAAACAGTTAATTTAACAATAACAGAATAACATCACATAGAGAAAGAATCTGGGATACCGAAAATCCTCGAATTGCACCCTCCTTTGAAAACCTTCCCCCTCGAATGAGCCCATACCCTAAAACTACAAATTGTCAATAAGCCCCCTCAAATAAGCCCCTACTGCTACCGCAATCCCTCGAATTGCCCCCCCCCCTTAATTATGGATTTTTGCCATCTGAGGTTGCCTTTGGCGTTTCATTGAATTACCACAACAAATTCATACTTTTAGTATTAATTAATCAAATGTTCATAAAGAAAATTCAACTTAGATATACGAGGTCTTGTAATAATGTCTTTTTAATGTCTACTTTAATTTTATAAGCCCCCCCCCTAGAATAAGCCCCTATCCAAAAATATCAATAATAAGTAAGCCCCCGAGGGCGCTAATTCGAGGATTTACGGTATGCCAAAAAGTATTTCTTTGAGGTATTCGCTTTAGACATCTTGGTCTGACTTCGCCTTTTCATATACCTTCTATTCGCCTCATGGCTTTCCGACATCATTATATTCATCATAGCTGTCATCAACAGGAAATAAACACAAAACTGTAGTGACCATTGTCTAAACGTAATCATGTCCTCCATTGTGTCTCTGTCATTAACACTTTCCATTGTCTTCGTATTCACGTAACGTAATAAACAACACATTTGTAGCGTCCCCTTGTTCTATGTGTATACGCCCTAAATTGTAATTAGTCAGTCAGTAAATTCATCAAGACGCAACGGTCACGCAATATCGTCTCTTGCTGGCTCCGTGTTTTCTGCACGTTAAATCAGACATAAAAACGACAGCATTCGCAACAACAAAACCAAAATTAAATATAGGAACTTCATCAATCAGCGTACCTATAAATGGTGACCACGACGTGACCGACTGGTAGGTTCTGCACTGTCGTTTTTATTCGTTTTATGTCAGCCGTCTCAACGTCAACCACTCGCAAATTCCTGGTTTCATCACGCTACAACTGCCATCACGCATACGTTCAACGCCTACGCTGGCTCACAAACAACGTCCTGTTGGCTGTTCCGATGCACCCTGAATTTGTGATGTCTGTCTACTACGGAGCCAGCAAGAGACGATATTGCGTGACCGTTGCGTCTTGATGAATTTACTGACTGACTAATTACAATTTAGGGCGTATACACATAGAACAAGGGGACGCTACAAATGTGTTGTTTATTACGTTACGTGGATACGAAGACAATGGAAAGTGTTAATGACAGAGACACAATGGAGGACATGATTACGTTTAGACAATGGTCACTACAAAACATCGTTCAAAATCTCGTTAAGATCACCCCCTCTTTGGGGCATACCGTAAAACCTCATTTTTTTTGTTTCGCCCCTTTTCTTGGGGCTTTGCCCATTTGGCCTTCAGCTCTAGCCTGAGTTCCAGACCCCAAACTAAAAGTATTAAGAGTCTGAAATCTGGGGTCAGGGCTATTTAGCCCTTGCGGTGTCTCTGGAAATTTTGATTATTAAGATAATTCAATTTGAATTTTTCTATCTACTTTATTGAAATAGAAATAGTTGTTATTAGATTTCTCGCTACAGAAAATGTCTCATTTCTCTTTTACCCTCTAAAAACTGATGTACTCTGCTCTACTTGATACGCTAAATGTATATCTTCTAACTGCATTCGTGAAAATCGGGCAATGAATAAAATGTTTTGATAAACTGTACTCCTAAATACCAGACAAGCGATAGTTTCACTAACAGATAGGATTAAGTGACCTTTTTGGTTGATGGATTTAAAATCGATTTAGCCTAGGATTTACGTCCGTTTGGTTGAAGTTTTCCTAGCATTGTCTGGAGGCAACCGAATAGCGGTCTCTTTCAGAAACGTGGAGAACAAACAACACAACATCTTTCTCAGTTGATCTATGTCAACAGGTTCAAAAATATGTAAACATAAAAAAAGCACTTCAAAATGAGCCAACTCAAAAAGTGTTTTCATCAGTTTTTAGCTTATTTCCCGTATCTTCGGCGCGAGGTACGTCTGCGCCAGGATCTCCTGCGCCAGGATCTTCTGCGGAAACTACGTCTGCGCCAGGATCGTCTGCGCCAGGATCGTCTACGCCAGGATCGTCTGCGGAAACTACGTCTGCGCAAGGATCTTCTGCGGTAATATCCAGGATCTGATGCAGATTCGTCTTTCTCAGAGTTATCTAAAAGAGATCATTTACAAACATTTAGCGAACGAAAGACGTACAATTTGTTGAAATAAATAAACGCCAGGATGTTTTTTTGGGCTCAGATTTGCGTTGAGTATCTATACATGTTGTATAGAAGGTTCTGTACAATATTGACATTTAACTTTTTCACAGAACAACTTTAACCTTAAATCGTGTTAATTATTTATCTATCTAGGTACTTTCTGACGGTACCGCCTATGGACGAAAGTGGATAAATAAACAATTGGTACCTTCAGCTATTGCATTGTCCTCTTCAGGTTCAGCAGCATCACTGTCCTCATCCTCAGAGGGCTCTTCATTATCTGGATCTTCCTCTTCATCGCTAACAAAGTCCTCCTCTACACTCACATCTTCCGGGACACCCTTGTCCGACACCTCGGAGTTTTCCTCAACAGCTGCACCTAGAAAATGCAAGAACCTTATGTCACTAGCGAAACCCTCGCTATATTCACGAGTTAACCCACCCCAGCCGATTGATGCAGCTGTGTGGGCGGGCTAATTGGAATTTGCTTACGTGCACACTTTTAGAAAAAGGCTGCATATCCTGACACTTTTTTACCTTAAAAGTATAGTACTTGGCCTAATATTATCGTCTTACCATATCTATAAACGAGTATTATGGCTGACGACTATTGCATGAGTTAGAGGGAAGTACGAAACGAACATAGTTTGGGAGGGGTGTGGCGCGACAACATGTGTTTTAACTAACGTTAAAAGAAAATCGCTTTTGCGAGGCTAAGTATCGCAAAACGATACAATATAACCGACTTCATCGAAGCAGATGTTTTCTAAATGTACAAGGGCGTATGCTAGAAACATCCATGACATCACACGCTTTGGAGATCGTTTGCCAACGCGGAAATTCCACCCGAGCCTACGGTTCTTTCTTTTTTCACCACTTACTTAGCAAACAATATCTTTCCCAGTTACTTAATGAAACTAATATCGTGTCTGCACTTACCGTGGATGGAAATGACGAGTCCAAGAAGGACACAAAACAGCAACACGACCTTCATCTTGTAGCAGGTTCACAGCGTCGTCAGCTCCAAACCTGTTGTCCCACCAATCCTTCAGCAAACTGATGACATTGTGAAGTGTCCGCTTTTTTATTGGGATCTGGGCTTCCGCTGTTTCTCAGGGCTTCCGCTTTTTCTGTCTGTGTATGGTTGTGTTGGTTGATGATTGATGGTTGTCAAGAGTCTACGCTCAACCAATCACTGCTACGTTCACAGCAAGCAACTGTATTGTAGCCTCGCAGGGAGGACAGTGACGAGACATTTCTTTGGGTTCTTATTGTTATTTGACTTTACTGTGGCTTTGCAATGAACTGATGATTTCATCATGTTCATGAACTGATATTCGATTTTTCAAGAATCGAATTTTCCAATTCCATTCGACAAATCGAAAGGTGAATGAATGAATGACATTTTATCTCGCCCACACTTCTACGTCACCGTATTGTCATTGTTATGTAGTCTATTCATCTGGTGAAGCGCAACCACTCGTCGAGGGGCAAATCACTCTAAAAAAATCTCGTACACCTTTTGTGAAAACCCTATTGTTTTTTCCGAAAATCCCCAGAAATCCTTATGTTCTAGGCAAAATCTCGTACGATATTTGCAAGAGTGAATCGCCCCTCGCCACTCCTCGTAGGGGAATACCCTACAGAAGAGGAACTAGGGAATCTGTAGGGGGTAGGGGGAAATCTACGGGGAATATGTAGGGTAAACCGGGAGAACTGTAGGGGGAATGCAAAACCATTTCAATGAAAATAAAAAAATTAATTTAACATTGATTCTGCCTTTTTTCCATAATTTATTCGATTATTCGAGCAAAGAGCGTTGGCTAATATAACAGAACTTCGTCCGATCGCCGTGCAAAGCATAAACAAATGTTCGCGCGTTTAACTATAAATACCAGAGGGCATTGCGCCATGGCGTAATTAGGGGAAAAATATTCAAATTGCCTAAGTTCAAGTTGTGGGTCTGGACACAGAATAGAAATGACCAGAAGGGTCACTCTTTGCCAATCGATTCAGCGTGAGTTTTTTCGCGCATGCGTCACCAAAACGAGGATAGTATGTCAAACAATAAGCACGAACAGAGCACATCGATGAAAAACAACACAATAATGTGAGATGGGACTAGGAAAACAAATTCAACGATCTGAACCAGAATTAAACTAGTATCTTGCCCTGTATATATTGCTTTATAACCGGAAAATACTGCTATCAATGGTGGTCTCGCATCTCACAACTGTAGTAGGCCTGTAGTATTGATTATTAGCTAACAGGGAATTTAAATATCGTTTCCAAACTCACGATTCATAACGAACAAAGCGCCTCTGTGATTTTATTCACTCTCCTTTTGCTTCATGATGGTATGAAGTGCAGCCCCAGTGGTATTCAAGGGAGCTTGTTTTTAAATTTGCTTCAACACGCCTTCGATTGTGCAACATCCTAGACTACTAGCCTCCTTTCATGACGGTTGAAAACGAGAACTGTATGTACAGACAGCGCGGCGCCAGAAAAAATCGAGTGAACTTGCAACAAAGGATGCCGACACGAGTGACCCTTCTGGTCATTTCTATTCTGTGGTCTGGAGCACATAGTCGATGCATTACATCAAAACCCGTACGCCTTATGGCTCTGCGGGAGGCGCCAGCTTGTCTAGTGCATAGAGATAGGAATATATATCTATGGTCTAGGCCCCGTTCCCAGGGGAACGCAATCGTTCCGTTCCGTTCTTCTCCGTTCCGAAAAGCGTAACGCTCAGCGGTTGTGTTCACACGGGAACGCTTCAAACGACATCGTTCCAAAAAGTGGAACGATAAAATAAGTGATACGAAAAGTGGAACGGTACGCAATCGAAGGAATTCCTTCCCCCGTTCTTCATCCTTTGACTCTCTGAGGCTCTGGCACCCAGGGTACCTTCGAGCGCATAAACAGAATAACAAGCAGAGAAGCAGAGGATCGTACTCTTCTATTCTTTTTCTTATTTTTTTCCGTTTCTCTAATTTATATGGCTTTGGTACCCAGGATATCTGACCTGGAATGGGCAAAAATTGCTTGATTGAAAGAAACATCCATGTTTTAGTTATGAATTGATTTAAGTTTCATTTTTAATCCATATTATGATTATATGAAACAGCAAATGTCAGAGACAGTGCTGTGGGAACGAAATTCATATTGGGAGGGGGGCGGTGGCTCATTGTATTTGTTTCCATTTAGTACACTGTTATACAGGACATAAATCTTGGGCTGCAATTATTTGGAGGGGGGCTTCTATAAGTGAAAATAATATAATATTCAAAAAAGAAAATAAGAAAAGAATCATCATAAGGAGTCATCACTATCATCTGGTTACAACTTCAAACACAGGTTGGAAGAGACTGACAGAAGGTTCTCGAAGAATAGAGATCTGTATCAGGATTTAGCAATGCTAGAGCCAAGAAGATTTGTTGATACGAAAATGAAGCAGGAGAGCAATAGGAGGTCAGAATTGCTGGCATTTGCAAATTGCTACCAGCAGCTTATCGTTCAAGTGAAAACAGCAACTGGTGCAAATGGAGATCCAGAAAAAAGATGATTTCAAGAAACAAGCTATTAGAGAAGAAGCATATGGAGAAAAAAATGTGACTTTCAAGGTGGGGATTCGCAAAAAGAGAAAGGACCCAAAAGGTGACATATACACCCTTTATCAAAAGGGTAGAAGCTTGCCAACTGTGCATACCCCACGCATTCAAAAATTTTGTAATGACTTTCTTTTTCATTTATCATTCATATTTGAATTTATATTATATATAGCAATTTCATAAGAATATGAGCATCAAAACTGGTCAAAAGTTGAGAACAAATTAAAAACAAGCTAAGGCTGAATTACCGTAAAATGCAATTTTGAACAACATTTTATCCCATATATGAGAATTTTTAGCCATGTGTGGATGCTTTTATTTGCCAATGAACAGTGTTGCCACACGTAGGGATTTCTACCTACTGTACTTTGGGGATTTTCAGAAGTTTATAGGTTGCAGGGAGAACCTGCGGGATAAATAAAGAAAAGTAAGTAGTTTTCTGGAAATTGTAGGGATTTATATTTGTTTGCGGCCAAGCAATTAGATTGCTTATTTTTCATAGCTTGAACATCAATTTCCACTGACTTTTCATGCAAGTGCAAGAAGTAGTTATGAAAAGATATTCCGCAAAAAATGCGAAACCAGATTTTACGTCAGAGTAATAGCTTACAAACGCATTACTTTTAATAGTTGAATAATTTTTTGGTCCTCAATCTTAATGGCTTTTTAAAAAAGACTTTCGCTGAAAGCTGAAAGCACGGGTGGACGTGGGTAAAAACATAGGGATATTTTGAAAATATTGCTTAAAGAGACTGTCGGTAGAAATCGCCTGCTCAGTAGTGAGAAAAAGGACTTATGATTCTGAAGTATACGGCCAATTTCTCAAGGATGCTCGGTTTAAAAACGGTCGATACGAAGTTTCTTTGTCAATGAAAGAATGTCATCCAGTTAATAGCGACAATTTTTCTCTCGCAAAAAGCCGACTTTCGGTCTTTCAGTCGCTTTGGCATCGTCCCAGGTGAATACAAAATTCATGTAATGATGCGGGACGTTATTAATAAAAACAATACAATCCTAAATTCCAATCTATTCTGCCTCTATTCTGTTGGAGGCTATTGTTGCACATCACAATTACCTTGGATGTGCTTTGTGTTAGATTTCACACATGGATAATGGATCTACATAAGCACTCCACAGCTCACATTAGCAAGGCGACGTTTGAGAAGGAGTCATGGCTAAGGCTCCGGTTTACAGTACTTCGTTCCTAAGCATTTATTTCGTATTTGCAGCTCTAGAAGTGCTTCTTATGTCTGGTATAACTTACGGATGGGCGTCTATAGCGTTTCTTTTCAAAGAAGAAGGGTTTTTTGGCTTCCTTTGCCAAGCAGTAAACAGAACATTGGAATCATCACAGGAAAGTCAAGAAAAAAATGAAGCTTGCCTTCCACAGGAACAGCGTCTGAATTTGGTTTTTAATGTAGGTGTGGCGCTGCTTTGTGGATCGAAGTTACTTATTGGAGCTTTTACTGATAGATATGGGCCTCGATTCTCTCAAATGGTTGGAGGGTAAGAATTAATTTCTTGTTTGATTTTGTTTATTTTTGTCGAGTAGTAAAAAATAAATCAGCTTTGATCTTCGAAACATCAGTACTTCTCTTTATTACAACTTCTCGTGAGTTAGGTAATCTAGATAATTTCTACACTATACCCGAAACTTGGTAACTGCAAAAGCCAGTGAACGGACAAAAGGAAACTCGAAATAGTGTCTAGATGGGGACTTGTATGGGGAAGGCAAAATGCATAAATCCGAGGCTGCGATTGCAGGATTCTTTACAAAAAATATTCTTCCAAGACATTGTTTACTTGTTTACACGAGACCTGGACCCAGTCGGATCTATGGCTATCCTGATTGGATCCCTGCCAAATCGATTTGCGTTTACACAAGACCGGACCCTGAACCAGATGTGATTCACACAATATACACAGGCGCATTTCGATGATCCAGGCAGGGACCTAGCCAAAATTTTGACCGGTTTTGGTGTACTTTATCCCATTACAGCCCTGTGTGTTATTGCCCACACTTTCATCTAATATGCCAGAATTTTACCTCATTCAGCATGGCCTTTGATCCTCTTCTTTGCAGCTTCGATTCTAATTTTCATGAATTTTGCATCCGTATTCCATTTTGTACGAATTGTTTTAAAGCGTCCATCCTTTCGAGCTATGGATATCGATACCGAGTATGCTTTTTAGTCACCGGTTTTTCACGCATAAAGGAAACATATGGGCACCGGTTTTAACAGGTTTTCAGAAAACAATAGCCACCGGTTTCAAGATTGGCGCATAGATAGCATACTCCAAGCTGTCACGTCGATTGCCTGCTGATTTCCTCGATTTTGAATTCCTTGGATACTTTGAGATAAAAGATGAAGTAGGAAGCTGGGAACTCTGTCAAACTCTTGTGAAGGCTCAATTTAGTATATAAACAGAAGAACTGTAGTCAGTCAGGGAGAAATGCAGCAATTGTTCAAATTGATCAAAAACCCAACATTTACAGAGAAACATAGCTCTTAGAATTTGACCGGTTTTTTTAAACCTGTGCAACCGGCCTAGATCCGCGCCTATGGTTGGTACACAGAAGACGCTGGCCATAAAAAACCACCGCCCAAGTTCACATGGGATCTTGCCAGGGTCGGTCCGGAGGTATATATGGCCTATATAGAATCGCCCCCGGAAGCGACACTAAAGTATCCGGATAGCGGATCCAATAGTGCACGGATCCGCCCGTTCCCATGTAAACGCAAAGCCTATTCCCATCTACAAGGCTGTCATTGTCATTCTGCAATATGTCTTAGTTTCTACGCGAAAGGAAAAATAAAAATTCTCTATGCCACACCTTGTTTTGTGTTAAGTAATATTTTTTATCAACAGAAATTGCCCATTAAAAATCTATGATGGTGGTAGATTCAAAATCGTAGAATTAAGTCACGAAGGAATTCGCCAGAATATTGTCGAGAACTGGTAGAGGGAGAGGGAGGTTGGGGAAGGCTGAAAGAAGTTGGGGGAGGTTGGGGGAAGTTAGAGGAGGTTGGGGGAGAAGGAGATGGAGGGACGTTTATTGAAATATCACCGTAAAGGACAAATATGGACCAATGGATATGTGATAGGCAGAAGTCTTACGAAGAAGGGATAATTTTTCAGATAGTGCTTAGATAATTTTTCTCTTTAAAAAGGGTGCAGAACCGTTTTCTTGCGCGATGCTTGCGGGAATATGCCTTCTCATACTGTGGACTTGAGTGCCAAAATAATTAAGATATTTAATTGGTAATGAAATTCCAGAAGACGCAGGTTGCTGTTCACTTACTTTGAACTGTTGTAAAACTCTAGCTTGCGCATTGTAAACAATCTAATAACAACACTTACATTGATAAAAACGATACTATGAAAGAATGATGCGTTGGAAGGTTTTTGAATTTTTAAGTGATTACAATTGTGTTTCTATATTCTATCCTTTTTTCTTTAAACTGGTTTGGTTCAGTGCGCCCCTCTCCTTGTTCCGGTGTGCCGATATTAACCAATCAGGAGTGATTGTGCAGATTTCTGTACGTTCAGAGGTCACAGCGAAACAATAAACTTAGCTCTGGTGTAAAACATTGAACAGAACACAACATAAATAAATGCTAGCGACCGTAACGATTGAGTTTGAAGATGCTGTTAAAACTGTACTCAAAGAATATTTTCCGCATGTTGTGGAACTCAACACAGAACAGCATTGAAAGCATTGTTTGTAGAGAGAAGAGACACCTTCGCCATATTGCCAACTGGCTTTGGAAAGTCTCTGACATTTCGGGCTGTGCCTCACTTTACATGTGATATTGCTAATACCATAAACGATTTATCAGGAAAGGTGACCTTTGACAAGCTTGACAAAAGTACTTTATCAACAAACTCCAATCAAGAAAAAATATGTTCATGCAAACGATGGTCCGTTCATGACCAATAAACTGCCAAAAGCAGTAATGCACCGATCAAAGCTAACGAATAACTACAACAGGAATAAGACCAACGAAAACTAGAACGCATACAAGCATCAAGGAAATAAATGTGTTGCAATATTAAGAAAATCTAAATTAATTCAATGCAGAAATTTAGACACCCAAAATTTAGCAGACAATAGAAAGTTCTGGAAAACAGTCAAACCGGTTCTCATGGATGAGGTACAAGTATCACCAATGATTAATCTTCTGGAAAATGGAGAACTTGTAAATAACGACCTACAACTTGCACACATCCCCAACGAATACTTTTCAAATATTGCCTATGAGCTAGAAATTAAAGAAAATGAAGCCAACCTCTCCCTCGCAATAAACATCGAAGATCCTATAGATAAGTCAGTATACAAATACAAAAACCACCCTAGTATCAAAATGATAAAGAAGCAATGGGTACCCCAGGAACTATTTGAGTTTAATGAGGTTGATGTCATCGATGTTTTTGATCAGCTCAATCAGAAGCGGACTGGCCCACCGGGGCACCGGGAAAATCTCGTTGCGCCCTCTGCCCCAAGTTATTCTTTTCAAAAACATGAAAACTTTCAAAAGGCAACTAATCTTCGCACAGAACTAAAATTGATTGCAATTATCAGTTGTCCAAAGTACGTTTGAACGGAATGAGCGAACTAGGCGGGAAATGAAACGGGGGCTCAGGGGCCTGCCCCCTGAAATTTTTTGAAAACACCCTATTTAGAATGTTGGAACATGTCCCATGTTGAAAATCAAAGTTTTTTTATCCACAATCGGCACTGACATGAAGAAGACTCTCTACGCGGCGGGTAAAATTTGTAGGTATCAAATGACGTACTGTCCTCAATTTTATGTATCAAATGATGATATCAAATGATATATTTTGAAAGTTTGGACTAAAACCCAAAGCCCGTTTTTCAGCTAGCGAGACACTCCATTCCAAGATTTTATAAAGAAAGCAGCTTCTCTGGCCTACGAGATTATTTTCGATTAAATTCGATCTCGAAATCTTTAGAATATTTGACAAAATATATGACTTCGTTCTCATCAAACGGTAACATAAAATGTTTTGAAAGCTTTGCAGCATACTATCATTGAGAAATGTAAAGGGGTACCTCGGCACCTGCTAGCCTAATGACTATGCTCCTGCCTCCAACCTACAGTTACATATCATTTACAAAAGATATGATTCCAGTTCATCAGCGTGCAGAATTATGATCAGGTATTGAACATGTGCTTAAATCTGTAGACTTGTCTACAGTTTTAGATAACATATCTTGGACAAATGGATTTTAAGAGATCTTGCTGCCATTCTTTTTGTGCAAATTGATGATTTTGCAGATTGATAGGCTCCCTTTCTATGAGAAACTGTGCGTAGAAATGGTAAAAGGATAAATAATTTCTTAAGAAAAGGCACAGTTCTTTTCCGGGACAAAACTTTGAATAAAGATTGGAAAACTTTAATAGCTAGTTGTAAATTTGAAACCAGTTTTTTTTTCAAAACAGCCGGTTGAACTTTCCATTAAGTTTCCTAGAAGGCTCTTACATTAGGGCATCAATCCTCAACAAATTCTGTATAAATTTTTTTAAAAAGTGGTCAATAGTTTTTACTTCAGTTAGTGATAATTTCTTTTGGTACAAAACTCCTGGTTTTAACGTACAAAAAGCAGGATGCCTATGAGTTGTTAGTTGAATTGCAAAACATAATAGCTTGCCACGGACAAGACGTATTGTCCTCTATCATTCTTAGAGCAGTTTTCATGATGGTCCAAAGAAAAAAGGACTATTATTCAAGAGAGACAACACAAGGAATATGCACATATTACGGAATCAAAAATCGGCAATTTTAACAAACTTTAACAAATAGCCATATTAACCGTAATAGCCATAACTTTTGTGTAAATCCCCCCTCCCCATCTTTGATTACATAGTATGTGAACGTTCCCATTACCAATAGACAACAAATCGATAATTTTATCTAGTTACAACCATTCTGATTAAAAAGAGCACAGGGTAGTGCTCAGCTGGACTTGCTACAAGTCTCTCTTTATCCATTTAGTAATCTGAAAAACATCCCTCCCATTTTTTCCTATTTCCCTTTCTTTAATGGATGGAGAGACTTGTAGCAAGTCCAGTGCTCAGCAAATTTTTTTTCAAAGTGCGAGCCCTCAGTTATTGGATATCAGGCACTAGGATTAATTTGCATTAGCCATAAGATTAGCCATAAGTCAAAAACTAATATGGTTAGTCAGAAGTCATTGGTTTCACAAAATTATTAGTCATCAGTCAATTGGCAAATAGTCTGCTAGTTAGCTAGTGGAAATCCCTACTACCCCCTCAATAGAAATCGAATTAATTCATGTACTGTGCACCTGCTTGAAAAAATTACAAGCTAACCAAAGTTACAAGACGTTTTATACTCTGAGGAGTTTCAGACAATTTCAAAGCAAAATATATTCTTTACAAGGTTTTTAGAAAATCTTGCAGAACTTGCAGATTGAGAAACTTTGCAATCAATCTTAATACTGCTCAACTTAAAGGTGAAACTTAACTTTTTATGGAAATTTACTTTGGACAACTGATGATTGCAATCAATTTTAGTTCTGTGCGAAGATTAGTTGCCTTTTGAAAGTTTTCATGTTTTTGAAAAGAATAACTTGGGGCAGAGGGCGCACCGGGAAATTTCCGAAGAGTCTCGTTCTGCAGCTTGGCGTCTTCGTTGGAAGAATCTTCTATCTTGCTCAGTGCCAAAAACAAGCATTCAACGCAGGCTGAAGGATATCAACTGTTTGATCGACTCAATATAACTATGCTGTGTGGACTGGTCACCATCAATCCAACAATGGTAGCACATATGACGTACCGATTTGTTCTTTCTACATAGACATTGGGTCCTTATGTCTTCCACTGATTCATATTTATTTGCCTCGTTACAAATGCTCCTTGCAAATCAAACATTTTCCTCAAATTGTATTTTTCATGATAATATTGTGTTACGATTGAATATTAACTTGTCAGCTAACACCAAATTCACTTTTTTTCAGCTTTCTGTACGTTTCTGCTGGATTCGGACTGGCTTTCACTACAAAAGGTATAACGTGAATTCTCAGAAGGAAGATGTAAATCATTACAAGCACCGATCTACTGTATATTTCCAAGTATTTTGATTAATGCCACACCAAAGTATGACGTCGTGAAAGTTTGTTTATAAAAATATCGAATTTTGATCACAAGAACTGTTGAAGTATCTCTTAATGTTTAAATTCAATTGAATCTAATGGAAATCGACTGAGATATGGCAAGACAGAGTACTGAGTTTTGATAATGGAGATTTGATATCATGTGGCAACACCTCAGCCACTTTTTATCTTCAGATTATCTGGTCTAAATTCGAAAATTTTATTTATAGGGGCAAACATAACAAAAGAGACAAAACAACAGGCTTACTTTATTTAAAAATGACGGCATTGGTTGTATCAAACAAATATAGATTTTTATGTATATATTTCTTTTGTTCACTTTTAAGATTAACAGGCTCCTTTCTGTATCGCCACACTCTATTTGAAGCGCAGAATGAATGCTATAATATACACGAACATCAACTATATTACCTGACGCAGTTACGATGACAGGGCCTCCGACGAAGGGGGGGGGGGGGGGGGGGGAGCCCCACTTTCTTGCAAAACAGTAGAGTTTTTTTCAAAGTCTTTTGTTATGGGTGTTAAATTTTCCCTTGGCCCCCCACTTTTCAACCTTTGTCGGAGCCCATGGATGACATGCATATCAAAATTTCATACCAAGTCCATTTATTACACATACGCGATTTGCACTACACATCAGATACGTCAACGACACAAATGGCTCAGCATTTATAACCAGTGGTGTAATGCTATCAAAATAACAAGGGGGCTTTTGCGCAGAATGATTCGTAAAACAATAGTAAAAGTAGAAATTGGCCAATTTTCGGCATCAACAAGAGGGGCTCAGCCCCCTTTAGCCTCCATTAGCACTACTCCACTGTTTTTAACTAGTAAATCTATTCTTGTCTACTCTTTGGCCTTTTTAACATTATAAATTTGCTTCCATGGCTTTGCTTATAAGATAATGTATTTTAACTTGAAAATATGCTTTATTATATCAATTGTCTATAGAATGTCTTTATTTTATTTTAGAAAACTCAAATGTGTTGTTTTTCATATTCTCCACCTTCTGTGTTGGTGGCGGATTTATTGCTGTTGCCAAGTATCAGGTAATCCTTAAAATGTAAATATCCTTGTGTCATTAATGAACTAACCCTTCATATTTTTCATTTACGAAAGCTCTCCCACGACTGAGATAATTGTTATTCCCCTGTTAAAAATTCTTTTGCAATGAATTTTAATTCAATTCCATCTTTACTGTTTAATTGAACCTCTGTTAACAATATTTTACAGTCTGCTCCCCGTTTGGAATAACAAAATAACGTGTCAAGAGCAAAGTCATCTTATGTCTCTGTGGGGCTTACTTTCCCTCTATTTATTAAATCTACGCACACACTCTCTCAATGAGGACATTCAAAGATGTAAGAAATGCTAATAAACTTCATACTTCCTAAAAGGAACAACATGGAGAATGATGTTGCTCCTTTTTATTTCAATGTCTTCGAATAAGCTTTCCTGCCTCCCTGATCTTAAAAAAGTATTTTTCCTCTATCTTCCACCTTGTCCTAAGCTGGCTGCAGTATGTAGCTAAAGGCTTGTCTTTCTGCATTTAGAGAGAAACACCGTCTGAACTTCTTCTAGGTGTCAAGAATTATTTACAGGAAGAGCAAGTCTTTGGCATTGTCGGTGTTGCATGGTGCGTTTGACTCATCGGCAGCTGTTCTATTGATCTTCAAGGTAAAAAATATATTTCTCTTCGTAGGCGCACATCATTTGAGAAAAAACATATCTTGGGAATGGTAATGCGTCTTGCTTCGTCAGAAGCTGGTAGCAACAAATGCTATTTTTTTAGCTACTGGTATATGTACGAGCCATTTAAATGGTAGAATGAAATGTGTCCTGAATTCTAAAACTAGGACTGGATTTTAAAGGCAAACATGGGGAAGTGAGGGTGTGTTAGATAATGATTGGATTAATTCGAGGTGCTAGTTTTAATCGTTGCATTTATTGGCAGTAAGTCAGGTGCTTCTTCCAGCCCGTAGTTTAATATAAGGAAAACCCCGCAATTGCACCACTGAAATTCCATGTTGTTTTCTTTCAGGTCATTCATGAAAGGGGAGTGAGTATGAAGTTGATTAGCCTGTTCTATACCAGCCTCTGCTTGGTATTAATAATCATTTCTACAATTCTACTCACTCCCTCACACAAAACCTTGCTGGCTATTGTCAAAGAGGAGGAAATGGGAGACGCTGTTAAAGAAATAGCTAAAAGGTAGTTTTTTCACTTACGGGGGTTATTCGTAATTGTTTGATTTTTCCTTGATGGTAAGTAATAGTTATTGAATGCTCTTGGATGCTGATGACTCCATTTGTTAGTTAATCCATGAAAATTCTTTCAACCCCTCCCCTCTCTTTAATTTCTGCCCATTTATCTTGAAGGCTGACCGGAGTACAAAATAATATTGAAATTGATTCTCCATTGTGTCAACACTTACAAATCCATTCCCTAGCATAAAGCGGTTAAGCACTAGTTCAAGAAAACTAAATATGTCTTCAAACAGCAAATGGGCAGTGGCGAAGGTCCCGCTGGTCCTTCTGAGCAGGACCAAGAATTTCCAAAAATAAGATTTCCTGGAAACAATAATAATATTCCTTCTTTACAAAAAGGAAGTTACAAATTCTATTTGACAAACAGTTCCTAGTTCCGCTAGCTGATACAGGCATCCCGTGCTAATTTGAAGGTCCTGTTCTTTACTACAGCAACCGTGTATTTTGGTCCTGATCATAAGTATGATACCCTATGTTTGGTCCTGCTTCACAATAGGCTTCAGTAGATTTGGTCCAGCTTCACAATAGACCAGAAATAAGAGCAGAGCGGTCCTGCTTAGTCTGAGGGGCTCTTAAATGCCCCGTAGGGCGTGACCTGCCCTTAAATAGGGGTGGTCACGGAGAAAACCAAATTCCACGAAGTATATAAGTTGATTCGAGGTTTGCATAATTCTATCAATCTTTGGCGAAGAGCCATTGCAAAGAATCGATTTCAACGAATTCAAAAGATTCATTTGCTCTAGTGCTTGAACCAATTTTGTTTAATTTATCAAACCTGTGCAATGATGACTAGTATATAATCAAAGACTTTGATTGTACAGTTGACTCCGCTTATAGTCACACAAAGTCTTCACAATATCAGTTTAAAACTTGCTTTTTACTGAATTTAAGGAAAAATTCATCTGCAAAAAGAATTTTTGTTAATGGGCGTTACCCATTGAATAAGGGCATGGCCCTGTCGGTTCAAAGCTCCCCTGATGGTTTCAGCCCCAATCTTATTATTGATACTCCAACCCCATACCCCTTTGCCTGGACCCTCCCTCTTTACGTCCCTTTGAGTATTGAAAAAAATTTGTAAAAGGGGCCAGTGATGCTTTTATTAGTAAGTGGTATTTGGAGAAAATTGTACGAAACTGCTTAAAATCGATTAAGAGATTCGAAGATCGGATTCAAAACTCATTCGTGATCTCATCCAAGATCCCGACTTCAGTAATATTCCTGTCTCACTACACTAGTACAGTTGATGAGTTTGGTGCAGGGCCTCTGACAAGGGGGGGGGGACAGGGGTCATGACCCCCTTCACTCTGTTCCAAAGCAATAGAGCTTTTCTTATGGCTGCTAAACTTTTCCCTGGCCCCACACTTTCCAACCTGTTTCGGAGCCCATGTGGTGTACCACAAATTAGAAAAACATTTCTAGGCTCTTAGTCATTTTACACTATTTTTTCAAATATTGAAATAAAGGTTGAACTGCTATCTTGCTTTAATAACCAGTATTTCTAATAGAAGTATTCAGGATAAGGCTGATTTTAGCATTTCGCATACAATAGTACCCCTGCTGCAATTTGCTAAGTTATTCTGGAAAGCACTAACTTTTTCTCCCGATTCTTCGTTGAACAGTCGTCGATACAGTGCCACAGAAAGCATAGATTCAATATCATTCCCAGATGAACATGCCTACAAAAGCATACACCAAAAAATTCTCAGAATCCCAGGTAATTAAATTGTTTTCGTTTTAAGTGATCACTTATATGTTCTTCTCCTTCATAATCTTCATTCTTTTCTTGCATCCTCGTTTGTCTTCCATCCTTCTTCCTCCTCCTCTTCTCATTCCTCTCCTCCTTTTTCTTTCTTTTCTACTTCTTTGTTTTTTCCATCTTTTCCCATCTTCTTTTTTCTTCCTCTCCTTTACTTCTTTGTCATCTTCTACCTTGTCTTTTCCTGCCCATTTTTTTCTTCTTCTTTCTTGTCTTCTTCTCCTTCACGCCCTTTTTCTTTTCCGATTTCTCTTTCCTCTATTTCTTTTTCTTTCCCCTTCGTCTTCTTCTTTATAAACCGTTGAACCCTTTCCGGGTTACTTAATGTCTATCTTTTAATTCAAGGAACTGGGAACTTTACCTTTCCTGCCTCAAAGCTATATTTCTTTTTACTGGATCGTCATGATCTTTCTCAATCAGTAACCAGGTGATCACAAACATTAATGGTAATATTTTGCTTTGTGTGGCGTACTTCATGGACTCTCATTCAAATGATAAACTGTGGTACCTACCTCATCCAGAGTGTAGTGGCAATTCAACTATATTCTGTTTTTAAAATTTTTATCTCGATTAGATAATGAATTTCTGTGCATTGACATTATCAGATCAATTAACTAATCTGTATTTCCTTCTTTCCGAAGAAACGCTCAAAGAATCGATTTGCTTCCCTTTATACATTTACGAGCTGCTATTTCTGTCAGTGATGCAACTCAAACTTTGGTTCTACATTGGGAGTCTTGAAGAACTGCTTAAAATCATTTTTAAAAATGATTCAGAATCAGGTATTATTGTTAATTTTCAGTGCCAACTTTCAAAACCATGTTTTTCCTAGGCCTTCGTAAGGCTAAATGCCTTCTGATATTTCCTTTTTCGTTCTAGTTGACTACTATACAACTTTGTTTGGTTACATGCAACTGTGCGGCATCTTGACCGGCCCTGTCGTTGGCTGCATATTCGACAGAGGTCTTATCAAGTTTTCAAAATCATACAACGAGAACGAGACACTCTTGCTGGCCTCACCAATAAGAGGCCATCTTATAAGGATGAAGCAAAGCATTCTCCCTTTTCTGTTAACCAGCATGCTGGGGATTATTCTTTCACTTCTATCGATCATCAAGTGGAAGCCTGGATTGGTATGCTGAAATGGTTTTGATCTGCCTTTTTTGCTAACAAACTTTTCGATGTTGATTTTCATGTCGTTAAGAAATCTTTGCAAAGAATTGACGATGGGTAATAAAAATCAGTGAAAATCAGGTAGCCCATTGCATGGCATTTCGTTCATGAACTGCCATTCAACACTGTAAAACCAAGTATTTCATCAGCATTTCAAAATAGCTGGCTTCTAAGCGCATGTACCTGTAAATGGAAATTCAAATTGCTTTTAATTATAAATACCAAAAGGACCAGATGAGAATCAGACTGGCGTTGATGAGAATCAGACTGGCGTCAATAAATAGATGATAGTTATAGAGACTTTTGAAAGATTTAACAAAATTAAAGCCCCCGCCCCTAATAATTGTCAAACTGTATTATATTTCCTTTATAGCAGTGGACCGAATGGGAATTAATGAAATTTGTAGCCCAGCTCCCCCATATTGACTTTCGTTCCGGCGGCACTGTTGGCATATGTCAGGGCCTCCCACAAAGGGGGGGCCGGGGGGTCTTGGCCCCCCACTTTTTTTGCAAAACAATAGAGTTTTTTCAAAATCATTTGTTATGGGTGTTAAATTTTCCCTTGGCCCCCCCAATTTTAAACCTTTGTCGGAGCCCATGTATGTCGGATCATCAGTTAAGGTTCAGATTATATCTTACTCTTGCAGAGGTCCAACTTAAAGATGTGCGTATTTGATTATATATTTTGCGTTCAAATTATTACTCATTTACTATTTGTGAAGTCTTGAGGTTAAGCTTTTATTATTGATATTCTTTATCTTTCAGATCATATCTTTTGTCCTGCATGTTGTCATCAGAGGGTTCCTTTACGCTAGTCATGCAGCATTTATCGGGCTAGCGTACGTTGTCTTACTTCTTTGCACTGGTGAATGTAGAAGCATTTTTTTACAACTGAATACTGATGAAAACATAGGGTTGTATTGAATATTTCTTTAGGGGATTTTAGTTAGGCCTAGTTTTAGGTTATAGAAACTTCAATTAAGTTTGTCAAAATAACTGTTGAAAGAGGAATTGTAACGAGTCCTTGAACTGAAACGTTAAGTAAAGCATCACTCACAAGACAAGGCTTCTGTGAAACGTAGCGTAGAAAGTTTGGAAGTAGCAGCTAAAGTTTTGATCGAGGTGAATTCAAACAGTAAAAGTAGGGGGGGGCAAGGGAGAATCAAAGACTCAGAACAAGGGCTTTTACAAAAAAGCTTCTTCGTCATCTTTTATTTTGCAAAAAACCGAGGTATCACCTCCGCGACCCCTGTCTTTCGAGGCCCTACAAAATAGTCCCGAAACGCGATGATAAGTGCCTGACTTTTTTTCATAAGCATTACTTGATTAAATGTTTCATTACAGATTCAAGCCACAGTATTTCGGCACCCTGTACGGTCTTGGTATTTTTCTAGCAGGGTTGGTTGGCCTATTAGAATACTTCCTTTACACCGTGACTCACATATGGCTTTATGGAGATCCTTTTCTGGTAAGAGAACACTCTGTGAAAATAATAAGTTTATTATTAATATATTGGGAAGAAGCCCAAAGAAGCCTTGTATACGAAGGAACAATAGAAGTCTGCCTCTGCCATGAAATTTGGTCACAAGATTTAACTCACTCATTGGATAGATATTCTGGGCTCCAAGAAGAAAATAAACATGTCATGTAGGAGCATACCATGCATGCTTTGATCGAGAAAGCACAATAGCCTTTTGGATGCTTTGCTTTGTTTGTATCTATGCTTTGAATGTTTGAATCTAAGTAACTTCTTCTTTTAGATAAATCTGGTCTTGCTTGTGCTTGTCGTCCTAACAACCATTTACGTTTATCACCTTACGCGCCATTGCAAGAGGATCGAGGAAGACATACACCATTCAGTGTTAATGTACGGTACAGAAACGCATTCTTAATGTATTTCTCTTTATAAATGTACCGAAAAGGCATTCTTAAGATGAACTCCAAGTAAATCTACAAGACAGAAGCGCATTCTAAGACCCCGTTTACACGAGAGTGGATCCGATCCGGAACGGAAAGTACGGATAGGCTTTGCGTTTACGCGGGAACTGGAAGACCCGGATATTTTTGGATCCGATCTGGTCCAGGTCTCGTGTAAACAGGGTCTATAAAAATGTTTCTCTGAGTCAAGATGTTTCTTTTAGTTAGTTTACAGAACATGATAATATACGGAAAAAACGTTCTTAGGATATCCTCTGAGTAAATGTAAGGGACAAAAACGGATTCTTAGGATGTTTCACAAAATTGAGAGGTTTTCCAAAGTTAATGTATTTTGTATTAAACAGGAAAGCATTTTCAGAATTTTCTCAAAGTTAATGTACATAACAGAAACATATCCTTACGATGGTTCTCCAGGTAAATGTACAGAACAAAGGTTTACCTAATTAAAGTCATGATGGAGTTTGCCTATCTAAGTCTTCCGTTGTTTTTAATCAAGGTATATTTTCAATCAAATACCTTCGCTAATAATTTTGAGTATACACTGTAAACTAACACACGCATGTAATAAAAATTCAAGCTAGCGATTTTTCAATTTTTGAATTTAAATAGCCGTGCATGGCTAGTGATCTTATTTCATTTTTTTTGTCAAACTGTCATAAATTCTAGCAGTTCCTCCTTTGGGTGTAGGTTCACTTTAAAGTTTATAGATGAAGCTACTTAGGTGTATTGTTATTTCTATTGAATTTGATTTGGGATAGAGTTTAGGGTAGTGGTAGAAGTAAAACGATAATTAACCCCCACCAAAGTTTTACACTTCCTTAACTGATAGTAACAAACGACTCTTGGAACACGTGGCTTTGCCATTCAATCCTCCCAAAAAATTTGACGGGAAGAAAGTGGAATTTTCTGTCAAACATTAAAAGCGGGGATGATAAAGTCCATTACCTTTTTTTTTCATTTACCCCTCATCCCTAATAAAACAGATGATACCTCCACCTTCCTTCTTTAAGCCCTTTGGTAATCCTTCAACTTAAGCGAAGAGAATGGCCGCCAAACACTTTCTTATCACTCATCCCATGGCGCATTCTAGTCGTAGCTTCTAAATACTTAGCTTTCTAGTAGCATCTTAGTAGCATCTAGGATTGGAAGATTTGCTTGAATAGGAAGTACATGCCTGGCTATCGGGTAGGCTTGCACGAATCTTTTCAGGGTGTTTAAGTAAATTTTCACGAAAACCTAAGAAGTTAATTAGCTAGATTTGCACCAGGAACTTATCATTGCACCCCTTCCCTCTGATAAATTCCTGAGATATGATCCTAGCTGCATACGAATGTGTTTACTATCTTTTTCATACATTGCATAGCACATGATTTTTATTTTTTGTACAGTGTCCCCGTATTTTCCTCAAAGCAACCTAATATATGACAGGCTTGGCTTTATGGCAGTGCTCCTTGTTTCGATACCATTCTATTGATTGGGAAATTGGGAACACAAAGTAATCTATTGTTGATATTTCCCCAAATGAGCATCGCTATCAATGTGAATTATGCTGTCCAGACTAGCCTGCGTCAAGACTTTACTATCCGTTGCGAAGGAGAGCCAATACGGAACTTACAAGCTCCGTATTGGTTCTCCTTCGCAACGAATAGTAAAGTCTGCACGCAGGCTAGTCCAGACTAGCTTTAGTCTCGGTGGCTGCGGCTGGTGTACCCCTTCCCACCCCTCGGAATAAATTCATAATATAAAATATTGTCAATATCTATGCCAAGATCCTCCGAGTTCAAAGGCAAAACAAAGATCTAATAGACACGCTGTAGAAATGTCTTTTTTTAAGTATTTCATACATGTTAACACCTTTTTATGTGCAAGCACTATGAAATTACATAATAACTAATTGTAAAGTTTTATTTCCATTTGTCTGTTAAGAAGGGTGTGTTGAGGAAATGTAAATACGTATATGTGTAAATACGTTTGAGTGAGTGGTACTGTAGTTTGAGATTAATTGTCATTATTTCTTAATTTATTAATCATATTGCTTGCTTTACTAACAAATATCGAATAATATTAATTAATTAATGCTATTTTGATCTAAAATGGGGATCAGCAGGACCGCCGGACGCAGGTTTGAACAGGGCCCTTATTGATAACAGTGCCTTTGGCACTGAAAAGGCTATACCCTGTATAAATATTTCTATTATTATTATTATTATAGGCTGAGGATAACTGAAATTTAAGAATAATGCAAGGCTCAAGCTTCACCTAAAGTGAGAGGGGGTGCTAATTGAATTTTTCCTTCTGAAAAGTGTGGCTAATAAGAGAGGGGGCCTAATTGAGAGGGGGCTTAACAGAGAGTTTACGGTATCTTGCCTCGGAGTTATCAACACTGTAATATGCAATTCAGTTACACTAGAATCTTTGGTTACACCACAAAATAGAGGAAAGGAATTGCAAAAACTCGAATTAAAGAAAATATCGGGGCTCAGCAAAAAATTAGGTATTTACATAAAAAATTGTGTATCTTATACAGGCTCTACGAAATGTTATCAGTCCTGACGTGTCTCATATTCAAAATTGATCTTGGTATAAACGTGGAAACGAGACTAAATGAACTTTGTCTCATCTCATCGTGAAGAGTTGTGGCTCTCAATTTTCTGTAAAATTATATTATGTAAGTTTATTCGATACGCTGATACTAAATGGCGTCCTTAATCAGGCGAGTTTCAAGGGAAATATTGCGTTCAAATTCAAATAAACTTTTTGGTATCAAAGCAGCAAAGGCCAGTACCTCAGAGCATGTTGGTGTTCACCCTTTTGCACTACTGCCGGAGACACATGAAATGTTAAGAAAGACATGCAGAGATTTTGCTGATGAAGTTCTGAAACCCATTGCAGGGGATGTGGACAAGCATCATAGGTACCCGGCTAAGGAGGTAATAGGGCATGAATTATTTCTTTGGATCGTAACCATAAGTCTCGAAACATTGCAATGTTTCAACCTTTTTTGCATAGAATTGTTGGATCTGGAACACAAAATATACAAACAAGCAGAACATTCAAAGTTCTGAAACATCGGGGGGGGGGTGTACTCCCATTAACGCGTGACAGGGGTCATGTCGGTTAAAGGGTCTCACCAAATGGCCCAATTTAGAGAACAATACTACCACTAGGGTATTTCAAGTACCTCTTATGGGGTACTTCTAATTGACTGCTGAGTTGAGATTTGTGATTAATTACCAGGGTACTTTTAATGTCAACTGTACCCCGAAGGTCCATCAAGGCATTTGCAGACCTACCAAGTCAAACGCATTTTGTGTGAGACACACGCATTTCGGTCCCTTCTCACGCTCGCACGCATCAAAGTAGAATTCTCACGCATTTTGCAATAAACTTCTTGGTTTTTTAATTATTCAATTTTTATTCCAAATCCTAGCAAAATCTCTCTTTCCTAACAAGGCATATTAGCACGATAACAGCGACTAGATAATTATATGACTAGATAACAGTAAATCCACACAGGTTAAGTGATGTTACATTTATTGGCAAGCCTACACAAATTATGAACTGTTACACACAGATTATGAGCTGTTTTACATTCTCTCTAAAAAACTGAATGAAATGGCGAAAAAAGCTCCCTCAATCCCCCTGTTTCTGTGATCCCTGCTCAAAAAAGGCATTTCCAAAGAACTAGAGGGCTTGGCAAAAGAAAAGTTTCTGGACCCTGCTTTTCACTTTACATTTCATTTTACAATTGGTTGTGGATCGGTTAAGATCTGCCAATGACCACCAAACATTTTCCCTTCCTTTTAAAAAAACTCACTCGAAACTTGAAAGGTCTCCATTTGATAAAAATGATGAAAAACTGAAACTTTACAGGTCTCCATTTGATTAGGTTCAGTTAGTAAAACTGTAAAAAATTGTTGCGCTAGAATGGTAAACATTGTTGCAGCAGACAAGGAAAATTGATTAAAAGAAAAAACTGTGGTGTGTGAGTCTTTATTTCATGTTAACTAGGTATGTGGTCATATTTAGCATGCCAAATTACAAAAATTTAGGTGCCCCAAGAACTTTTTTATTGGTTTGCATGCTGAACGCTGAAAAAAACCTGGGTGTAACCTGATGATCTTTGGGCCTAAGTACATGGAATGCACCCTGGGTGAATTACAAACAATGAACAAGAACAATCAATGCAAAGCCAAAGAAGGACAAAGTGATGACAAAGAAATGGATAATGGTATAATTCTGGTTCCTATGCTAAAAAGTACATTCAAAGCTAAAACATAATGAAACCAGCTCCTTATTATTTTTCTTCAAAAAGGATAACTTGAACAGATTACTTTTAACTCAAAACATTGACTTCATGTTTCTCAGGGACGCCAGGGAATGGGGCACAGGGGGTCAACTGCCCCTGTTGCTTTTTTGCAAGAGTGCCCTTTTCATTTAGGTGCCCTTGAAACCGGCTATTTCTAATAATCAGATAGATTTATACTAAATTCTGGTTGTAGTGCCTGATTCATGATGACATTTCTCAAAACTTGTCAAAAGATTCCTTATGCCAAAAGATAGCCAATGTTCAAGATACCTACAGAAGATGGAAGTAAATGGCAGATATAAAGGAATTAGCAGAAGCTGAGAATTATCTTTCAAATCTTAGGGGTAAATCTTGGAATTCCCAAATATGTTCTTGACACATGTTATTTAGTTTATCTGCTTGGATTGGCTTTGGAGAGACAATCAATTTCATATGTTGGTCGATCCAACTTGTCCTAACACCCCATAAAAAATTATTATATTTGGGACCCTGTGATCAAGTGAGGTCAGTCTATCCTTGACATACAACTTACAAGGTTAAAAAATATAAGGGAATTACCAGGCTGCCAATCTTTTCAGGAAAAGACAGTAATTTTAGTTATGAAGGGTGCCATTTTGCATCTGGCCCCATCATGCAAAAAAGGCCAGGCCACCACTGCTGACCACTGCTCCCTGTCATGCTAATGGGACCCTTCCCAGGTCTGAAACATTTGTATATACAGGTTGTGAGCTAATATAGACCTAAAACTTTCAATTGTGTTTATATCATTAGCATTCCCAATACACTCATTTTTTATATAAGAAACAAGGTTAAAGTTGAATACTCAAGTTTCTCAATGCTTGGCAAAGTTAATCATTGGATTTCAGGCCCATTCGAGCAATTTCACCTTAATGAAGGAACAATATTCAGGCAAAACCAATACTAAGCTCCTAAACATTTAGCCTCCAGCTACACCCATGCTACTATTTACTTATTAATTATAAATTTTACTTTTGTTGTTTTTAGCTTTAACATGGAGATTCACATCAATTATTTTTTCAGATTTGTTAGATTGTAAATAGCTAGATTTGAATAATTATCATAATCATAAACATAATAAAACATCACAAGTTCCAGCAAAAATCATGACGATAAGCTCAAAATTCTGCAGCTTCATTGTGACCAATATTTACACTTAATTTTTTTGTCTTCTATTTCAATTTGAAAAAAGAAATAATAACCAAATTGAATACACCATGTAAACCTTTATTCATTGATCCTTTTCAGGTTCCATTTTTGTTTCTTTATTTTTCATAAAATCTCATGTGATACACTGCTTGTGTCATGGAGGTATATGAATTGTAGTCTATTCAATTTGATCAAGACTGGTGGTATTTGATATGGGATCAACTAATAACCCTAGTTTGGGACGATATGCCAAATCCCTCAAGTGTCTATTTACCAGCCAAGGTTCCCCTCTTCTGGGCCAATGAAAGATGCTTAAGACCTTTCGGACAATGTGCGTTCTTTTTCTATTTTTGTCTATTAAGAGAGGCCTGGATTTGTCAGAATTTTTTACTTAGCTTATTTTAAAAGGTTAGCAGTGGAGTTCAGAGAAATGAGTGCAAATTAAATGGCTTCTTTTTAATGCTGTTTTTGATCAAAAGATATTTTATATCATTTCTAAATAGATACCATATACAACTTCAAACTTCAGAGCAAATGTCAAGTATCTTTGAATTTGGATATGATTTTTCTAGGTGAAGCAAATGGGAGACCTTGGCCTCTTGGCAATAGATGTTAATGAAGAGGATGGTGGTACTGGATTGGATTACCTGGCATATGCTATTGGAATGGAAGAAATCAGCCGTGGTTGTGCCACTGCTGGTGTTATTATGAGTGTAAACAATGTAAGTTCAAAAACAGATGATGCAGAATTGACTAAAATATATAGTTTTTTGTTAAGTTCATTACCATATTTTTGTGACTGCTTGCTTCTGGGCCTTTTGCATATGCAGAGATTAACTTTCCCATCTTTTCCTTTCAAGTCACTGTACCTAGGTCCAATTCAAAATTGGGGTAGCAATGCCCAGAAGGAGAACTTTCTTAAACCATTCATTAATGGAGACAGAGTTGGCTGCTTTGCATTGAGTGAACCAGGTAACATATGTTTTTTATTATTGGCACATTTGATCTTTAGGACATAATCTGTATATGTGATGTGTTCAAGCCAGGAGGATAAAAACACACACCTTTCGAAAATATAGGTCAAAGAGTTCTTGAAATAATTCTTGAATTGGCAACTGATATGTTTTCTATTTACCACACTTAAAACAACAAGGCTGTTTAAAGAAAGTATTTGATAAAGTGTACATCCATGCCTGTCTCACGGAACTTTGAAATGTTAGTAAGCATATCTATCTCCTGCGCACCTTTCATATTACTTCAAACATTCTATTTCTTTTATGATAGAATTCTTACAATAAGTCAAGAATTATTGCAGCTCTTGAAGCTAGACACGGAAGAAATAATCATTTTAGAAAGTCCTAAGTATCCATTATCTTCTGATAGACAACGGAAGTGATGCAGGGGCTGCTAAGACAACTGCTACACTGGATGGTGATCACTGGGTGCTGAATGGATCAAAGATGTGGATAACGAATGCATTTGAAGCTGAAGCTGCTGTGGTAAATTACTTAAGGATGATAAAATGATATTTCGATTACTGAAAGGCTGTGCCAAGGAGCTGTCCACAAATTAGAGCAAAAACTTACATCTGCACCTTTAAAAAACTATATATCAATTTGTTATGCTCCATTGTGCATATCAGTCTGAAATTTTTCTTGTGCCTGATGCACAAAACGAAAGAATAATCATAGTGAAATACATTTTCCCTTAAATTTAGAGAATCTGTCTTCTCTGAATTGATTGTCTTTAAATCCCATTTGTAATTATGCTCAATTTGCTTCTCGTTAGTGTATCACCTAATGTATCTTTGTATTGACTATACTTTCCCAAGGTTGTTCACAATCAATAGTCATTCATCAGTGCCTTATATTTACAAGCAGATTTGTTTTCCATCTTAATTTGACATTATCAATTTTCTTCTGTTAAGTATAGCTTAATTACTTCTTGTCCTGCTGTAGTAGCAAGCCTAGCTACAAATTTTTTAAAGACAGCTAGCTGATATTCTAAGCTCCAAGGATTTTATTAGCTTTTTTATCATGATTCATCCTAAGGTTTTTGCTACTACTGACAGAGCGAAGAAACACAAGGTAAGAAATTAATAGATAATCATTGTAGTTGAGCGTGTTGTACGTCGAGTAATGAGCAAAAATTAATACATTAAAATAACAACTTTGTACAGGAATGAAAGATAAGTATGACGTTTTGAGCATAACTCTTCATTCAATAAGAAATTGATACATCATTTTGATTATCATTCGAAGTCAACCTTTCAAAGAGATGGTAATGAAAAATCTCAAAAAGGAGAAATAGACTGAAAGCATCGAATGACCAAAAGTGAAAAACACCCTCAAGTTATGTATCCTGTTAACATTTATTGCTCATCCTTTTAGCCAAGGTTTTGAACTGATTATCTTATTTGTCTGAGAATTGTCTAGCTTTAGAAATATCTACTCCTTTACTTTTAAACTTAATCCTTTACCTTTTCTTTATGCTTATATCACAATTAGAAGTTTTTTATGAATGATAATTTTGAAGCTCTTCGTATAGATTATATATTCTGATTACCAGAGCCACATAAATTCGAATGGGAAATAGAAGATAGGAGTTTAAAAGCGATGGAGCATCTATATGAAAAGATGGATTTCGTTCTTCTCGCCCCTCCATTTCTCCGCTTGGTTTTCCATTTTTGCACTCGACATTTTGTGGCTAAGGTACCCAGGGTAGAAATTTTAAGGCTGTGATACCCATGGTAGAAAATAAAAAAGAGAAGCGTTCACCGAAAACTTATATTCACGCTGGTTTTTAGTCTTCATCTACATTTTGATTAAACAAAGAAGTAAAGTTTAGTATTTATCTGAGAAAGGAAAGAAGGCGAAGGATTCTTCCCCCAATTATTTACTGTCAAATCCATTACGGATTCTCATGATTTGTTCCACTATAAGAACATTACTAAGACATCTGGCGTTTTGCACGTTGCTGCGCTATCATCGTGCAATAATTAGAACTTAAAATGAAAACAAAATTTGTTCGAATTATCCAACATTCGAATTATCAAAACTTGGCTTAAGGAGTGACATGTTTTGTTCTAAATAATGGTGGGGATATTTTTGCACGAAACTTTAACCTTAAGCAGTCCAGTTATTAGTAGGTTTTTATTGTATATGTTATTTAGCAGTCTCCGAAATTTTGTATGAAATACGTCTTGAAAAATGCTGCCGGTCTAACTAGCTTTTACATTCGCCCATATAGGGAATCAGTGCATTTTTGGTACCTATGCCAACAGAAGGCCTAACCCTTGGCAAAAAGGAAGACAAACTCGGCATCCGCGGAAGCTCGACGTGCCAGTTAATATTTGAAGAATGCAGAATACCAAAGGAGAATATTTTGGGAGAGGCTGGTTTTGGATTCAAGATAGCTATGGTAACTTTATCAAAATTATCCTATCATTGAATATAACATTACTGAAGAGGGTACTGATGGAGGGCTCTCGAGCCAGCTGTATTTTGCATAAAACCCCATCAGATTATGTACTATATATTATTGGTAGTAAGAAATTAACGTTTTCCATTTAATGTATTTGCCGTTGTTTTCCCCAGTCCATTTTAGATTACAGGCGTAAACATCCATTTCATTTCACATTGTACTTTTTGCCATATCTGCCTGGGCATATGCTTGTACATCTTGATATTTGCTTGTCCTTCTTTGTAACTCCCTTCACTCGTCGTACCATTTGTTCTACCGTTGCTAGTCTTCGAACTTCAAACTTCGAACTCGTTATTTGTTATGCCTATTCCCTGAATATTTTGATTCATTTTGGTTATTCCAAAAGCCCTTCCATGTGCATTGTTCTCACGCCGAGGAATGAATGGTAGTTACATTTATGGAAAGAAGCGTCATGCCATGGTTGTTTTTCACGAAATACTTTAATTAGGAATGGCCAGAAAACCGGCAATTTTTTCAAATGTTCATAAGCACGTTCCAAACCCATGTTCAGTGGGGGAAAGGCAATATCCGCTTTTGTTGTGTAGTAGCAGCCTGGAATGTGGCGTATTTTTTTATGCATTGCTTCCATAGCAAGTGTTTTCCTTTCAGATGACACTTGACGCTGGCAGAATAGGAGTTGCAGGGCAGGCCCTCGGAATAGCACAGGTACTTCTAGACTCGATCTCTGACAATTTTTTTGCTTTAGTAGATTTCGTCAGATTCGGAAAAATTTAACAACGTGGTTAAAAGCATAACTGTTTTTCGGAGAAATATTTTAATATTTCTCTCTGTTCCAGAATTCCTTGCAAGTCTGGAACCTTTCCTAATAGTGACTATGTGTTGCAGAGCATTTTTAGTGGCTTGGCCCCTTTTTGGCCTTTTTTTTATTGACTGAATTCTCAAAATATATTATTTTGAATGGCGAAGATAATTTTGGCTTCCTTATATATTTTTATAAAAATTTCATGCTCTTGGTTTTGTGTACATAAGTTATTTTTGCCAAATCATATAATAGCTCGGTATTTTTCAAAAAGTTTGGCTGAGTTTAGACTACCCCATTATATAGGCCACCCTCCGTATTCTACTTTTTCTTGTGGCATGTCTCTTGTCAAAGGCAACCCCCCTTTTTTTTGTATGATTACTACCTTTGAGAATATCGGGTTTCCTATGTTAGAGAAAATATAAAGGGTGAAGTGTCATAAAAACTTTGTTCACTATAAAACTATCATCACTTATATCATAAAAACTTCTATAATGCCAGCAGAAGCCTCGTTTTCATTAATATTCCATTGCTCACTAGCCTCATTTTCATATTTTGATTATTTTGGATTTTTGACTGGCATGATTTGGCCCCTTTTAAGACCTGGCGTGAGCTCATGAAATCGGCAAAGATAATAAGAGAACGTGGTATAGGTAGTGAGGAGGAGTCTTCACACAGTGCAAAGCAGTTTATGACTTAATGTTACATTTCAGGCCTCTTTAGATGTTTCAGTTGACTATGCTGAAAAACGACTCGCTTTTGGCGCACCAATAGCAAAACAACAAGCCATACAAGTATGTTGCTTAAAACATTATTGTGTGATAAAATAAATCCAGCAGAAGCTTTTTCATTTATCTGTCAATTGTCAAGAGTATGCTACATAATACCACTGGCTATTGTAATCGTGTTGCTTGTCTTCAACAGGCTCACATCATGCTATACATACTTTGTAGAATCTCTACTTCTTTACCCCCTGTCCATTCTGTACTTTGTTATACAGGAGATAAAACTGTTTGGTAATAATGGGGGGTGGGGGTCGATAATCGGTCCTCCCTAGCCGCTTCTGATGGCCCAGTAGGAGTAAACAAATGAAAACTTTAATGGCATTATTTCCCACCAGTCAACCGTTCAGAGTTAACAATAGGCTTTGCAGCGCGTTTGTGAGTAGGAAAACATCGAGAATTAGCCAATTGGATACTTAACAATGGGTCTATTGTTTAGTCCAACCAATAGGAAATTTAAATGCCCAGCGAAATGCGTCCGGACAAATGCTTTTAACATACCAGAGAGAAAGAGAAAAGCCTTTATAACAACGAAATGTGATCCTCACAGCTACAGGAATTAGAAAACATTTTGACGGGGACATTATTGATAGCAGGGATTTTAAACAACAGGTTTTCCATTCATCAAGCACAGTTATCTACAAGATTGTCGAAAACCTTTCTCGACGCTGTCCTCTTATCCCCCGTATTTATCTTGCTATAGAGATCTCATAATCGAGATAACAATTTGTCATTTTTCACTTTTGTGAATTTAATTCACATGAAATTTTGCTTCTGTAGATGAAAATTGCGGACATGGCTTTACGGCTCGAGAGTGCCAGGCTGTTAACTTGGAAAGCTGCAATGCTCAAGGATGCCAAAATGGAGTTCACGAAGGTTTTTATCTACTTAGAAATTTGCTAACATTATGATGATGAGATATCCTCTTGGTACCTCTAAAGCACAAACGGTTGCCAGGCTAGCCAAATCGCAAATAAATTTTACTAAAATGTTAGGACGTTTAAATATTCAGATAGCTTTAATATCGGACGGTAGAAATTTTCGGACACAATTCGAAATTTTTAACGTCCGATAATTTAGGATCAATATTAATTACGCTGGAAAACTTTAAACGCTGTTTGCGAGTATTTGGAAACCAAAAATAACAAACACCTTATCGTCCCGTGAAATTTCAAAAAGTGTAATTTTCAAAGGCTTGTATTTGTGGATTTCTAAGCTTTTGGTTTTTGTAACCATAAGCATTTTTAAAGTGTAGGTTTTGTCTTCAAGGAAACGAATTTCAAGACATGAAGTGTTGTTCCGAAACAAGTTGTTTATATATAATTTTTTTGGCATGTACATGGAAGACCGGTTCCTTGTTGTTTTGGATACAGTGGTTAGAAGTGGCAATTTCTTGCATCTAGTTAACAAAATATCAATTAGTATTAGTTTGTAATAGAATTAGATTAATGTTGAACAACCGATAAAGAATACGGCATTCTTACCTAGTGCTTTTCTGATACCTTTAATTTTCTCTTGTACCGCAACCAGTACTTATTTCCTCTTATTCCACAACTGGTCTGTCGAACCCAAATAGATGACAGTTTTTTGCCCTCTTCTCCAACCCTTGCCGAACTTTTTACCAAAGTTAATTATTCTAATTGTTTTCAACAGGCTTGGAAAGAGGTAATCCCCTTCGATATTTATATCTTCTAGTATTCTCTTTTAGAATAAATAATTTGGTTGATTTTTCTTTTCTTTTAGGCTGCAGCTATGGCCAAACTTGCAGCATCAGAAACTGCAACATTTAATTCACATCAGGTAGGTTAAACATTGTGCATTTTGTGGATGATTCAAATATCCTGATTGGATTTTGCTATGGATGTAAGGAATCAGATTTGAGGCTATTAGCCAACTTTCTAAGCAAAGATTGTAATGTAATCTGATCGCCAACTGATTAGCCTGTGCTCCAGACCCAGGCTACAACTGACGGGCATATATTCATGTAGCTGAAGACCTTCCCCGAGAAGAGCCTTTTCAAGCCAAAAACAAACCCGCGTAAATGTTCTAGTATTGTAGTCTGATTGGCTCGTATTTTTAAAATGATAAAGCACTTACCTTTTCGTCTGGAATATTACATTGAGAACGTTTCTCATAAACTTGGAAATTGTAATATGTCACGTCAGTTATACTTTCGATCTTCGTCAACAGAGACAGGAACATCAACGCAGAGGGATGAGGGGCATTAGCCCCTTGACTTTTTAAAAATACCCCTTTTCTTAGAAGTGCGCTCTTCAAAACTTTTTGTTGTCTTTAAAAGTGTCCCTTTCCCTGAGACAAAAGTGTCCCTTCCTTTCTATGTCCCCCCAACTTTGAAATGTTTCCGCCGTCCCGTCCCTGGAGGGGCACACCCCCTTTGAATTTATCAACCGATAAGATCATTTGATGCTTTTTCTACAGGCTATCCAGATTCTTGGTGGAATGGGTTACGTAACTGATATGCCCGCAGAAAGACATTACAGGGATGCAAGGATTACAGAAATTTACGAAGGCACAAGCGAAATCCAAAGACTTGTTATTGCTGGCAAAGTATTTAAAGAATACGCTTCTTAGTCTGTATCACACTGTTTCTTGTATTTTCTTGTATTTATTCTTATAAGTTGTTCAGGAGCCTTTCTGTATTTCGTGTGAAGGAGCGGGTTTTGTAGACATGTTTTTGTAAATGGAGGCGTTGGCTTTGCACATTTGACTTGGTGAGAATCCGGGGATTTGCCCCTGGTCTCCGCCTGGGTCTTTGCTATTCCAATACCTTCCAAGTCCAGACATTGAGCATCCGTGGTGCCCCCTTCGCATCAATTTTCAATCCCCCCTTTGGAATTCCTACCAACGCCCCCGTTTCATTCAATTCATTCGTTTCATTCATTCATTTAACTTGGTTGCTATACTTATTCATTGCTATCAACGCTGCAAGAAGTTACTGAAATAGCTTGCCTCGACTTATCTAGAAGTCTCTTACGGTGTCATTTTAATGTTAGCTTTTATCCGAAAACGTTTGTAGCATTGCAATCATTGCGAGTGAGAAACGAAGCAATAATACTGACCTGAGTTGGTCTTGCCTTTGATACAGTCATGACCGTAGAAAAGATATGTGACAACGAAACAATAGTGGTATAACGCTATAAGGGTCCAAAGGAGTACACAGTAAAGAAAATGGAAACTTTTGGTATGCTAATGCTAAATCTTTTAATGCTACCTTTTGGTTCTGCCTTTCTGTTTTTCTTCCCGTACTGACTAGAAAGATCACATTCTTTCTCTTGATAAAATTTCTCGAGAGGACTGACTTACAGAGGGTCGTGTCAAACTTTACTATAAAAGAAAGCTAAAAAGAAAAAAATTTATTTAAAGCTAAGGTGATGTTTACCATATAAAAGTAAGTAAATACAAAAGTAAATAAAGCTTGCTAGGGTAGGCTGATTTCATGTTTATAGATTTGTTTATAGATTTCATGTGACTGCACTGCTTCTGAGAAAATTTTATTTCCTGTTAGAATAGTTTGGATTTTGTGATATCTAAATTCTCTAATATGCCGTAGAAGTTGCATTGTTAAAGGCAAGCAGGAGCCGCATAAATACAAAACAGAAATTAAGATGCTGTCAGTCACAATTTTCTAGTAAATTCTTTGTGATAGTCTATTGTCGTTATTTTTACGACAACAATTTCCTGTCACCAATACGGTCAAGGGGAGAGAGGAAGATCATTTGACATCAAGTCTTTGCATCCTAGAAAGATGTAGCTTTGAAGATACGCACCATTTTACATAAGTCTATAAGAATATTCATGCTCCAAATCGCCGAAATTTAAGCATAATTTAAGAATAATGCAAAGCTCAAGCTTCATCAAAAATTAATGTTTTTCTTTACATTTTGAGTTTTTCGGAAAGCAAAACAAATACGAGTTTCCCGCTATATGTTTTGAAATAGACGTATCCTGCCTAAGACCCATTAACATTATAATGTTCTTAAGCCTTGGCCAAACTGGGCAACATTGTTGCCCGACAATGTTGCTCGATATTTTTTTGGCGCCGAAATATGGTGGCCAAATTGGGCAACATTGTCGTGCAGCATCATTTGATGATGTTGTCAAAACAGCGTGCCAAATATGATATGATATGTGGTTTTCCGCGCCATATTTGATTTGAGCAAAAATTTGGATAAGTATGGCAGATAGAAAGCAAGCTGCAGCTACTGGAAGCTGATTTTGACATCACAACACCTTTGCTGCTTAACACTCTATGGTCGAGCACGCGGGTAGCATTTTGCTGATTTGTTTTTTCAAAGAGCTTGCATTTGGACTTGTTTCAGACGAGACTTTTTATTCTTCCTAAACTATTCTTCCACTCCATGGTTTTCTTCCCATTCGGTACAATCAACTTGAAAGCTTAAATATTGACATTTTATTTGAATCGAGTAGAGCATACTGTTTTGCAATACATCACTGTGCAAGTTGGTTTTTCTCAGATGGGAAATTAAGGTGAATTGTTGCCCGACAATTTGGCCAAACTGGACAACATAGAACTGAGCAACAAATGTTGCCGAAAAATGTTTGAGCATGTTCAAACATTCGAACAACAAATTTCTTGATGAATTTGTCGGCCGACATGGTGGCCAAACTGGACAACATTTGAGCAACATTAGGAATTTATGAATGTTGCCTGACAATGTTGCCCAGTTTGGCCAAGTCTTTAGGCTTAAAATAGAAAAAAGTTAAGAATATTCAAGCCCAGCAAAAATTCGGTATTCTTGTAAAAAAGGGTGTAGAACCGAAAAACAGAAACTCTCCTCAGGGTAAAAACGTCAGATAATGAATATAGAAAATCTGATTATTTATAATTTCAACTCTGCCAATTGCAGTGTTACCAATAGCAAATGCAAATGATGGGGACCAGACCTTATCCAATGTCAGCAGTCTTTCTTACGATCGCTCGAGAACTTGCTAATATTGCACTTATCTCCATACTTTCAATTAAACCATTCTTTAAATGGAGGTGAATATCAATTAAGGTAAACAACATCTCTGGAAAAAAATATTAAAATGGGCGAAGTTGCTTGAAATTCTAACTTTGTTGAATATTTTATAAAACAATAAGAAAGAATGAAAATACATAAAAAGCAAGTATACAATGTCTCTGCTGTTTCGTGTCATCTTCAAAGTAGTAAATCATATCGAATTATATTTGCTGTCTTTATTTTGTTAGACGCAGGTCTAATTCTAGGGCACAGCAAAAACCAATGTCTGTAATGATTAAGCAAAAATGTGCAGAGTAGGGATTATTTAAGGAAACTGGGCAGCTATAAATAAGCTGAAAAAAAATCTTCAATTATAGAAAAATTTGAGGCTAAAAATGCAGGGAAATAATATGAAAAGCAAAGCAAGCAAACCAGCAGAAATGTTTATGTTGTAATCAAAAGCGACAACGCTCTAAGCCAAATATAATACATCTTCCCATTTTACGCACAGCCTTGTTTGCATACAGGCTCGGTCTAATTTTTTTAATTTTAAAAAAGCAGTTGTACAGTGATAGCAAGTGTCCTTAAAATTTCCTTCCTGATATGACGGAAAGTAAAATGGGGAGAATAAAACTTCAGTCATTAGCAGTGTGTCAAGAGGCGAAAACGAACATTAATCGAACCAGAATGTGTGAAGATGGCGCAGTGGCTCGGGTCGCAAACTCAGGGACGCCGGAACGACAAAGGGACAAGGGGGCAGGCTTGAGTAGATGCGCATTTGAAAAACAATTCTCATCTACTAACAATTCGGCTAACTTTTGGTAAAATATATTTCTTTACAAGTTTTGAAAAATGGTAACTTGAATAAGGCAGTACAGTCAGAATTTCATATGAATATTTTGATAATAACAAACAAACGATTTAAATGGCACTTCTATGAAAAGTGCACTTTGGCCCCCTGCCTTTCATATCAAAAGGCAAAAATGGTGGTTGACCCTCTCGCCTCCCTCTCCGGTGTCCCTGCGCGGACTAGAAATCCTAGGGTTAGGGGTTCGAGACTCCCGACATGACCAAACTTTTACCTAGACTGAGGGGAGTCCCTAAGAGGTATGGTCAGATCCAGGATAAGGACAAAGACACTGCACGATTAGCACAGCTTCTCAGTGTCCTAAGAACTACATTCGAATGCTAGGTATAAATAAATATAAATACAAAATTTGGGCAAATTGCCTTCAAGGCTACATGTATACCCACTTTCCCCCAGCATCCCTCAGGTACAGGAATCAAATTTAGAATTCTTCGTTAAAGACCACTAGTTTTACATAATCATTTGAATCTGTTGGAAACTGGCAGAACTATGTTCAGTGACTCAAAAAGTTTCCTAGAAAGACCATTGTTGTTTTGGCTCATACATCGTGGAACCAGAGCCAAATTACATTTATTTGATAGAGAGAACCCTATGTATGCTCATGTAGCTACTTTACAAAAAAATTTAATAGATAACACTTATTTTCACCTGCACAATATTTCTATTCATTTTTCAGAATAGCTGGGTCAAATTAAATATTTCTACAAATATTTTCTATGACGTTTCGCTGCAAGAAAACGAAACTAGTTACCAGCTCCCCACCCTGTCTAGACTAGGCACAGAGCGGAGGCATAGAACAGAAATATTCGACGTGCTGTTTTTTAGACGCTAAGAAAAGTTATTTACGTGTTGGCGAACGTGGAAAACCTAGAAGTTAGAGCAAGGAAGGGCTCAGGTTCATGGAGATACGGGCAATTAATGAAACTATGCCTGAGGTGGAAAGTTCTGGTAAATTGAAGTTTACTTCGGAGCACGACGACCAAACTGAGTCAGCTTTCACCAATGCATCCTTCCCCGTGGTTTGCGAGGAAGATTTGTTGCTTACCCTTAGCAGCTTCATAAGCGATTGCAATGAGAGTTCAGTCGTAGCATTAAAAGGTGAGGCTCCTGATTTTTGACATTATTTGGAAACCTGTTTGGTCCTGTATCGTCTCGAAGCAGGTAAAGCAACCGTCAGATTCATGGCCTCCAAGTGCTGGGCTAGAAAAAATGTGGATTTTTCCCGGGGGCCAATGAGTTTTCGACTTTTACATAGCTTGTGTCGAAAAATTTGCAAAAATTAAAGTTTGGATTTCATACTTACCACTTGAAGTCGTACCGTATAATCCCAAGTTTTAGAATTATCTTAGCATAACAACAGCAAATAATCAACTTACTTACAAATTAATGAAACCAAAATAAGATGGAGAGAAAAAATAAATAAAACACAGTTTGGCAATAAAGCATTAGCTGGTGCCCTAGTCCACACACGCTGCCTTGTACACATATGCTAATAAGCATGAACTTCATGAACTAAAGAATAAGTTTGGCCTTGGGCCTGGGATCTCAGAAAGTTTACGAATGGCTGGTCTAGGCCCTAGATCAGGGGTGGGCAACATACGGCCACCCTTTTTAGGGGAGCCATAATGGCAAACAAAAACATAATTTTCAGACAATGTATCAAACAAAATCAAATAAAACAACAGAAAATGTACCTTCAATTCAATTATTCAAATCTTTAAGGTAAAAAGCTTCGGATTTTGATCTTCCCATTTAACAAAATCTACAAATAAGCTCCGAAGAAACCCCTAAATTAAGAATCAATGAAAAAGGTCCCTAAATTATCTTTGTAAAACTCCTCAGAAATTGATGAAACTTGTTCCAGCTGCTAAAATTACTGTTCTCAACATGTTTGCAAGCTCTCATTGTCGTTCCCTGCTTTGCGTGTTGAGGATGGCTTGGAACTTTGTGGGGAAAACTTGTTAGAATTCACATGCATCATGGCTCCTCAATGTTGATTGGCTCAAACAAATCATTAAGCCTTTTGTCTCAAATAATAGGAGTGAGGTCTCATCTCCTCAACAAATATATATAGAAGGTATACACAAGTCTTAGAAACTTGACAGTCTCTTTAAGCAATATCACCAAGAACTGTGCCTTGCCAGTGGAAAGGAAAAGAAGTATGCATGTGCAGCTCTTGGTGATATTGCTTAACGAGACTGTTGAGTCTCTTGACTAATACATACTTTTTTATTGAATAATTTGGTGTTTATGTGTATTAAAGTGAATAGTGTGAGCTTTGAGTGAACGTTGACACTACCTCCCACATACATTGCCACTGTCCCACATGCATTGTCTCTTACAGCCTCATTGCTGGCCCTAGGTTAGTATTGGGTTCTCATTTAGCCTAGCTGTACTGATGAGCCCTAATATTGGACAAAACCATTCTACAACTAACTGTTTTTGGCAAATTTCATTTAAAGAAAGCAATATTAGTAAGAAATAACAAATGTATGCCTATTATTTCAATATATTCCCATATTTCCTTTTGTAAATATATTTCCACAAGATATATTCTGAAATTTATTTTCAAGGTAAGCTGAAAAGCATGGTTATAAAATTGTCTTGTTTGCTTTGCAAAAAAGGGCTTTCCAGGCCTTCCTGGGAATAAGTTAGCACAAGTGTGGCATTTTGTACCCCTAGGTTGTTACAATACAGGTGTGCTATTGGTGTTTTCTACAAAGGTTTAATTACATAGTATGTATATGGTCATTTTCTTCCGTTGTCACATGCAACAATAAATATTTCTTGGCAGTGGGATCTTTACTTAGGTGCCTAATTGAAATTTCACACAGCTTTTTTAAAGAAATTGATACTTGCAATATAAAATTGCAATTTAAAATGAAGATTAACTCGAAAAAAATTTCCATGGGAAAATTTGTTTTTGGGGCTTTAAAACAATTAGTGTGAGTGACAAAAACCTACGGCACAGAAATCAAGCTTTCCAGTATGGGCCATTGGCGAAGGCTTTCACATGAAACGCTTTAGCTCCTCAAAATGGTGGATGCCTGGTGATCTGGTTACGATAATTTGCACAAAACGTGCATCTTTAATGTTTTTGTCACCTTATTAGTTTCCAACGCTTTGGTTAAAAAGCAATTGAATAGTTGTAAAATAGGTGTGCGATTGAATGCACTTCTCAGAGTGAGGAGGCGTGTACCAGTGCGTGCGTGTGCAACTACACGCCTTTCCAGGGTAGGCCTGGCTTTGTCTTTCTGTTTTGTCACTAGGCTTTTGAAACCTTTTGTGTCATGGCTCACAACCAAGTCAGAAGAAGACATCTATAACAGTGTAACCAGGCTCCTAGAAAACAGCTTTTTTAACCTTTCTTGAATCCTTGTTAGGGTGCTCCTTTAAACAGGTTTATGACCTTAAGGAATCTTTGTTACAGTGCCCCTTTAAACAGGTGCCCCTCACTTTATAATTCTTCCTATGTTCTTGTAGAAATGCCAGAAGAGATTCGCCTAGAAAATCTCAGCAACTTCTCAAGGTTAAGTAGGAGGAGTTAATAGAAGCTGCAAGGCAAATGTTTGCAAGAAATCTCTCATCCAGGAAAAGACCAAATTATTGTGCAAAATTAAGATAATTTTTGTCTCTACGAGGCACCCCTTGGGCTTATGTGATTGTTGTCATTTAGTCTGCATTTCTCTGTCACCAGAGGTATGCCAAATAGAAGGAGATCTTCTAGTAGATTTTTAGTTGTTGTGAAGTTGAACAATTTGAGAGAAACTTTTAAAGGGACGATCTCCTTTCTCGCAGTAAGAGAATATGTATTCATGAATAAGTTATATGTGTATGCCCTTTGGCAACAAGGGTAGCTTATTCTAAGACTTTCACTTGTAGTCTCTCCAACAACCAAGGCAATGTTTTATCTGAGAGCTAGCGATTTATCTATTTTTATTTCTATCATATTTTTTGTTATGGATAGATGAATGTTACATTGTTCATTATTTCTTTCTTTTATAGAACCTTTGGATCATGAGCTTGCTGTTGGGTCATCATCGGGAAAAAAAGAGAGAAAAAAGCCAAAAAAATGCAAGAAAAAGAAAAAGAGAAAAAACCATTATGGTAAAAAAAACCATTATGGCCGCCAAAGGGGCAGTCAAGGAGAATCAAAAGGAAGCTCTGTAACCTCAAAAGACAATGGAAGCAAAATGCATTGTGACCAAAGACAAAATTTGAGAAATCCCAAATACAATCCTCAAAAGTCAAATGCTGATGATGGGGGCTCAGATGATGAAGACAGGGGCAAACATGACAAAGTCTATAGAGGACATTATGCAGGACTGCCTCAAGAAGAGGAAGCAAGAGTAGTAGAAGCTTTGTATGAAGAACACAAATCCATCATTGTGCAGGTAAAATGATTTTATTTTTCCTCCTTTTTATGAAGAGGTTAATATCTGTTGTTGATCAAGATTCAGCTGGAAATTGGGGGGATTATTTGATTAACAGTGATACAAAAACTTCATTTAATGTGTGACTTACTATTAAATCACCATCATCACCGTGATTAAAGTCATCAGTCATTGTCATTGTCAATCATTTTTAAAGTCAATTGTGACCATTTATCACCACCAATCATTATCTGTATCTTCATCCATTGTCATCTTCACCATCATCATCACAACCGTCAGTCATCTTCAGTTTCACTATGATTACAATCATCAATCATCATCACCAATCTTTATAATCATTTTCATTATCATTCATAACCATCATTACAGTCCTGGTAATATTAGGTGTGCGATTGCACAGGCACGTCTCTACACATGCCTAGAACTCCCGAGGCGTGCTTTCTTTCGCACGCCCAGTTCCACGTTTTGAATTACTATTCTTTTTATCTTTTGTTTCTTTCAATTTCTTGTTTATTTTCTCTAAAGTAATGTTTACTTTCTTTTGTATGGGTTATATTGATGGCATTCCTGGAAGCATTTTTACTCTTTACTTTGTTTGGTTAGGCCTGGTTTCCATTACTTCGTTATTTTGTTACTCCGTTATTGTATGTCTCTGTTCTCTCTCTGTGTTCTTTTCGTATTTTCTTGAACATATTACCCAGGGCCACTCTGATTTGGTCAAAAGGATAGCGTGGGTGTTTCCATAACTCCATATTTGTCCGTTCTCAAGCCTTTGCTTGAGCTCTTTTTGAAACTGAGATTGAATGACTCTGTTTTTCAAATGCCTCTGTCCTCGCTGTTCCCAATAAAATAATGCGTATTCAAATGATTCCGTTTTCGGATGACTCCACTTTGAACAGCATTTTTGAATATCTTCGGTTTGGTATCAAATGACACCGTTTTTGAGCATATTAATGAAACTCAAAAAATTCTAAAACAGATTCACTCGAATCCATTGGATAGGGAAACAGAGTAATGGCAACAGGGCCTAAAAAACTTATATCCTTTTTGTTAAATTATATTGTTTTCAAGAAACTTCTAAAATTCCATTACTTTTGAGTTTTACAAAAACCTTTTACACTTTTTCAAACAGTGATACACACCTTCTAATACAAAGATGACATCAGGTCTTCATAAAAATTGTATGGTCTCCATTTTTTGGATCGCATGTCATCGCACCCTGTGTGCAGGGTAGCTCGATTTCATGACATTTAGCATTTAGCATTAGCATCCAAGCCCATTGACCTGACACTATTTCAGTCAGGTATTCTGTTTAGTAGGAGGAATGACATAAGTTCCATCTTATGACTATAGTATGGAGAAGTCAAAGGATCTTCAGTTATTCATGACAAGCATTGAAAAGTTATTAATCATTTAACAGAAGCAGGTATGTATATAAATGAAAACTCTTTACAAAATTTCTGCATTGTTCCAAATGTTATTTCTTGGCTCAAATACTTTTTCAAAAGTTCCATTTTAATTCCAAACAGACTGAGAGGGATGCTTTGGAAAGGATAAGAAAGTTTATATTCCAAAGGATGGATCCCAGATATCAAGATTTGGCAAACAGGGTAAGTATCTATTAACATAATTTGAACCAAATATCAACAGGGAGGGATGGAGAAAATGTTTTAAACAGCCTTGAAGGAAAGGTTTCTTCCTGAAGGAGGGAGGACAGAATTCAACATTTTTGAGTCTCCTTGGTGATCTTTGAGATGGTCTGACAAGATGCTCTACAGAAATGCCAGTTCTGTCCTATTTTCTTCTCCCATATTTATTGTACCATCAAAATGATACATAGAAACCATTGATTCCAGAATCAACTCACATGTATACAGCAATGGCCTGCATACCCCATCTCTATGCCCACAAGTAAAGTATCTGCAGGGTTGAAAACTTTTTAATGAGCTCCTTAGAATCTACAGTTTTGAGCTGCGTCAATGTGTAGCTTGATGTTGACAGCTCAAGTCTTTTCAAAAATTCTCTGTATTGTCCTTTGAGGGCTTTCTCTGGCACAGAAGAAAGGGACCTGACAGGTATTGCCAAAACTGCTTCCCTGAATTTGGAGAAGTCTGTTTCAGCAATCTTTATGCTCCCTCCATCTGGCTTGTGTGACTTAACAGCAAGTGCAGGCAGGTCAAGAATCACCTTTGTGTTATGAATCACATCAATTGGTGCTTGACCATACACATTTCCGAACCCCTGTGTATTTCTCTCAGCAAACACAGTATTTTCGTGTTTGATGTTGCTTCAGAATCAGGTTTCATCCTCACAATCAGAGACTGACTTTGTGTTTCATTTTGCGGGCCCACAGCTTGAATCCCACACTGGGAGACAATAGGTATTCCCCCGATTTCTTTCCTTTCTTTCAAGCCTTCCTTGTCTGCTTGGTTCAATGGCCACAGGCACCTCTGCTTTCTTGATTCTGGTGCCAGTGAGTTACATTTGCTGTGGTCATCTAAGCACTCCTCAATTTTAAGAAGAACATCAACAGCTTCCATAAAGAGCTCCAATCTTTCATGTGGTAATAGGTGAACCATTTGAGCAACATTCACTATCAAGCCAAATTGTCCATATGCATCTGCTACGCCAGACAGTGTGAGCAGGAGACAGGTCTTCACTCTTCCCCTTAAGCTCTCTTGCCTTTTCCCCACTCTTGAATTTGCAGGTTCTGCCCCTGATCTGTTCTTCACCCCATCTAAGATTTGTTCTTATTCTTCACCCCAAGCAGGTGCCATGATGTATGTTTTTATATACCTGCCTTCTGCTCTTGGCAAATCTTGTCTCTGAAACCCCACTAAACTTCGCAGGTTAAGCTTCCATAGTGCTGTAGCTGCAACAAGCTTTTCATAATTGGCTCCCAAGTTAAATAGGGTGAAAACTTGCTGGCAAATTTGTGTGTTTTTCACATGAAATTTAAATTTGGACATATTTATAAACAATTATTTCTTATTTCAAGCAAGGAGATTTCAATTTTCATGCCAAATTATTTTCTGCTTTTTGTTGGATTATTCAAAACAATAAAACCAAGTTTTGAGACTAAGCAGAACAGATTGCCAACATTACTGCACATGAACAACAATAATATAATATTCTCACTGAGATTTTAATTTTGTCAGTTCTCATTTTTTTCTTCCTTTCAGACCCTTCCATCTTTGGTTTCTATATTTTCTTTCTTCCACCCTGTCTTTTCCCTTTTTTCTCTCTTCCCTTCTTTCTTTCCTTCTTTTTTCTCTCTTTCCCTCTTTCTCTCTTCCTTTTTCTTCTTCTTTTCTTTCTTTCCTTCTTTTTTCTCTCTTTCCCTCTTTCTCTCTTCCTTTTTCTTCCTCTTCTTTTCTTTCTTTCGTCTTTTTTCTTATTTCTTTGTTTTTTTTCTCCTTTTTTTTTGGAGAGCCAAAAAAATTTCTGGGACCATTGGTTCGCCATGGTCCACTATATTTTCCACCCCTGGTTTTCAACTGCATACTCTTTTTAACTGATACAGAGATCTTCGTATACAGGCAAATGCAACTTTGGGAAGCCTGTATTTAAAGGGGGCTTTTTTCAGGGCGACTTAAATCCAAATTCTGAAAGTATTAGAACACAATGAAAAACTTTTTTCAAGCCTACATTTTGAATCATTTGCATAAGTAATGGCACATATTCATGTAGAAGAAGAAGATGGTGCTGTTGTTATGTATGCTTCCAAGTATTCATGTATGCGCCCTTGGCTTGTATTCAGGGGCGGGCTAACATCCAGGAGAAGTTTATATCCCTTGAATGGGAGCCTTATATTCATGTAGAACTATGTTCAAAGGATGACTGTTTTTGAAATTTTAACATAATTGATGATTTAGACATCTCCAAATAGAATTTTTATTCAAATATTTTCTTTTATGTAGATTGGGCGTATTATTGTGCATGCATCCATAAGACAAGAAGTTTGTGCATCCTGTCCTGAAAAAGATTCTTGCAAGGAAGTAAGTTGTTGTAGCATATTATATTTATTATCGGAAATGACAAATCTTTGGTTATGCTTACTCCCTCCGATAATATTTTCGCAGGACCTCTTTTTTCTCCTTGTCAGAAAAGAAAACCTTTCCAAGGCCTCAATGCATTTTCAAAGTTCTTGTTCTTGTATAAAGGGGGGCTCAACCCTCTGACACTTCAAGGGGACCCCCTCTTAGGGATAGTCACAGTCTTAGGGAGTGGAAATTCAGCGTTGTTAGAGCTTTATCATAGAATTGAGGTTTGTTATAAAAATTGTAATGTATTTAAAGATTAGAATTAAAATGAATTATTATACATATATCTAATTTTTAAAAAAAAATTTTGAATTGTTTCTATCTTCCCATCAAAGGTCAAGTACTTGTTGTACCACAATAATAAATGCCAGACTATTTTGTGCAAGTTTTGTGAGATTGTGGATTGTGGCACTTTAAGTCATGCAATAGGATGTGAGCAAGATAACTGTCATGTTGGCAAATGCATGTATTGGAAGTAAGTGATTAAAATTCAAGATATACCATAAACCATGAACACTATTTTTAATAATACACTTGTCTCTTACTCTACTTTTGTCTTTATTGGTAATTCATCAGATAGTCAGATGGAGCTAACATGTACAATAGACTGCAGTGGCGTAGCGTGACTTTTTCAACTGGGTATTCTCTATTAAACAAAAGGGTGGAGCAGGGTGTGGCTCGATGGGGCTTGATGAAAATAGGGGAATAATAGGAAGTTTAAAAGGACTAGCTATTGACATTTGATCTAATTTTCTTTTTGGTTCGGTTGGCAAGTACTGCACTGTCAGGGCAGTACTATGATGAAAACGATACTTTGATAAAGAACCCAACGCAAATATACTCTTCGAACTCATTCATTGCATCAAAATACCACTAACCATTTCATCAAAAGCAATTCAAATCAAAACATATTATTGAAAGTCAGTAAAATTTTCCTGGTCGAAATATGTCCCAATAGTTGTTGTCAAATCCTCTAATATTTGCACTGATGTAAAGAGGAAGTAACTGTGAACACCTACTCTTTATACCTTAATACAAAAGGGCTTTCGAAAGTTTTAAAATTATTCACATAGGTCATTACACGAGTTATAAATAGTTTGTGGTATGCAGTCTAGACTTTTTCTTCATTGCCTAATCGTGATATTTTCAATACAAGTTAATGTTTGAAAGAATCGAAGGTAATGAGATGAGACTGAACAATAATGCAAATAAATGCGCTCCGAATAATGCAAAAAAAAGGCCAACAATATAACTGAATGCACCAGACAGTTATAACGATATTATCCAGGCCTATCTGGATTTACTTTAATTCTATCACATAATACAAACAGGAGCATCCCTGATTGACAAGCAATAACAAAATTGGTATTTCAAAAGGGCACAGATCTGAGTCAGTGTAGTATTATGCAGAAGCCTACCTTACCTTTCCACTATGCTGTTGGTAGATTAAAATTAGGGGTCAAATGAGAGAATGATTATGAAACAGTAATACGGACATTGCAATAGTTTTTTAATTAAGTCATATTTACTGTTTTCGATGAAGATCCATCACTCCAACCGCTCCGACGTCCATAAACTGTTTATATCGGTCTCAAAACGAGACAATTGTGAACAAACTTTGAGGCTGTACGCTGCATATTTCTCAGCGTACAGGACCATTGTTTTAGCTGATTAACGGCAAATATTATTCATGGAAAGGAGCATTTTGATTGGTTAAAGTACCGTCTAGGGTATTCACTGCGTATTCATGACCGATCTCCATTCAACATGAAGTAGCTCAATCTTCAAAATTAGCTTCAAAGATCTCCCAGCCTCTCTATGCGTCGCAGTGTTGTTTCCATGAATTTCGTGATATTTTGTACTTATACAAAATGTAGAATATCGAAGGTAACGAATTCAACCAGAATCAATAGCCCCAAAACATTTTTTAGTTATTACAATTATACGTCGTATTAATATTTTTTCTGAGAAATCTCAGGGTACGTGGTAAAGTTTTCAGAGCATTGCTATATACAACATGTGTAAATATATTGTATTAACTCACATTGTATCCACTCTATTCAATAGAGTGGATACAATGTGAGTGAATACAATATATTTACACATGTTGTATATAGCAATGCTCTGAAAACTTTACCATGTTTTCTTTCTAAACCTTTAATTGGGAGCCTTTAAGGTTTTTTTATGAACAAGAACAATATGACTGATAAAAGCAATGTCCGTCACATGACTGGACGTGTAATTCTACTTTAGTCATATTTTTCCTTATATTCTGCACTGCATTTTCTATGTTTCTAGTCACAAATAAAGCACTGTTTTAAAGAAAAAAAAATGCGGCGACAGGGTAAAACTATGGTCTGCTTTCTACCAATCAATTTTTTGCAGTATAATATGAAATTATCATACCGTTTGTAGTCATACAGCCAGGAATTTAATTCCCGTATGGAAAACTTGTCCAGTATGGAAATCTGGTCTAGGTCTTATTGCTTAGTTAAATGTTTGTTTTCAATACTCTCTTGCAGAACTTGGCTGCAAAGAAGAGACGAGAGAAAAGTAGACGGGAGAGTGATCTACAGTGCAAGTATCAATGTTATCTTTGGATGACAATTATTGTTGTCATCATGTGTCAGTTACTGTTTTAATTCTTTGCCAATCTTTGTTGTCATTGGTTGTAAACCACAGTTTGTTAATCACTTTTGTTTTAAGCTCGAGGTAACGTTTCGATTAATTTTTTTTTCAGACAACCACCTTGTTGAGAGAAGGTTCCGTTGTGCGCGAGGACGTAGATTTCACGTTCCTTCATAAAATAAAGCTTGGCAAAGGAGGTGGTGGCCATGCATACAGGGGGTGGTTCTACCATGCGGAGAAAGAAGTAGAGGCAGACCTTGCTGTGAAAGAGGTATGTCAATACATTTAAGTCTACACAAGAACATAAAACGAGGCCAGCTCTGGTTAGACTGATAATTTACCCAGTTTCTTTCAGCAGAGGATTAAGAACAGTTTTCAATTAAGATTTATTTAGTTTTGTTAGAATTAATTGACTTAGTTTTGTTCTAAAATTAATTGACTTAGTTTTGCTACACAGAGCTTCCCAATTAATGGGTGTGGGGTAAATTGTTCTAAGGTAATCAGTTGATTAATCAGTAAGCTAATATGCAGCAGTTTTTCATTTTCATTCTTCATTTTAATGTTATTTTTACACGAATAGATCCCTGTAGCATACATGTGTAGACGTGCTTTAAGTTTAGTCTTTTCTTTAAATGCGTTTTCAGCTTTTGTTCAAAATGATTCGAAATCATGTGATGTGTCATTCCAGACCATCTTGCTAGCTGCTAGGCCATTGCATTTTGTTATACTTTATATATCTGTAGGTTAAGAAGGACCCAACAAAGGAAGCAGAAATTTACCGAGCGATCCGCCAAAACCATCCAAATCTACTTGGTGCAATGGCCATCATAAAATTCAATTGCGAGAGGACTCTTAGCAACGGCATGAAAAGTCGCGGTCTTATCCTCATGGAACGTGCAGGTAACCTCACAATGAAATCAACTTACCTGCATCGCAGGTTTTTATAGAGTTGAAGCCGGGCTAATTCGCCACGCCGATATTTAACTTGTATCAAGAAATTCTCTTGTTTTACAAATGCGTTGTTTTGCAAATGAGCCAGCCCGTATAACCGGGATCTAGGTTAAATTGATAATGATCCCGCCTTAAACACATGCAAGCGAACTGGCCCGGCCAAGCAGAGCTTTTTTACTTGAACTGCGCATCAAGCACCATGCGTGGGATACATGCACAAAAATTTTATAACAAGTCCATGGCTTCTGGAATATTCACTGAATTAGCCAATAAGAATAATAATGATGATTTAAAACACATTAAAAACAAAAACCACAACAACAACAGCAACAACAACAACAAATATTACATTATGACATAAGCACCCCTGTGACTAGAAACGGAGACTATACGATTCATTGGCCGAGTTAAAAAAAATAACAATTAAATTGTCCCAATCACTTGCTATCTTTTAATGGGACATGAAATCTGTAGATAACTTTGAAGACTCATTGCTAACAATAAGCCATTGTGCTGGGCAAGCATCCCACATAGCATTTCCTTGCTGAATGCGTGGAAGTTTACCGCCATTGTTTGTATCGTCGCCTGGACAATTTGCCTTTAGCGCAAAGGCCCGTTGTTAGCAATGAGTCTTTAAGTGCATCTGTAGATTATGTGAACTATTTATTGTACATTTAGGTTTTTTATAGTGAAGATTTTATATATATATAGCTAGATATATAGCTAGATATATATATAAATATATATATATATATATATATATATATATATACATTAAGAATTGTAAAAGACGATTCTTTAAAAATTGGGTCTATTGAGTCTTTTTTTTGTATTCTCATTATTTAAAATGGCTTTGCATTTTCCAGACTGCACACTGTACGATCTGAAGAAAGCGTACAGGGAACAGTTCGACCGTGGCTTGCCATTAAGGGACTGCAAATACTATTTTTGTCAAATCCTCGAAGGGCTGCGGTATCTTCACTCGAAGCAGATAGTTCACAAAGATATCAAAGGTTAGTTCATATTTCCTGCGTTGGTTTTTACTTCACAACCTGGCTGTTTTTGTGCTGGTAGGCTAGACGTTTGACGTTTGCATCGAAAGCTGATGTTGTTATTATTATTATATTATTATTATTATCATTATCCACTCGTTGACTCCGGAAATCGCGATGCAGCTATTAACAACCAAAGCTGTGTGAAATGTTCTTGCGGCAAGTCATGCATAGGGATAAAGGGCCTCCGCATCCATCAGAACTGCAGAGTCATAAAAGGCTTTGATGAAGAGCAATTGTTCGAGGTCGTGAATGATGCTGACCTTGAGAATAATGTTAGTCACGCTGAAATTCCCCTTGAGGATCATTTTGATATCAAGCCTGGAATTCGTCTTCCAAGATCTGACCAGGAATGGCTGTTAGCTAACAAATATTTCCACTCCATATACGACTACTTCAAAGAAACTTGTGGAACAATCGAATGCTGCAACGAAGATCTCAAGGAAAAATACGCCAATCTCACAGCCAAGAATTTAAAAAAGAACTCAAAACTTTGAAACATTCTAATGCTCCTTTAACTGAAATCAAATATGTCACTAACCTTCTTCGTAATAAAATCAAAAAAACAAACCTCGCCCACTAAATCTTCCAATATAACAAACCTCGCCCACTAAATCTTCCAATATAACAAACCTCGCCCACTAAATCTTCCAATATAACAAACCTCGCCCACTAAATCTTCCAATATAACAAACCTCGCCCACTAAATCTTCCAATATAACAAACCTCGCCCACTAAATCTTCCAATATAACAAACCTCGCCCACTAAATCTTCCAATATAACAAACCTCGCCCACTAAATCTTCCAATATAACAAACCTCGCCCACTAAATCTTCCAATATAACAAACCTCGCCCACTAAATCTTCCAATATAACAAACCTCGCCCACTAAATCTTCCAATATAACAAACCTCGCCCACTAAATCTTCCAATATAACAAACCTCGCCCACTAAATCTTCCAATATAACAAACCTCGCCCACTAAATCTTCCAATATAACAAACCACGACCGTTACATTATCAAGAATTTCTGGAATTACGTCAAGCGCACTCTACAATATGAAACTTCAGCTCTTCCAACTTTTTCTGTTGCAGGATGTACCGAATACTTTGCGATCGCACCTAACAAAAATTTCACCATTCCTTCATGGATCCCTACTTTCAATGAACCATCTTATTCATTTGATCTAGAGCCACCTAGTTACAAAACCATTACTTCTATCATAAGGCGTATGAAAGCTTCTACTTCTCCCTGTCCACTTGATAAGATATCCATCATCTGTTTCAAACGAAGCCCCTATCTTCGTTCCTTTCTTACTGAAATAATTCGTGTTGTCTGGCTTTCAGGTAAGGTACCATCTGAATGGAAAAAGGCCTCCACTATCTTGATTCACAGAAAAGACAGCACAGATGATCCATCAAATTTCAGGCCAATCACTTTAGAATCAGTGCCCTTAAAAATATTCACTCCTTGCTTACGTGACTCCCTCTTCACTTTTCTGAAACACAATGGCTTCATCGAGCACCAAATTCAAAAAGGCTTCACCTCAAAAGTATCAGGTACATTAGGGCACACAGCAGTGATGAGCCATTTAATAAATAAAGCTCGCATTAAGCAACGATCTTTAGTGGTATCTTTGCTGGATCTCAAAAACGCCTTTGGCGAAGTTCACCACAAGCTGATACCAGCTATTCTTGCTTATCATCATATACCTTCGGAAATTCAATCATTGGTCTCAAGCTTATATCTAGATTTTAAGACCTGTATCATAACTGTTAAATTCCAAACCCCTGCGATTCCCGTTCGCCGTGGCGTATTGCAAGGTGACTGCCTCAGCCCCCTTCTTTTCAACCTTTGCTTCAAAACGCTCATACAATACATCAAATCAGATAAATATAAGCAGCTTGGTTTCTCCCCCCATGATGGGAATGACCGCATGGTTCAGCCAGTACACTGGTTTCAGTTTGCTGATGATGCTGCTGTTGTTACCAGTGGAGAAGAGGAGAACCAACTCTTATTAAACTGCTTTACCAGATGGTGCCAATGGGCTAGCTTCATTGTCAGGGTTGACAAATGTGTTACCTTTGGTGTCAAGAAACCCTCTACGCGATCCCTCCAATTTCAACCGAAACTTTTCATCTGTAACCAAATAGTACCTGCTGTCAAAAATGGCGATTCCTTTAAGTATCTTGGTCGTTTCTTTAATTTTGAAATGAGTAACCAAGATCATAAATCTAAACTCGTTTCTCTTTTCTCTACTCTTATGAAGGATAATGACGACTTACCTCCCCACCCTAAAAACAAACTGCTATTATACCATCGTTATGTTCTGTTTAAAGTTTCATGGCATTTTACTGTTGCAGATCTATCAAAGACCTGGGTTGTCCAAAACCTGGACAATCTTGTTTCCAATTACATTCGTCAGTGGCTTGATCTTCCTGTTTCTGCAACATTGAGTGGAATAATCCTCTCAAAAAATCAGTTTGGCCTAAATCTACAACTGCCTTCTATCAAATTTACGCAATGCCAAACGGTCTGTCGCAATGCCCTAAAATCTTCTCCTAACATTGACATTCAAACCCTATGGAAAGACACCAGTCATGGCACGAACCTACAGTACGACATCTATCGAATACTAAAGAGGTATTAAAGGCTGTCAAATCAGACAACAAAGAACGTCTCTCTCAAAACTTACCATCTCAGGGAGCTACAATTACCTTCCTACTGAAACATTCACTGGAAAAGCTGAACGGTATTTAGTCAAGTACACAGAGCAATTTGCCTAGTAACATCTTTAACTTTACCATCAAGTATCTTAACAACACTCTTCCAACTCGTAAAAATCTGCTGAAATGGAACCTTAGTCAAACATCTGACTGTGAATTCTGTTTTCTTCCAAAAACACTTCTACACGTTGTTGCTGGATGCAAAGTGTACCTTGACCAAGGCCGCTATACTTGGCATCATAATTCTGCATTAAACTTTCTAGCCACTTTCTTCGAAGCAATAAATGGGTCTTCTCTCTACGCAGATTTACCAGGCTTTCTTTCCCCGTCTATCATAACTGGAGATCAACTACGCCCTGACTTACTTCTCAAACCTAAGGAAAACTGTCTGTGCATTTTAGAGTTAACCATAGGCTTTGAAACAAATCTCAACTGCAATGCTGTCAGAAAGTCAGAGAAATATGCCACCCTCGTATCTGACTTAAAACGTCAGTTTAAGTCAGTCTCGTTTGTCAATCTTTCCATCAGTTCACTTGGTATTTTTGGCACCTCCTCCAGCTCATTCATCGACATGTGTGACTCTTTGTCCATTGATCATCAACAGAAACGCTATCTCATCTCCAAACTTACAAGCATCTCCATTCGCATCACATACTATATATTCTGCTGTAGAAACAAAACTTGGACTAATCCAGAGCTACTCCCCTTTTAACATTTTTTTTCTTTTCTCATTACTACGATTGTAATAGTTTTTATTTTGTAAACCAGGCTAGCCAGTGACAAATTACCTTGTAATAGTGAGATTTGGAATTGTAGTTTTAAACTGGAATTCAAAATGAAAAGTTTCCATTATTATATGCCGCAGAATCTCTGCTACTGACAACTTCTGAAACAAACAAAGGCGAGCAAACTTTTCCTTTTTTTCTTTCTTAATTTATTTTTGTCTGTGCTTGTATTCGTCTTTTTCTTTGTTAACACAGGCTAGCCAATTTCAAATTACCTTTGTAATAGTGAAATTTGTAATTGTAGTTTTAATTGAATTGAAAATAAAAAGTTTCCATTATTATTGTTATAACATTTTACAGTGGGTTGAAAAAGGTAGGTCTAGTTTGAACTAATTAAGACCAACTGTTGCACAAAGAAAAACAAATTAAAACCACTAGATAATTATAAAATGTAAAGTAGAATTACCTATGAAACTCAGCCACCTAGCTGAAAGAACTGAACCACCATTTTCACTATTGCTATAGAGACTATGCCGTATCTCAAATGGAACCAAAATTAACGTAAAAAGCTTTCGAAAATAGCCCAAGAAATATATTTGCGAATAACCGCAAAAGGACAGAAATCAACCAAGAAAGAAACAATATTTTAAACATTTAAAAAAACTCATGAAATAGATAAGACATCAGTGTAGTAGAGGGCGTTTCTGAATAGTCGAGGGAAGCAATCTCAGCCAAGCCAAAAGGCGTGGTCTTCTCCTTAACGTTTAGCCCCCCAGCCCACCACTTGTTTTGGTCAGATCTTTCTCTGGACGAAGACCCACTCAAATGCAAACTGGGTTATTGAGTGTCATAGTTTAAAAATTTCGAGGGGCAGTTCACTGCCGAAAAAATGTTTGTAATCAGCAATCATTTTGATTTTGACTCTTCATATTTTTATACTGTTCTTTTGGTGCATGGCTATGAACTTTGATTTGCCCCTTAAATGTTGTCAGAATGTGAATTGTTTTGTAGCTCGCGCTGCATAAAGTGATAAATGCTTAGTTTAATTTGTAGCTTGCCGTAGGATTTAGGGGTGTAATTTGCATCGACAAGCATTCAAAGCCCTCCTCCTTCTAATTTGTATTATCTGAGCATATCATGAATAAAGCTCGTAGGTTTGACAAAGTTAACCAACACTTGCGATCATGTCGTTTAGCTTATTTCTTTCTTCGTCAGATCTCAACATGTTGTTGTCCAACAATTTAAAACATTTGAAAATATGTGACTGGGATCTGGCAATTTCACTGCAGCAGGAAACTACAGAGAGACTTCCAGCAGCAGGAACACCAGGATTTGCTGCTCAAGAGGTACCTTAATTGTTAATTATAGTTAATCGCTAATTGTTATTCTTTGATTAAGTCATGTTTACTTAATATTAGTCAATTGAGAGACAGGTCAAGTTGCTCTTTTTAAAGCAAATGTTTAAATAAAGGACAATTTCAAAAAAATTTCCCATTTTTCGTATATTAGTTGCCCATAATTTGGAACATATCATTTCAAGGTTTCTCGTACCATGTCGCGAACATATAAACAGTTAATTCTTTCGTTCCTTTTTAAGAAAATTTAAAATGCACCCTGCTTCCGGTTTTTAATTGTTGCATGTATTGCTGTTTTTATCACACAGCTCTTAAAACTTAAAAAACTGACAGCGTTATCACTAAAAGTGCATTTTATTTAGTCCAACATCAACATTTGATGTATTTAACAGAAATACTTATCTGGTTGCCTCATTGATTTCTTCTTTGACTTACAGGTTTTAGATGGTCGCTGCCACGGAACTCCAGCTGATATCTTCAGCGCTGGAATAACATTCCTAGAAATTTGGAATGGTGGAATGTACCCCAAAAAGTCAGACAAAGACGGGTCAGGCGTAGAAAAACGTCGTTTAGAGGCGGTATGGAGCTACTTGTGAATTTTAAGGGGAAAAGGGAGCTTAGTTCCATGTGTTAAAATGTCGTGCAACACAATTGTATTTTGATATGTTTCTTGGAGTTTCAATGTTTTAATAAATGGAATTTAAACATCTAGAAACTCAACACATGAAGCCAATCCCTAACTACTTGGCATTCTTCCTTTTCATCGATGCAATTTTGGTTTTGGAAATCATATCGATAAAGTTTTGTTTTCTAGTTCATCTTAGCCTCCTTTTCGCATCGAGTCTCATTGTGCTGAGTACAGTTTATCACGTTCCGATATGTTATATTTTCCTGTAACTGGATTCAACCCGCTATAAAAAATAGCCTCGTAAAGGTATATAACAATTTAGGTCACTATGAACTTTTAGTTTTTATAAGTTTTCTGAGAATTTTTTTGTTTTTTATTCAGCTAAAACGTTTGGAAAAAGAAGACGGTGAGCTTTGGCGTCAAGTCAGTCGCTGTTTGTCGGTCAGTGTTTTATGACAGGCTATTATTTGCATTTATGAACTTTAGGCATTTTAAAGAGGTGGGTTTTGTTCATGATCATATCATTGTGATTATTTTATACGGAAATATATGTGCTAAGTGTCATTGGGAGTTCGGTATGTTTAGGGGTTGGATGTTCTAGTGAGGGTTGTTTGGTGTGGTATGTTTGGGTAGGGGTTTGGTTGTGTAGGGGTCGGGTGTACGGGAAATCGTGTGTGTGGAGGGCTTGGAATGTTGGGGAGTGTGTGTTATAATAATGTTAGAGTGTTATAGTGAGATATCAGGAAACGATTTACAGCGCAAGTTAGAAGGCTTATTATTACAAGATCTTATTGCTCGTATTAAATAGTGTCATCAAAGATACTGCCCATGTTTGACCGTATTTTGTTGGATTTTTCGTAATTTTCAAGCAAAGATCATTTAAAAACAAATCTTATCTTTAGTAAATACGTTAAGCTAATACGTTAAGCAAATACAATGCAGTTCACATACACCTCTTCTGCAGAATAAGCCTGAAGAAAGACCAACAGCGCACGAGCTGGTAAACCACCCATGCCTAAAGATTGGATGTGATTACAATCCAAATCTACCAGCACCACAGCTGGCTGGGGTGCCAGACTTGCTGGATTTTCGCTATATTGCGGGTATTGGCGGTGAAGCTGGGGAGAGCATCATGCAAAAGGCGGGGGATATTGTTCGGGCCAATCCCGACGAGTAAGTGCACATTTTAATCTTAAAACGAAAGGTATTACGAAAAGATACTTGACTTCTCAAGCTCCAAGTGGAAAATTTGGTCAAAAACTCAAAATTTAGTTTTAGATCGCATAAGTTTGATGAGAGTCAGTTTATCACCTTAACAACATAGGATTGCTGTTTTGGCATTTTCGATATTAACATTTTGATTAATCTTTTTTCAAGGAAAAACAAGCAGGATTACATGTTACATCGTATGAATATTTCAAACTTGCCAATGACATTAAAACCCTCTTTCTCTAAAAACGTTCCTGTTTGCTTTTTCTCACGTCACGTCTCGCGTTTAATGAAAATAATCCAAATTGTATCAAATTGACTGTATTATCTTAGAATGGATTTAGGAGATGCAATTCTATGTTATTATATTACTTACTATTATATAAATCGCAATTTCGTTTGATTTTAGATAAATGAATGGTTCTTGTGATAATTTTCCACCCTAAATCTTTTTTCTTGCTCACACAGGATTAAAGATATGATGGACCAGCTTCCAAAAACACTACCCAACGAAAATATACCCCAGTCAAGTACCTGGGCCCATTCTATGGCCCCAACGGAGGATATGGAGATGGGCGAACAAGAAAACGAAACAGCCATGGACATCGATTAGCTTGAGATGAAAGGGACGCTTTCTAGTGGTATATAATGCCAAGCAAATATCCGCGAGGAAAAAAAATCAACTGTTTTATTCTCTATGTTGTTGTTTTGATGCTGTTGACATTAGCCAAAGGCTTCAAAGCCCACTGGACTTCATTCTTTGAGACAAACTTTTTTCCGCTAGTTTTGTGCTCTACAGAAATGTATCAGTAACTTATTTTGGCAAGTAAAGTTAGTCTATTCTTATTGAGAACGTTCACATTTTCAGTATAGAATGAATCAGGTAACATCTAAATAAAATGAAAAATGTACAATCATTAGGCCTACAAGTTTTGAATAATCTACCAAATGAGTTGGAAAAGGGTTAAAAATTAAAATAATTTTAAAGAATTGTCTTCATAGATGAAAGGGCCCAAGCTACAGATGTTACCTGTGTGCAAGTTTTAATAAGTGTACATATGCGATGTACTGTTGTAACCATGTCTTGTTTTGTTAGTGAACGCCTGCTATTCGTGGCAGTGTTTTTGTCTGTCAACATTTAGTGTGATGGCAGTAACGTTTGTTCATTAGTTTCTAAAAAACATTTCCAAGCATAAAACATCTAGTGTTTGGAATAATTTCATCTGGCTATTAGAGGCACTTTGTCCCGTCAGTTGTCCGTTCAGAGTCAACAATAGGCTCTATGTTGCGTTTATGCTTGAGGAATTATTGTAAATAAGCCTTACGTCGCCGATTAGATTCGTAGCAATAGATCTATTTTAAGGTCATTTCGCAGTTCTGCCTTAGCTGGATAGCAACGTTCTTGTCAAAATGTTTCAAGCAAAAATATAATCACGATGTTAGTTATTGCGTATCACGTTTTAGTTTAGTTTTCCGTGTCGATAACAGGAAAAACATCAAGCAAGGACTATTTTTGTGTGTCCTCTTTTCGGGACCTGTGCCCATTGGCCTAGCCCATCTGTCTGCTCACCTACATTTTGTGACAGGGATGGGATAACAGCGAAGAGAAGAATCGGTGATGTTGTTTTGTGTTGTTCTTTTGTAATATTTTGCGAGAATGTCAGCACTGGAATATGAAATTGATGATTTTTCAGGGTGATGATCCTTGCTTTTATTATTTTAAAATACCGACAACAATATTGTAAGCAAACAGACCGACCATACCTCAAATATGGAGAACTTTATGAAATTCTAGAAACCTGAGAGAGAGAGTTACTTTTCACGAATAATTTCTGGCATGTACTGGCCAAGAATGGTTTTAGCACCAGGCAGGCAGAAGCACAACCCCTCCAACCCTGCAATCCTCAACCCAGTATACTTAATAGTTATTCCTTTCAAGCTACAAAAGAGTGTATTGTTTGTAGAAAAGTTTCTTAAAGTTTCATCGATCAGCTTGGTATGATTTGCACTGTAAGTGAGGTTAAACCGAACAAAATCCAAAATCTGATCAAATGAATACAGCTTTCGAGACACATGGGAATTTCCTAACATATTACACGCAGTTCAGTAGGCTCCGGTTGTATTCGCACCAAATGTTGCTTGAGAACAAGTAACTGTAAATGGAATGTGACTGTAAACGGAGCTAAATTGAATAGTTTTGCATGTTTGGTCTAAATTTTGTGTGACTGCCATCAACTCTGATACGTCATAGCTCCACCACCTCGTCATGCGCGAAAGCACAATGAGGTGTATTGATATGGCACCACTGATCCAGTGACAGAATACGAATAACGTATTCTGTGATCCAGTGGTTGGCACTTGCAAAGAAGGTCACATGATCGTATTCGGGGAAGTTCGTTTCATCCGGGGTTCTCTAAATCGCAATTACGCTGTTTACTAAGTTACATCATTTGCAGAAATAAAGGGATGACCCCCTCTTTTTTGTACCGAACGAGAAATATAAAATTACGGTGGCACGACATCGCTAAAAATATTAACTTCCAAGTTTCCATCGCAATTTCTTAATATACAATCAAATATAATTCCTCAAGTTCCACTAATGATCACTTCACAGATGATCCCGAAGTTAATTGATAATCTATTTCCTTAACAATCAATATACTGATAAATGCTGTCGCTCTCACCTTTGATTTTCCATCACATATCAATGGAAATCCATCACACATCAATGGAAATCCATCGCACATCAATGGAAATCGCCAATTTGCAAGATTCAAGTATTTCGTGACCTCCACTATATTTTTATAAGAACAATCTTATAAGAACACGAGCCTCAACAATGTTTTATTTCAAAAACGAGGATTTTTAGCCATGTTTGGATGCTTTTTCGGTGAATTTTTCACTTGTCGGCAAAAGAAGAGGAGTTGTCTCACTCACTTTGTTGGCAAATGGTACATAAGGCCTAAACACCTACCCTAGGGCAAAAAAGCTAGCAATGGCAAACAAATTAAGAACAATCCAGCCTCAGATTTCCAAAAAGTTAAGAACAGTCAGCATTAACGTAAATTTACTGGTTCTTATAAAAGAGTGTAATAATTTTATCACTTACCTACAGTTTCTTAAGGTAATCGCATACATATAGAAAAACTGATTTTACAGTTTCCTTACATCTAATCCCAAATCTCAAGAACTCTCTCTTCATACAACAGATTCAAGTTATTGCAGAAGTAAAATGTTCAAGACTTGTGTCTTCTGTACCTTTTATATTAGAAGCCATTTCATCATGGTTACGCAACAATTTACGGGACAATTTCCTTAGACTCATAGACGGTCATGCTGAGTTTGCATTTCGGCAAGATTGCGTAATATACCGCTTGATGTTCCGTAACGCTGTTGTTGTTGTCAATCAGAAATGAGAAGCCGAAAATGGCAAAATTGGAAAGACACTATGGAGGCTGCCATTGCGGAGAAGTGAGGTTTTTGGTTAAAGCTCCAGCACACCTTGAAGTAATTCAATGCAAGTAAGCTGTTTGTAGAATATGTTTTTATTCTTAACTCAGCTCCCTTTTTTATATAATCATGGGAAATCCAGCACGAGGCTAGGCCCTTAAAAGTCGTTCTTATGTATCATGTTATTATGCAGTCTAGAACGGAGCTATCACTAAGAAGAATAACAGAGAGGTTTTACATAAAGTTTCTCATAAAGTTTTACAAAACAGACAAACTACAAGATGATGCCACAGGGAGCCTGGAAATACATAGCAACCCTAAGATTATTTTATCTCTATCAACACTTATTGTGTGATTTGTGTTATTTTAGCTGTAGCATATGCAGGAAAAAGCAAAACCTCCACTTCATTGTACCAGAGAGCAACTTTGAACTTTTAAAGGTAAAATTATGTTTTGTATGTTACAGTTGTTTCTCTCTGCATCATAAAGCCCAAATGGATTTCTTGACTCATGGTCAGGCTATGAAACGCACTTGTATGACATGTGTGATATACTGCCAATAAACCGACACATTTCTTACATATAAACAAGCTGGTCTTCTAAATGAATAAACGTTTAAGATGTGACAAGTTGCATGTTTAGCTTGAAATGCCAATGAAAATCTAAGTTGGGAGGTTAAGGTAAAAATTGTTGGAGAGGGGGAGAATTAATCACCCTATCTCGAGTGATCTAAGGAGGACACTGAGGCACACACAGGTGATGGCCAACCTCAAACGGCCATGCCTGCACTAGTGTCTAAATAGAAGGAGTTCATTTTCAACTGTGGCATCCATTGTTGACGTTTCCTATAGGCAAGTTGCCCTGCTTGGGCAACCTTTAATTCTGATCCACAACTAGGTTTATATATTCCCTAGCTTAGAGTTTTCAATCTATGTTCTGTGATTTTATACTCTGAAGAGTGTCAGACAAGAAGCTTTGGTCCAGGATGCATCTCATGTCAACTGTACGATGAAATTTACTGGGGGCATTTGTTTAGATGCGTCAAAATATGAGCAGTTAGTAAAACAGTAAATATTGTACGCCAGATAAAGGAAACTGATTAATAGAGAAAACTGTGGTGTTTGAGTCTTTATTTTATCTTTTTTCAAGTTAACTATGTACATGGCTTCCTGTTTTACATCAAGTTATACCTACGCTAAAAATATTTTATTCTTATTTTAAGTACTGCTAATTGCTTTGAAAGGAGACATTGCTGCATGCCAGCAAGTAAACTCACTGTTAACACTCATTAACATGTTGCTGCCAACTGAAAAAAAATTAACCTTACTTTTAGGGAGAGGACAATTTGACATGTTATACATTTAATACAAACAAAGCAAAGCATCTCTTTTGCAAGACATGTGGAGTGCAGAGTTTTTATAGACCACGCTCTAATCCAAATGGAGTTGGTGTTATGCCACACTGCTTAGATGAAGGGACTGTTATTGGAATGGATATACAAACATTTGATGGTAAGAACTGGGAAAAAACTATGGAAGATCATGGCGAAGACCTTAGAAAAATGTCCAAAGAATGAATTTATCTCAAAAAATGTCTCATTTTCTAACACACTGACATTTTTTGTCAATTTTCTTCAAAGACAATTAACCTCAATGGTTGTTTCTTTACAAACATTATCCATTGGTCCTTATTTATTGAACAGCTTTGATAAAATATTCACCATGAGCATGTTAGTAATGCTAAGCTGCTATAAGAAGACACCTTCTCCAATTATCTTCCTTTGAGCCTCACCCCAGATTCATTTCCTTTCTACCCCCTTAACTTACTTAGCTCTAGCCAAACTGCTTATAACTAAAAATGAAAAATTCAACCCAATTTTTCTTTTATATTGGTGTTATCATTGCTCTCTTTTTCCTTCTATTAGTTTGAAGTTTCTGGCTAAAACTGGCCATAATTTTTAGCTCTCAATGCAAAAATGTTGATCAAAGCCTGTCAGGCGAGTAAATGTGCAAACCTTTTCTTTTTTGAGACAATGTGCAAATCAGAACAACACTGCCCTTGATCAGCTATTTATAACAAGATCAGAGGATGTTCCAAACCTGAAAAGTTTGATAAAAAACAGTCCATACACGAGGCCTGTTATAGTCAAAGAACTGATTTAGAGGATGGGTAATGATGTCCTTTGATCTATCCTTGAGGATTTTAGAAGTAACTCTGGACTCTGGTTTGTTTTGTTTGATAGCAGATGAATGACATTATCCATGCTTTGCTATGACATGAATGACATGAATGACAATATATTGGTAATTAGGGAGCAGCTTTCTTTTAGCTCTTCACAACCTAATACATTTATCAAGCAATGTAAAATTATCAAATCGCCTTGCCAAAACTTTATACAATATATACAACCTTTTTTATTACCCCTTATATATTGGACTCTTTTTTTATTCACAAATACCTTCGTTATGACTGTTAAATCTTCCCTTGCCCCCCCCACTTTCCAACCTGCTTCAGAGCCCATGAAAAAAAAACCAAAATTTGGCCTTGGATTCTGTTGATAAAAACAAACCCCAACACCCTCAATATTACCAAAGATTTTTGAGTAAGTTTTCTCACCCACAGGGAAGCCTACAATGCAGTGACTTGATATGATAGACATTATTCATATGAAAGAGCTGATATCTGAGTCTGTAAACATGCTGCATTTTCAAAATGTCCCTACTTTTACAAGAACATGGAATGTTGGAATGTTGAAATGTTAGCCTTTGCAAGGTAATACCTTCATATACGATACGTTCTTGTATCAACAAGCCCAAATTAAACACAAATATACTTGTTAGGATGTAGTTATGTAGTTATATAGCTTTTACATTCCACATTCCATGTTTTCAAGATAGCCATTTTTGAATTACAGAAGATTGGTGTAGATGGAGATATAAAGCCTTTGGAAGCATTTCAAATTCTTCCTGTTGTTGTTGGTAGTAAAATCTTCAGTTGGTCACAAAGTCCTTCGTTTTTCTTGAAACGGTTGGCGAATTTTAGGTAAAGAGCAAGCTGCATTCAGCTGACAAACAATTTACAGGTTATGATTGTTCCAGTGCCGTCGGAACGAAATTCATATTGGGGGTATGGGGGGGGGGGGGGGGGGGGTTGTCCATTGTATTCCTTCTCTTTCAGTACACTGTTATAAAGGAAATATACTACAGCTCAACAATTATTGGGGGGCCAGCCCCCTACCCGGTTCCGACGGGGCTGTGTTCTTCATATGAATTTTTATGTTCGTGGACGTCTTTTACTGATGTTGCCATAACAAGGAATTATGATAATATTATAATTAACTTTTTTAATATGTTAGTTTCTAGAGACATTAGTTACTTATTACATTGAGGTTTGTGTCAATTGATTTACAAGAAAACGTCTGAGTTAAAATTGACTTTTTCTTTACTTTCGTTGCCTAAGCTTCCCATTCATTCAGTACACTATATAAAAGAAATATAGTACATTTTGAAATTATGGGGGGCGCTAGCCCCCAGTTCCCACCGGTTCTGACGGCCTTGTGGCATGAGTTTTCCGCCCATGGTTTCCCCCACTGGTTTTTCCTCTCCGCGCGTGCAATGTTCTTATTTTTAAGGAAATTTCCCTAAACTAAGGAATCTTTTAACTTTTTAAGGAATTTCAATTGTTAAGAAAATTTTAAGGAATTCTAAAAATTTTGAGAAATTATTTTTTACTCTTCTATGATAAAGGAACATTATACATTTCCAACCAAACACAACATTGAATTAGAAGTAAAGCGAGAGAAGGATACGAGTCTATATAGAGAAGGATATAGGTCTTTAAAAACATTTTCGAAAATTCGGACAAAAAACGTTTAGACAAAACTTAGATTTCGGGCATATAAAGTTACAAACGAATTTTGGTTTTATGTAGACAAATGACTGGATTTTATATTTTTTATATGGCCAAAGTTGTTTTGACCGTATCTTTTACAAGGCAGGTACCGTAAATCCTCGAATTAGCGCCCTGGGGGCTTATTTATTTTTGATATTTTGAACGGGGGCTTATTCGTGTGGTAGAGCTTTATGTTTTATTTAATTTCCTGCTAAGGGAAACTCAACTTTGTAATTTTCACCACATTACTTACACACAAATATCATTACAAGATTATCATTCATCAACAACTCCTCCTTAATAACAATAACAAGGTTTTTTATACTATTTACAGTGCGCATGTGCAGTTACAACAATAGAGTGATAAACAAAGTATTAATCCTACTACATTCGAGGGGGGGGGGGGGGGGGCTTATATAGTCATTGTAGACATTAAGGAGACATTATTAAAAGGCCTCGTTTATTTTAGTAGGAATTTCTTTATGAGTATTTAATTAATTACTACCAAAAGTACGAATTTGTTGTGGATATTCAATAAAACGCCATAGACAACCTCAGATGGCCAAATTGTCAAACTGAGGGGTCCAATTCGAGAATATATGGTAGCAGTGGGGGCTTATCCGAGGGGGTGGGGGGGGGCTTATTGACAATTTGTAGTTCTATGGTGGAGGCTTATTGGAGGGAGGCTTTTTCGAGGTGGACCAATTCGAGGATTTATGGTATTTGTAAATCTCAGGAATTTTTCCGAAAGCCGAGGAAATTTTCGTGCGAGTTTAAGGAAATTTACATAACGCATAGAGAGAACACTGCACACGAGCCTCCTTTCCACTCGTATCCGATTTAGGCCCCTGTTCGCCAGTTTGATATTATTTGGTGTTATATGAAATAATGATCGGAGAAAGGACCGATGCCATCCGTTTCGCTCGTAGTTCTCAGACTAGAAGTTGAAGATGGTTTCAAGCAGCCTCAATCTTTCAATTATGTCTCAGGTGAGCTACTTAATCTTTACTGTATTACTAGGGAGGTCAAGCTGATTTTTTTAGTTTCTTTGTGTGGCTGAAAATTAGCTCACCAGAAAGAGCTGAATTTTAGCATAATTATACAATTTTTTCCAACTCAATAGCCCCCAGACTGAAAATTTTGGTCTTATCTGGAAATTTCAAAATTATTGTTCTGGCATTCCCCGCGCAGTAAAATACTTTACAGTCTGGAATAGCCCATCTAGAATCAAAGTATTTTAATTTGCGGTTCTCCTTGGAATGATTTACAGCAAAATAACTGCAAGATTTACTTCACATCGGCAAGAAACCTTGTGGCGGGCTGGCGGCCTAGTAATTTCGTCGGCAAAATTAAAAATTTTGGCAAAGTAAATGTATCTTCTACCCTTCTGTTAAAGAAAATAAGAGAATTTGCTGGGAAATTAGCAAAACCAAAATGTAAACATGATTGTTGTATTGCTCTGTCCCACAATTCATCCTTTCTTCCCAGCCAGCCAGGTCTTCTCAACTTTTTAGAACACTATACCCTCCTGCCCATTCTTTCGACAAGATCTTGTGTGTGCAAGTGCAAGAGCAAATAAAAATCTGTGCAAAAGATTGACTTAATTTGCAATGTATGCATACTGTTTTTGGGCACAAATGCGGCCTAGATCTCTCCGACAATGTGTTGTGTGCATAGCATTTATTTCGATGAATTTTGAAACAGCATTTTGAAAGGTTGATAAAATTGTCAGCTGAAAAAATGATTCAATACTCGTCTTAAATCTGTTTTCTGCTAATACTTACTTTCTTTCAAATGAGCCTTTCTGAAAAAGATCAAGTTTTGGATATGCCCTTTCTCTTTCATAAGCCAGAAAGTGAAAAGTTACCAGAGAATAAAATCAATTAGCAATTTGAGAATCTCTAATAAAGCTCTTGCTCTCATCCACAATTGTCATTTTTTTCATCAAATTTTTGATGTTTTTCAGAGGAATACCTCAAAGAGGTAAGAGGTAAAAGAGTTGCAAGGATGGATAAGAAAGAGAAGGAAGACACAACAACTGATGGGCTAGTGGATGACGTAGTGCTTTCTTCGAACAAGCAAACTCACAGAGGCTGTCGAGTAAGCACCAACTTCACAATCGAAACACATACATGTGGTATGTTTTATCTTGCCTAAAAGCTCCTTTTGACTGAGCTCTTCCCTTTTAAAGAAAGTTTGCAAGGTCATCATCAATACAACAATAGTTATTTGTATCAAGAAAATTAATGAATTTAATATTCATTATTTGTAGTAACAGATTGGATATTAATATACTTACAGTAATGTCATTTTTTAGAACTTTTGAAGACAATTCCCCACTTTTTATTTGGAAATTTCCTTGTCACCACTTTCTACATTAATTGACCTTGTTCAGGGACATCCCACAGCTGTTAAACTCCCTGAGTTGACCATGACCTTGACCATGGATCATGACCATCCCACCCCAGATTAATCTCCACTTTTGAATACTATTTTTTGGTCAGATGAGGCACCTTTATGTGCAAATAATGAGGATCCGTCAGCTGTGGCCAAGCCCAATCCAGCCGCTCAAGCTGGCACCGTAACAAAAAGATCAAGAACCTCTCCTGTTCCATTTTTCTCTGGGAATCCAATGGTTGAGCATACAGCTGGAGTTCTGCATTTGTACAAAGATGGGTGAGTCCATTTTGCTACTTGGAAGCATATTGATATGAATCAAAAGAGGGTAGAATGGCTGCGCCACCCCCCTTTTCAGGCAAAATTTCTTGCATTTAAAACTCCTTTTGGCCAAATCTATCTCAATGAAGTAGTTATATTCAGGCAAGATCAATACTAAGTCCCACTAAACTTTTTGCATATTCTATGTCCATGCTTGAATGCTAGTAGTAACATAAATTGTAAAAGGAGCCGATAGAAAGTGAAAATGTATGCGCATATGCATCTTGTTGGACTAATGCAGTATTTATTTTGGTTAGTATATATTGGAAAGAAGCAAATACATCTGCAGATGACATTCCTTTGCATTTTACAGCTTTTGCAATGCTTGATTATACTTGAATATTGTAATTCCTTGAGAATGGGTTTAGCATTTGATACTTTTATCAAGGGATTCAACTTTATCCTATTCTTAATTACTTCTCTGGTCTTAATTTTTTAGTCAACTGACACCGCTAGAAGAGGAAGTACCAAGGAGTGAGATGATTTGTATGATGTCTGTCCCAGCAAAATTAACATGCATTGATCTGCAACAGTTTACACAACCAATGAAGTAATTATTAGTCACCTTGGTAAATTAACGAAGAGTTTTCTATGGTTGTTTGCAGCTTTTGTTATATGAGTCTTTCTTTTGTTAACATGGTCAAGATAACTTGAAATTTTTCAAATCTATACTGTTTGAATCATTGAATCATTGGCACGGTGTTTCAAGAAAATGACTTGCAAAAGAAAATTTGTAAGTTTACTTCATGCATGCTTCGATGCAACAATTATGGAGACTTAATTCACTCCATCTGCGCTTCGAGTATTTATGTCAATTGAGGACTATATCTTTCAACTTTTTAACAATAGACACTGGGCAACTTTCGTTTTTCCTTCAGAAGCACGACTCGCCCAACTTAGCCTAAAATAGTTTTCACGCATGCCTATGCTTGCCGCAGTGCGTTGCTCCGCCACAACTATTAAAGCATTGGTTAAACACAACCATATAAATTATTCAACATTTCAGATTTTATTCGATACTCCATGACTACAAAATGTGAAAGAGATGAAAAGCAAAACTACGCCCATTAACTGCGAATAATATCTCTTCGAATCATTTTACGTCTTATGTTGTTATGACATAGAGCTGATCGCTTTAGGATCATTCTCGAATCTACTTCTGTCATTTTAGAGATTCGATCCAGCACATGCAAATTGTTAGGGACAACTCACCTAATCAGTATATCGTTCTTCTTAAATTCAAAGACCAGGTTTGTTGTCTTATACTTTTATTGATAGACTACATTTACTTTACCTTATGTGTACTTAGCGGGCTAATGAATCAGTCTGGTATCCTTAGAAGTAAATAACTCCTAGGCCATCGGCCCTAACAATTTTAGACACAAAACAGCACCATTTGTGACACAAATTGAAGTTAGTTGAGAGCCACCCTAAAGATATTCTGTATAAAAAAGATTCAATGTACAATAGACTCCGGTTTTAGTTACACCAATGGTTGCTTGAAAATTTTTGTGTAAATGGAATATGACTTTAAACGGAGCTTGATTGAAAAATTTTGCATATTTGATTCTACATTTTATGTGACTGTAGCCAGAAGTGTGACTTTAAGCGGAGTGACTATAATTTGAGTAGATTATAGTTAAAATACGTGTGAACAAGAAAAATAGCTTAAGATAACAATGAATTTGAATCATTCAAATAATCAGATAGCTATTTTCCAAAACTATGGATTGTTGGTTCACAAGCAGAAATGTTACAGTTACTGACATACGCAATTACTCAACGAATTATGTTTATTTCAGCTGAGTGCTGACAGTTTCTACAAAGATTTCAACGGACGCCCATATAACCTGTTAGAGCCGGAGGTAAGCTAGAGATTATATTTACATTGTAATTTTTTAGTTGAATCAGTACCCTCAGTGGGTACTCTGGCCTAACATAAGATACAGTGTCCCGTCTGATGTTTCTGGGTTCTGCGTTGTGAAAGTTCTTACATTTTTTGGGTACAAACATTTCAGTAATTGCAATGTGGTACTTTTTGGTTAGAACGGACCATTGATCTAAAAGAAAGCTACTACACCAATACAAACTACTGACTGTTCTTAATTTGTTCGCAAATCTGGACTGGATTGTTCTTAATTTGTTCATAGATAAATAGGGTGTTAGCAGGGCGATTGCTAGCTTCTTCGCTCTAGGAAGGTGTTCAGGCCTCATTTGCCAACAAAGTGGGCGAAACGACTTAGTTTGCTGCCAAGTCTGAACCTTTACCGAAAAAACATCCACGCATTTCTAAAAATCTTCGTTTTTGAGATAAAACTTTGTTCAAAATTGAATTTTACAGTAGCTCAACCTCAGCTTGTTCTTGATTTGTTCTTAACTTTTGACCAATTTTGAGGCTCGTGTTCTTATAAAATTTATCGTATAAAATAAAGAGTGTAACTCTCTAATATCACCTGCTTAAGCCCGACTTTCCTGAGTTCATGAAACAAAGGCCATAAGTAGTTAAATGGCTTGCTGACACTGAATGATTCCCTATAATGTGATTGTGTTTGCAGAATGGAGACAGTAGTTCTAATGCAAAACCTCCAAATTCTCCAATTTTAACTAAATATTTACATTTGGTATGCAGACACCCCAGAAACGTAGAAATTGCTGAATCATTGCTGAATAAGGCAACCGTGTCAGAAAGAAGGAGCACTTTCAAAAGTTCTAAAGAAGACACTTCTGAGTAAAGCAGCGTTTTCAAAAGATTTGGAGCCCGTGCCTATGGTGCCCTTTTGGCTCTGACGTGTCCAGGGGTGTCGAACCCCCCCCCCCCCCCAATAGTATCTCGATAGGAAATTTAAGGTAAAACCCGCCTAGTGGAAGAAACACTTCCACACCCCCCCCCCAACAAGGCATGCCTCGCGACGGCCCTGGATGTGTCTTACTATTTTGAATCTACTTGTTGATTTCCTTTACTGAGAAAATATTTCTTTGCAGGTTGCTCGGCTTGTCTATGTTGCTAAACTTGAATCAGTGAAATCTTCAGAGGTAAAATTCATTGCCACTCTTAAACCGTGATTTGTCGTTTTGTTCTAGCTTCTGTGTTAAACCGCTTCAAACGAAACAGTAGTGATCCATAAGGCACAAACTATTTCTAAAGCCTGTCTTATGCTACGTAGGTAATTCTACAAAGTATCTTTCATTGGTAGCCAGATTTCATGCTATCGCTGTAGTTTGGTAGCGTCGTAAGTTTAGCACTTTCATAACATTGCAATCATTTTACATTTATCAAGTTACGTCGCTTGTATTTCATGTCTATAATATTTGATATATAATACATGATGTATATTTGAAATATATGCAATATAATCTTGTAGAGAGGTGTCAAAAATGAGAAGCTTACACGTGACCACGTTAACATGTAGACCCATTTACACGTAGCAACGTTTACACGTTTCCACTATTATGTTTTGCTGAGTTTACATGTAACTTCATTTACACGAACCACGTTTACACCTAGCCGCCGCGTCTATATGTAACCGCATTTACACGTAGCTGTATTTTCATGTAACTACATTTACACGAACCACGTTTACACCTAGCCGCCGCGTCTATATGTAACCGCATTTACACGTAGCTGTATTTTCATGTAACTACATTTACACGAACCACGTTTACACCTAGCCGCCGCGTCTATATGTAACCGCATTTACACGTAGCTGTATTTTCATGTAACACTTTCACGAACCACGTTACACCTAGCCGCGCGGTCTATATGTACGCATTTACAGTAGCTGATATTCATGTAACTACATTTACACGACCACGTTTACACCTAGCGCCGCGCGTCTATATGTAACCGGATTTACACGTAGCTGTATTTTCATGTATACTACATTTACACGAACCACGTTTACACCTAGCCGCGCGTCTTATATGCAACCGCATTTACACGTAGCTGTATTTTTCATGTAACTACATTTACACGAACCACGTTTACACCTAGCCGCCGCGTCTATTAGTACCGCTTTACACGTAGCTGTATTTCATGTAACTACTTTACACGAACCACGTTTACACCTAGCCGCCGCGCGTCATATGTAACCGCATTTACACGTAGCTGTATTTTCATGTAACTACATTTAACCGACCACGTTTACACTAGCGCGGCTCTATTGGTAACCGCATTTACACGTAGCTGTATTTTCATGTAACTACATTTACACGAACCACGTTTACACCTAGCCGCCGCGTCTATATGTAACCGCATTTACACGTAGCTGTATTTTCATGTAACTACATTTACACGAACCACGTTTACACCTAGCCGCCGCGTCTATATGTAACCGCATTTACACGTAGCTGTATTTTCATGTAACTACATTTACACGAACCACGTTTACACCTAGCCGCCGCGTCTATATGTAACCGCATTTACACGTAGCTGTATTTTCATGTAACTACATTTACACGAACCACGTTTACACCTAGCCGCCGCGTCTATATGTAACCGCATTTACAGGTAGCTGTATTTTCATGTAACTACATTTACACGAACCACGTTTACACCTAGCCGCCGCGTCTATATGTAACCGCATTTACACGTAGCTGTATTTTCATGTAACTACATTTACACGAACCACGCTTACACCTAGCCGCCGCGTCTATATGTAACCGCATTTACACGTAGCTGTATTTTCATGTAACTGCATTTACACGAACCACGTTTACACGTAGCCACCGCGTCTATATGTAACCGCATTTACACGTAGCTGTATTTTCATGTAACTTCATTTACACGAACCACGTTTACACGTAGCCGCCGCGTCTATATGTAACCGCATTTACACGTAGCTGTATTTTCATGTAACTTCATTTACACGAACCACGTTTACACGTAGCCGTCGCGTCTATATGTAACCGCATTTACACGTAGCTGTATTTTCATGTAACTGCATTTACACGAACCACGTTTACACCTAGCCGCCGCGTCTATATGTAACCGCATTTACACGTAGCTGTATTTTCATGTAACTTCATTTACACGAACCACGTTTACACGTAGCCGCCGCGTCTATATGTAACCGCATTTACACGTAGCTGTATTTTCATGTAACTGCATTTACACGAACCACGTTTACACCTAGCCGCCGCGTCTATATGTAACCGCATTTACACGTAGCTGTATTTTCATGTAACTACATTTACACGAACCACGTTTACACGTAGCCGCCACGTCTATATGTAACCGCATTTACACGTAGCTGTATTTTCATGTAACTGCATTTACACGAACCACGTTTACACGTAGCCGCGTCTATATGTAACCGCATTTACACATAGCTGCATTTACATGTCACCGCGTTTACATGGACAGTTTTGTGAAATCAGAATAAATAGACAATGACTATGTATATACAGAATTACATATTTTCAAAGCATCACAATGTGATGAAAGACTCTAGAGAATTAGCCTGGAAAAGTATCATCAATTCTCTATTCGAAAACCCTTATCTCTCAATAGGCAAGCGGCAGTGATTGGTCAACCTCAACAGTCATGTGCTCGTGTTTCTGATTGGCCTATTTCGATCCACAACTGGGTATATATATTTCCTAGCGTAGAGTTTTCGGTCTATGTTCTGACGTTTTAAACTCTGAAGAGTGTCAGACGAAAAGCTTTAGTTTACTAAATGTTTGCTTTTTTCAAAGCCATTTTCAAATTTTGTACCACCAAAAAAAAAACCCTTATCAATTCAACAATTGTGTGCAGGTTTGACTTTTAAAAAATCGTACTCGACTCCCTAACCATGTCAACAGTGATTTTTGCATGCAAACGTGACTTTAGTTATGTAAATTTTTTCATTTATATTCTACTCGGAATATTGTCAAGGAATGCTGTTTACTCGTTCAGGGTGGATATCTACCAGTATCCGGTTTAACCGAGTTGCCGACATGTCCTGTTTGCTTGGAAAGAATGGTAATTAAAGAATATTTCATCTTTTGCGTTATTTTCTAGAATGGTGTGATACTATCACATAATATTGTCTGGTAAATAACGATCTGACTTTAGATTTTCCTTAACATTTGAGTCATGGCACACATGTTACAAGTGGGCTGCGACTATTTATATCTTAGATTAATGATCTTAGACACATAGTTTAGTAGCTTCCCTTCAAGAAGGGGAAGTGCTACAATGTGTGACAAACCATTTTGTGAGGAGAAAGGTCATGCTATCATGATGTTTAAAACGCTTTCTGATTATATTTTGGAATCATCTTCATGTCTGTTTAAGTTAATTATTGCCTTGCCTTCCTCTGCAAAGTGTTTTGGAAAGTTTGTTTTCAGTTTTTCAGCTTTCTTAAAAATCAAAACTATATTTATGATAAACTTCTGTCTTCAGTTTATTAAATTTCCTTTCCAAGGATGAATCTGTAGAGGGCATCCTCACTATTCTGTGTAATCATTCATTCCACGGAGATTGCCTTGTCCAGTGGTCAGATTCCAGGTAAGAGGCTTGATTCCTCTAAAACAACTTGAATTTGCTTCGGCTACCTGCCGTTTTGAAAGCGATGACTCATCGTTTAAAATTGCTGACATCATCAAAATCCATATTTGTTTATATCATTCAAATACCATCATCCAGATAAGCCCGAAACTGGTTTTTATATAAACATCGGGTGTATTCTTGAGAAGTTTAAACGTTTTTTAGTCTCAAAACCATAACTTTGTGACGTCATTGGCCACATGACTTTAGTTTAATTATCAGCCGAGAAAAAAGGCTAGGCAATGTGGCGGATTGTTGCGAGGAATGCCCCATCTTTCATACACACTCATGACTGTTTGACTAATAAATGTTCGCATACAACTAACTTTTCTGCTATGTAGCATTTCAGGACTGTTAACATTTTATGACCTTGCCTAAGTATCTCCGCCTTCGATCAGCCCCCTAGCTTTCTCACATGTAAATTGTGAAACAGCAACACAACTAGCTACTTGCATGGCAACGTAGAAATGACTGTTATGAGCTTTCTCGTGTAAGCCACGCCTCGAATGAGCTCTCCTAAAATTTCCTAAATTAATAAGCCCCCTGGGGCTATTAAAGGATTTACGGTTTTATAAAATTGGCATTGTCAGACTTTCAAGCGTTTTACGTCATTCTCCTTTGCAGCTGTCCAGTTTGTAGATATAATCAAACCCCAGAAGCAGTGGCAGAGCAAAGGTGTTTTCAATGTAACTCTACTGAGGTATGTCCAGCAGTTATTCTCTATTTCTGCAGTTAAATGTTCACGACTTCTCAAATAGATGAGTATTATTATTGCTACTCTGGCAAAGCAGTACTTTAATGTCCGTTGCCTTCATCAAAGCTCCATCACTTTAATGCAACCCAATAGTATATTATGATATTATTATTTATATGAGTTTTATTCTAGTAATACCTATGCATGATAGCAGTGATCAGAAGGCTATAAGAAAAATTTCAACTCCTTTTTTTCTTCCTCTAAACAGATTATGGTATACTCCTATTTTTTCTCTTTTCTCTCTTTGTTTATTAGGTTAAGCTAAATATGTTAATATATGTTGATAGTGATAGTGCCACAGAAGTGAAAAATTTGTAACAATACAGAATCTTACTGCTGCAAGAAAGTTTGCAGGCATGAAAATACCTCAGTCATTTCATTGCTTCAGTATCTTGAATTTAACAGTTTTTTTGAATTCTGTTTTTCTAGGATTTTATTCTATTGACAGAAAATAGTTCTTATTGTTGTTTTGAAATAAATTTGAAAGCAGTACAGTGAAATATAATACAATATTCTACAATGCAATATCATACAATAAGATACAATACAGTACAATACAATTCAATAAATTATTAAAGTATAATATAATATAATATAATATAATATAATATAATATAATATAATA